TAATTATAAAGTTTATTTTAATTTTTATATAAACTTTAATAAAATTAATAATAAGGTAATTTTTATATAAATAATAATAGAATATAAATATATATTAATATATTATATAAGAGTATATATATTTTATTATAAAAATATTTAATTTAAAATTTTAAAAATACTTTTAAAAAATTTATATTTTTATTTACTTTAATATTTATTTAATAAATTATTATAATAAATTTATAAAATATTTTATTTTAAAACCTTTTATTTTAATATATATATATATATATTTAATAAAATTATTTTAAATTTTATAATTAAAATTATTTAAAATAATATTACTTAAAAATTATATTTTTAATTATAATTTAAATTATAAATTTTTTTAAACTTTATAAATTAAATTTATAAAAAAAATAAAGCTTTAAATATATTATATTAATATTAAATATATATATTTAAATTTAAACTTTTATTATAAACTATTTTATAAAGGAGTTATAAATTTAAATTAATATTTTCTTAAAAAAATTATTTAAAACTTTATATATTATAATACTTATAATTATAATTTAAATTTTAATTTATTATTAATTTTTAAATAAAATTATAAAATGTTTTTAATAATTATAATTATTTTTAATTTTAAAGTTAAGATTTAATTTGTATTTAAAAGTTTTTTTAATATATAATTAAATTTTTAAAGGTTTATTAATTAAACTAATTTTATTAAAATAATATTTAATAATAAAATTAAATTTAATTAAATATATTAATTATTAAATTTATTTTTAAATTAATTTTTTATTTTATAAAGTTATAAAATAATTATAATTTAAAGAATAATAATAAATTTTAAATTTTTTAAAATATTATTATTAATATTAAAAGTTATTAATAATAATATTTAATTTTATTATAAATTATTTAATTAAGTTTTATATTAATAAACTTTTTTTAATTAAAATAATAAAATATTATTAAAATATATTTTTAATAATCCATTTTTAAAATTATTAAAAAGTTATTTTATTAAAGGTATTATATTTAATTTAAATATATAGTATTAAATTATAATATTAAAGTAAAAATATTTATTAAAATTTAATTTTAAGTTTTAAAAGCTTTTAAGCTTTTAAATTTTAAATATAAATAAATTAACTTTATTAAACTTTTAATTTTATTTTATATTAAATAATTATTTATTAAAAGGTTAAATAATTTTAAAATATTCTTTAATAAATCTTTAATAAAAATTATAAAAACTTAAAAATTTAATTATTATAATAAATAATAAAAATAAATTATTTTTAAATAGTTTTAATTTAATTAAAAATTTTAAAATTTTATTTTTAAAAAAATTATACTTTTAAAATTTTAAAGTTTAATAAATAATAATTAATTTATAATTATTTAAATATATTTTTATTTTTTTTTTTAAGAAAATTAAAATATAATTTAAATAAATAATTATATAAATATTAATATAATTATTTAAAACTTTTATAATAATAATTAAAATATAGTAAAAATATTAATTAATTTAAATAATATTACTTTAAATTTATAATAATTATAATATATATAAAATATTATTTTTATTTATTTTAAATATAAATTTAATAAAATATTTATTAAATTAATTTTTAAAAATACTTTATATTTAATAATTAATTTAAAATTTTAAAATTAATAATAAAGAGTAATAATTTTAATTATTATTTTATTAAAAGTTTAATAATTAATATAAAGTTAAAAGTATTATTTTTAAAAAGTAAATAAAATTAAAGCTTTTATTAAACTTTTATTAAAAGTAATTTATTTATTTTTAAACTTTTTTAATTTATTTTTAAAATTTTAATTTTTAATAATAATAAATAAAAAATAGAAAAATAATAATATTTTTTAATTTTAATTATATAATTTATTTTTTTAAAAATAGCTTATTTATTTTAATTTTTATAAAAACTTTTTAAACTTTTAATTATAAGTATAATTAAAAGGGATTAAAGGTAGTTTTTTTATTTATTTTTAACTTTTATTATTTTTTATTATTTAAATTAAAAGTTATTAATTTAAAGAATAATATAATAATAAATATTTTATTTTTAATTTTTATAAAAAACTTTATAATTTATTAAATAATATATAAGTTATTTTATTAAAATTATTAATCTTTTAAATAACTTTTAATTTTATTTAAAAATATTATAAATTTCAAGTTTTAATAATAAAATAAATTTAAAATATTTTTAATTAATAATAAGAATATTTTAAGTTTTTTCTTTAATTCTTAAAATAATTTTTAATTAAAAGAAACTTAAAAATTTTATAAATAAATATTAAAATATAATTAATTTTTAATAGATATTAAAAATTTCTTTAATTTTTAAATTAAATTTTTTATAAAAAATATTAATTAAATTTATTTAAATTTAAATATTAAAGTTAATTTTAATATATTTTTAACTTTATATTATAATTATTTTTAAAATTATAAAGATATTATAAATCTTTATTATTATATTTTTAATTTTAATTATTAATTAAACTTTTTTATTTTAAATATTATTTTAATAAATAATTAAAATAATTTTTAACTTTTATTTTAATTTTACTTTTAATAATTTTTAATTAATAATTATTATAATTTTAAATTTAATTTATAAATATTATAATTTTTATTAATATTAAATAGTTTAAAATATAATAATAAATATTATTATAATAATAATAAATAATTAATTTTAAAATAGTTTTAAAGTTATTTTTAAATATTTTAATTAAATTAAATATATAAACCTTTATTTTAGAATTTTTAATTTTAATTTTTATATATAATAAACTTTAAATTCCTTTAAAAGTTATAATACTACTTTAAAAACTTCTTTTTATTTTCTTTTATTAAAGGTTTTATTATTTTTTAATATTTTATTTTTAATTTTTATACTTTTTTAATTTATTTAAATATATTAATTTAAATTATTTAAATAATTTTAATTATTTTATTTTTAATATTTAATAAATTTAAAGTATATTTAATTTAAATTTTTAAAAGATTTAATTTTATAATTTTAAAAAAATTAATTTTAAAATTATTATTTTTAACTTTTATTTTAACTTTAAAATTTTAAAATATTAATAAAAATATTAAAGGTTTTAATTTTCTTATTAATAAATAGAATTAATTATATTTTAATAATTTTAAAAATATTTTAAAAGTTTTTTAAAATTATTATTAAAAGTTTTAAACTTATTTTATTTATAATAATTAAATATAAATTTATTTTCTTTTTTAAATTTTATATAAATATTTTAATAATTTTAATATTTTTATTAATATAGTTAAATATATAAATTATTTTTATTTTATTATTATAAAAATTATAATTAAAAATTTAAACTTTTAAAATTTATTATTTAATTATTATATTATTATAATATATAAATTATAAATAGTAAAATAATATTAATTAACTTTAAATTTTTAATTTTAATTTTAAAATAATTTTAATTATTTTAAAAGTATTTATTTTTATTAAAAAATTTAATTTTATTTTATTTTTAAATAAAGGTATTATTTATTAAAAGAATATTTAAACTCCTTTTATTATTATTTAAACTTATTTAAAACTTTTTTAATTATTTATTTTAATAATATTATAAATAATATAAAAGAAAAATTAAAATTATAATAAATTATAATATTAAATATAATAATATAGATAGAGGGAGGTTTAAAGGTTTATTAAATTTAAATTTAATATAAAATTAATTCTTATTTCTTTCTAAAAAAAAGTAAATAAGCTTTACTTATCTTTTTATAAACCTTAAAAAAGGGTATAGCTAAGTATTAAAGCGCTTTTAAAGTGCTTCCCTATAGCTTCTACTTAACTATTATAAATATAAAGTATATATAATTTAAGTAAGGGATAATATAGTAAGTTTTAATAATAGGTTTAGCTTCTTTTTTATTTTCTTTTTTAGTAATAAGGGGAATATAAGATAAATAGTAGTTGAAAAAGGGTGTAATATTAAAATGTACTTACTTTTTTTATTTAAGAAAGTTATATAAATAATATAAACTTTAAAAATTTTTTAATAAACTTATATTATATAAAATATTAATATAAAATATTTATATTATATATTTAATATTTAAAAATAAATATAAAATTATTTTATTAATAGTTTAAATAGTTTTATAAATACTTTATTTAATAGCTTTTAAATAAAATAATATTATATATATATAAATGTATATAAATATAAAATAATAAGAAAAGTATAAAAAAGTTTACTTACTTTTATATAAAATTAATAAATATAATATATTAAAGAATTAAAAGTTTTATATATTTAAAGTACTTAAAGGTATATAATAGATATTAATTATTCTATTTATTACTATTTAAAAGCTTATTTAAACCTATTTAAAGTATAGAGTTAACTTATTATTTATAACTCTATAATAAGAAAGTATATAATACTTTATTTAAATAACTAATTAGTTATTTAAGGGGTGTATTAAGCTATAGGTAACTAATTAGGTCTACTTATTATAATGCTTTATTATCTATAAAAATGGGCTTTCTATACTTACTATTTATAGTTGAATAACTAGTTAATTTACTCTATTCGATATGCCCTGCTTGGAATCGTGACAGCAGGCCTACCACGCTTAGAAGGACTTCTCTTCTGAATTAACTTTAATTCCGCTACGCTAGACACTTGATTTCATGATAGGTTTAGTCTCTGGTACACAGTGCAAAAAAGGAACCTCGACTTTTAGTGATGGGCCTCCACATTAGGGATTGTTGGCCAACAGCTAGCACCGTCAGATCAATGCCAACCACGTAGCGGATTAGCACTTGGGCTACATGTTGGGACGATCCAAGTCGAAGACGTCGCCAGAACCATGCTCACTAGCCTTGTATTTATGTCACCCTGCCTGCAGACTAGCTGATTTTCATTACCGGTATTGGTATTATATTATATTCTTACGCTGGGTATTTGAATTTTTGCCACTGCATCAGGGGAGCGTATGCCTTGCGGATACCCTAGGGTATCTACGGATTAAGAATAAAATCACTCATGCCTTCTCTGAACTGCGTCAGCCAAGTTTTTCCGTCGAGCTTGCTTGCCGTATGTGAGTATTGTGAAGAAGTGACCTCTAGCCACCGGAGTTGAAAGTCCCTTCTTCACTTCTACCTTCGCCTAGCTCTTTGACCAGAACGGTGTCGTGCCACGAGTTGTCCCACTTCAACCAACGCTCCGCAAGATAGATCTTTAGTTCTTCCCAGTTTTGCCCACGTTCACTGATAGGAAGCCAGTCTTCTCTCGTTCGTATGATAGAATATGGCAGGCTGTTCCTCTGCGCGTAATGCCACGCCATATTAGGGTTCGCGTTCTTCGCCAGCTTCTCCACGTGTAAGGCCTGGGCCGCGGTTCTTTGTGCCTCCTCCTCGCTCGCGGCGCGGTCAGCCTCACTCAGAGAAAGACTGGCCCGAAGGCGGCAGAGGAACATGGATGGAAAATGGAGGAACAGGCGCAGCCTGACGCGATCTGGCGACTCGACGCCACTGGGGTCAGGCAGATCCCACAATGAGAGTGTCCTTTGTGAGCCAAAGGCCTGCTTGTATTCTTCATGAATAATTAGCAGGGTCTGGAACAATTTCTCCACCCGCTGGAGAATACTCAAGTTTTTCGACATGTACTCGAATGAGTCGAGGGATTGTGTGCAGAACAGGTTTCTTGCGTCCCTTAATATTCCGGGCAGGAAGCACACGGTGCCAAAGAACCTCCACCAAAAACGAGCATCTCTGCCTCTAGCTCTACAAGCAGCGTCATCAAAGAAGTTTTGCCATCTGGGGGCCTCGAACATTGATGACTGCTTCTCGTGTATCTCGAATACCATCTGTAACCAGTAGTAAGCAGGGAGCTAGGGCTCAAGCGATTCAGATGGCGAGTGCCAGGATGGTACGAACAACTTGAGGTCCCTGACTTTTGATAAGCATGCAGTCAAAAGAGTTTGGATCAGTAGGAGGGCCTATGCGTCTAAGCAGCTCTATGCCAGCTTTGTTGTGAAAGATCAATGCATTGACGTCGGCATCACCGAGGGACTGACACATTACGTTGTTATCGTCAGGTCAACATATCCAGAGTCTGGATGATCTTTACCTCGTAAAGCACAAAAAGCCGTGTGGCGCAGTAAACGTCAGCGCAGGAACCTAATTGGATGCCGTTCTTTAGACTTCGCAGTGCTTTCCCGTAGAGTAAAGAAGGCGGAGTGGTCGTTTTGGACCGTCCGAGCGCCTGGGCAGCCCTTGCAGCCACGCAGTGTACAGCGTCGTCCAGGAAAGGAGATGATCCATATCGAGCTGGGAGGTGAGTGAGAAAAGATGACGGGTCTCCGGTTCTGATCAAGGCCGCGGACTGTTGCAAGCAGTCCTGAATCATCGAGTTGAAACTCGAACCAGCCACCGGCATGTCCACGTTCAGAAAGCTCTCTAGCGAGGTGACGTCGAAGTTGTAAATGACCCTGGTAGCCTCATATGCGCTGAAAGTGGGCTGCTTGACCGCCCCAGCTACAACGGACCCCAGCCTGGAGGGTGTCACACCACGCTGTAAGGTCTCAGATTTTGTGTTGGGTGCTTCCCGCGCGCTAGACGACTCCTCGTGCCCGGAAGACGCTCCGGTTTTCGTGGCCCGCGTCTTACGCAGCCGTGCTCCTGACCTGGCAGCTTGGCGCCTGACAAGAGCCCTGGCAGCCCCGTTGTGAGTAGCACATGTGTCAACAACGAACTCGAAGATTTGTCCATCTCTCTTTCGATTTGAATGCTTATTTCCTGTCTCAGTTGGCTGCATAGACTCTGGAGCCATGTGAAGGGGCCGTCAACACTTCAGGGTGGCGTGATGTGGAGGCACTGGTGGAAGATCAAAGTCGTGAGCATTTTCCTATCCGGGGAAACACCGAGGCATGCTGTAAGGTACTCAACAGACTGCGGGGTATTAAATATTCATATTACTTAGCTGTCAATCAAAATTGTCGTGCATGACCTGTTATTTGACAGAAAAGGGGCCTTGTCTGCGGCCTCAGCCAACGACATGCATGCACAGGGATAGGTAGGGGCACACTGTGTTACCATACCTATCTGAAATAGGCAAGCACTAGCATGTGCCAGTACTTTAGATATGCTATCAGAGGTCACACTCAACGTTTCAGGCCAGTTGCTGTCAATATTGACATGCCATTCCGGTGTTCTAAGAATCGCCCCGGCACAAAGCCAATTCACGCACTACATACATCGACTGAAATTATTGGACTACATGCTCACATTCCTTCGTTGGCTACACGATAAAGGAATGAAGCTCAGGGTGTTGGCCTGCTCGAGTGGCAGCGCGGGATGTCCACGTCAGTGAGCGGCGGGTAAATGGTGCAGCCATGGTTCCAACAGGCTGAAAGCTGCGAGGGGTGGTTACACCGTCGGAATTCCGAATCAGCTTAAGCATGATCTAGGTCATCTTCCGAAGACACCCGGAAAGTCGAACTGGGTAGCAAGTTGTATCAGCCAACAGACTACTGGGCCATTGCAATCAAGGGGCTAAGATCTAGATGTTTACGAGTTCAGACTCCTACTACATACTTAAGTAGGTAAAATCCAGAAACAGCCAGGCGGAATATTTCAAAACAACTTTCTATACAGATTCTGATTCTGCTCTATTCATGAATTCGGCCTTCTAGAGTATCGCTTCCTCGCTTTCTACATGTTCGCGACTCTGGAATTAAGAAGAGGCGGCCTCAACCCAGGACTCGGCGTTCTCGTCATCGATGCTTCCGAATGACCGCTCCGTGCTGGTCGCGTCACCAATCGTCACTGGGACATAGATAGTGCGGAACCCAACGCCATTGGTGAGCCCAGCAAACTCTGTGAGCAGCACCTTGATAACAGCAGGACCGCTCTCAAAATAGGTAGGGATGGTGAATTGAGGGTCCAGTGTCCCATTAAAGGAACCTCCGGGGAGGACATCTGTCGGGAAAAGGTTTGTTAGATTGGTGCTCAGACAAGGATCAATGATATGATCGGGATCACAATGTAAGATACAGCGAGTGAGGATCAACATTTTCCGACGAACCTTTAATGTAACCGCTATAGAATAGGCTAGAACCAATTTCGCCCTTGTAGATGTTGCCGTCGTCCTTCTGGATGCCAAAGATGAGGTTGTGCACCCTTGGCTGGCTGATCAATTGCTCGTAGTAGACCTTGAATGGGACGCCGACCTGGATTGTTGAAGGGAAGCCGAGGGTGTGAATGTATGCTTCTGTGACAGGGGCTAGACAAGCCGCGGCGGCTGACAGTAGAGCAGAGACACGCATGTTGGCGTTGTAAGAGAAGAGAGGGTGAGACGAATGAATCGGAGTGACTTCTGTTGCGCGTCTGGCCGAACGGTGTTGACTGGTGTTTGAGTTAAATCAATTGATTGGACACTGTTCCCTTCATAACGACGATTGGGAAGCCTGCTGGATTTATAAGAAACGGCGCTCACGTTTGTGGTGTATTCCTTTAGAGAAATGCTGATGCCTAGTTTGTAGCCTGTCTACAACTCGCTCAAACCCGGTTCCAATTTCCGTCGAGAATGAACTAGTAATGCCTAGCGAATCCTGATCTTGGGTCTAGATCACCACGGGTACCGCGATGGCTTCGGCGGATGCTACCCTACCCTAGGGTAACCTCATAGATGGGATTTTCCATACCGCACTATTCGTCCTTTCTGCCGTCCATTTTTTCCAACGGAATTGAAAATGCAGCCGTCCTGCCCGCAACATTGCAGCGCCATCAGGCTGCCACGTTGGAATGTCAACTGTACCTAGGTAGAGATCTAGGCAGAGACTTTTACTCAATTATTAGCCTCGGAACACCATGTGGATGATCAAAAAAAACTCATATCATTCACTCATACAAATATTAACAAGTGGATAATGCCTGCAAAGGTTGTGCTTTGCATTGGCTGGAGTTTCAACCACTCAAACTGCGATATATCGAAACCTTGTGTTCACTTCATGATTGGATGTCCAAATGAGTAAAGGGCGCTATGATCTTGTTGATCCATTTGCTTTATGACTTGTAGAACTTGAAGGTGTTTTGAGGCAAATCGTTGTTTTAAAAACTAGATTGGGGTCATTTGTGATGCTAGCGATGGAAAGACTCAGGGGTGGAAGAACCCTTTGCCCCTGCTGTACAACGGTATGTGTACGAAAGGTTTTATCCCGATAGCCGTTGAGTGAAAGTGCGTTATGAAATTCTTTGTAACTGGGGGCGCGTTACATCCAGAGGATTTGACGAGTCTGACTAGTCTAACAGAACGGCTGGTTGTACTAGTTCCCCTTAATTTCCGTGCCAGTTGTTAGGGTGTGGGATAAGGATTCTGCCTAAACTTGAGCTGATAGAGTTTATGCCAAGTTGCCAAGTTGGATGTCGAGAAACAGAACGTGTGGTGCACCTTGGTCCTGGAGGTGAACATGAAAATGTTCACGACCGGTAACGCATGGTATTGCAAGCTCAACGGTGGTTTCTACTTTTAGTAGACGCCCGGGCGATTGGAATTACTGCTGCTGGGCAGATCAGCTGCATTACTGCCTGCCACAACCAAAATAACTCCAGCCACTACTTATTTCTCGGCGAGGTTTTGGCCTAGATGATAGAGTGGCCGAGCTTAGATGGCCAGCCAGATGACCAACCTCTTAGCAGATGCGAGGGGTATCGCGGCATCGCAACATTTTGTGGCGCAGCGGATGATATCCGTATCTCGGGTCCTGCCCTCCACCGTGGCTCGACGTTACATGATCACCCCACGCAGAGCCTCATCCTTCACACCCGCGCAACACTACCTCATCTGATCAATCATCATCATTGAGATTCTTTCGAGTCGTACCATAAAGCATGCAGGGCTCACAACAGGCCCGATCTCACCCGATCCTCCGACTTGCATCCGCTGTGCGGCGCCGTATTCACCACCACTTTCACCCTGCATTTGGACCTTTGCCTTCTTGTGTTGATTCCACCTTCATGGGGGGAAAGACCGGGAGTTGCTTCTGGGGCTCCACTACCTACTTCTATCATGCCGCACACTCTATGAAGAGGTTTCCGACTTGCTTTACTCCAACAACATCTTCGAGATCTCGTACATGAGTGCAGGCTCTCCTCGTCAAATACAAAATCTCAATGGCAATCATTACATCCACTGCTAGCATTAAAACATACGGGGCTTTGTGATGGTTCCAATGTCAGTATCCGCGGAATACTCGAAATCCTCACTACCCTATGTAGGCCATTTAGCGAGAACAATACCCAAGGGTAGTCTTGTGTGACTTCTGAGTTTTCGTCTGTGAGTATGTCTTCAAAGGTCGTCGGAAGAGTAAGGTAGGATGAGCCGGTCACGGGCTTGACAACGTGATGGCCAGTCCCTGTGAAGGATTCAGCCAAGGCCCCCACCGATGCTGACGGCCCACCCGAGTGGCTTCACTGGCCTGCTGCATGAACAAGCCCATCATGCTTGGACGCCGACAGCGCATCAAAGCTGTCCTCGCATAATATTAGTCTCGTCACACTCGAAATGAGGGTCCAAAGCCAACTTCCCGGGTCAGCCTCAGTGGGGGAATCAGCAGAAAAGAGCTCCTCATCCGGACCGTCGCTGCACGAGGCCGCACGGGACGGGGACGTCCGCAGCCTGAGAAAAACGCTCCGCTCAGGCTCCGCACTGGACGTCAACGAGCTCGACGACGAGGAGAGGACAGCCCTGCACTACGCATCCAACTCGCTGATCGCGGAGAGACTCATCAACGCCGGCGCGGTCGTCGACATTGAGGACGCAGAGGGGTGCACGCCGCTGCACCGGGCCGCGGCGGGTGGGCGGCTCGACGTGATCTGGCTGCTCCTCGAACATGGCGCGAAGACCGACAGCCGGGACGACGACGGGAAAACACCGATCGCCCATGCTAAAGGCTGTGAGCCGGCGGAGTGGATGCTCCACCACAAGCCAGCAAGGGCTCTCCTCCGGGCCGTGGAGGCGGACAGGGCGGATATAGTGGAAGCCCTGCTCGGTGCCGGTGCCGACAAGGAGGTGAGGAATGAGAATGGCTACGTGGCCCTCATCGTCGCCACGCTCCGTGGGTCCTGGGCTGCTGCCCGAGTGCTCATCGATCACGGGGCGGACACCGACGTCTACGGGGACATGGGCAACGGGGTGATCCACATGGCTGCCCACCGAGCGCCAGCAGAGTTCATGGAGCTCCTCCTCGACAAGGGCCTGCCTATCAACTACATCAACCAATGGGGCGGCACACCTTTGCTCGAGGCCGCAGAGCGTGACGGTCGGGACGAGGTAATCGCGCTGCTCCTTGAGAGGGGCGCTGACCCAGCGCCCAGGAACAACGCAGGATACACGGCCCTGCAGCTGGCTGCTCTGGCTGGGAAGACGGAAGTTGTCAAGATGATCCTGAGCCGGATGAAGGACCGCGAGCTGTTGACACCTACCGACCCGCCTGGCTCGGGACCCAGCTGCTGGTCGCCGTTGGCTGAGGCGAGTTACCACGGGCACCCTGACTGCGTTCGCCTGCTGCTCGAGGCTGGTTCTGAGGTCGGGATCCGGGTGGACGGGAACAATACGCCGTTACACCTTGTGCTGTGGCCCATCGACGTGGACCGGCCAGTCGAAGACCAGATCGAGGTCATGCGGCTGCTTCTCGACCACGGGGCGCTGGTCAACTCCGAAGGGGAGGACGAAATGACGCCCCTCGCAGCCGCGTGCCGGTGGAACTCGCTACCACTTGTGCAGTTCCTCATCGATTCCGGGGCGGACTTGGACAGCGTAGCTTGGAACAGAGAGGACGAGCCTGAGAGGGAGTTTGGCTACACAAATCTGATGCTCTCCGTGGCGTACGGCGGCGACGATAACCTGGAAGTTGTCACGGCGTTGATCAAAGCCGGGGCAGACGTGAATGCACGAACGTACGGCAATAGGAATTCGACTGCAATGGAGATGGCTAAGCATCGAGGCAGGATGGATATTGTGTACGTTCTTGAAGATGCTGGGGCCACTCCTGATAAACCCCGCAATATTTCTGTCGGTCGAGGCAGACGTTGAAGAACACGCCTGTTGAATACGGGCGCCACGTAACTAGGTAACTTTATCATAATGCAAATATTTCACGATGCAGGACTAGGAAGACTCAAGCCTTTGCTCACAAGAGAGAATTACGGCATTCCATGCCCATAAGCCTCCTAAAAGCATTGCCTTACGAGTCGTTCAATATTCAGCGACCGATTCACGTAATATTCTTATATTGTCGCATATGTACAAATTAAACTATCATCCCTTCCACCGCCGTCGCTCGTAGACTCAAACTACGCAGCCGGGATAGGGAAGGGCTCTACGCTTGTAAGCGTCGGCACCACGGGCTCGATCAGCCCAGTCTCCTGGTCGAACGTCAACTTGTCGATGGTAGTCTCACGGTGGGTCCCATCGCCATCCGGAATGTGGAACCGATGATAGGCAATGTACCAAACATCCGTCCCCGGGACGTTGAGGATGGAGTTGTGGCCCGTCCCCAAGATACCCTGGCTCGTGTCCTTTTGGAGCACGACACCCTGGTAAGTCCAAGGACCAGTGACGGAGTCGGAGGTCGCGTAGCCGATGCGGTAGTTCTCGGATCCGGTGTCGTCGATCGAGTAGGTGAGGTGGTAGACTCCCTCGCGGTAGACTAGGAAGAGGCCCTCCCTGAAGTCGACGAGCCCCGTGATGTTCTGGACGGTGTCCCAGTTGATCGATACCATGTCGTCGTTGAACTGGGCGATCAACGGTCGGCCGTTGCCCCAGAGCAGCCAGTATATGCCGGTCTGGGGGTCCTGGAAGGTCGCCGGGTCGATGGCCTGGTTTGTGGTCAACTCCTCGTTGTTGAGGATCATCGCGGTTGGCTGCGCGACAAACGGCCCCTCGGGCGAGCTCGCGACGGCGGCGCCGATAGTCTTGCGGTTGTAGGTCGGGTTGTGGCCGCTGAAGTAGAAGTAGAAGCTCCCGTCCCTCTCGATGATGGTTGGAGCCCACGCGTTTCCACTCGCCCACGGAACGCTGCCGGATGTGCCGTTGAGGACCAGGAATGGCTCCTCCGACCGAGTCCATGTGCTCAGGTCCTGGGATGACCAGGAGTAGAAGGTCTGGCCGCCCCATCCAGGGAAACCATCACTAGTCGCATAGATGTAGTAGGTCTCTCCAAACGCTACAATATTCGGGTCGGCATTCAGACCAGCCAACACGGGGCTGTCGCGGGGCACGATTCTGTTCTTGCGATCCTTCCGTGCCGTGGCAAGTCCGTCCGCACCGGCTGACCTGGGCTGTGCGGAGCCGGCCGTCAGAGCTGAAAGCTCGGCCGCTGTGACCGGGATGACGGTGCCGTGTCTTGGGCTCGAAGGGAGATCATAGGAGCTCGAAACCGCCCAGTCCGGGTTTGCAATGTCCGCAGTCTCGAGGGGGATATATCCACGACCGGTATACTCGTCAACGAAGAGGTAGAATTTGTCTCCATTAACATCTCCCGGGTTTGCCCTGAAGGCTGTTGGGCCTTCCACTGCGCTTGTACCTGCGTCCCTGCCGATGCAGGTGGCGACGGTCGTCCATGACTCCAGAGTTGCGAGGAGCGAGCCCGACCTCTCCTGGATAATATCGCTACAGCCCGTCCCACTGGCTCCCTCGTCCTTGGTAAAGCGGTAGTAGACGCTGTCGGACTTCAGGACGGTAGAATCGATCCTAGACATGCCCGCATCTTGCCAGGTCTTGGTCTCACTGAACGTGACGAAGTCCTGGGTAGTTGCGTACAGCATCCGGTGGTAAGTTGCCCCCGTGCGGTTTGTGTCGGCGGCGTCGTAGAGAGATGATGCCCAGAACACAACATAGGCGTTGATATCCTCATCGTAGTACGCCTCGGGCGCCCAGGTGTTGCCAGCCTCAGGTGGGGAGACCTGGACGTGACGCTGGCTTGACCATGTCTTCAGGTCGGTCGACTCCCAAACCTCGAGATATCGGCTTCCGAACCGCACTGCATCCGACCAGGAGGTCCCCGAACCGATCGACAGGTCGGTGGCAATGAGGAAGAACTTGTCCCCCTGCGGTGATCGGATGAGGAATGGATCTCGCAGGCCTTTGGTTCCCAGGGATGAGGTGAGGATGGGCTGGCCTCCGTTCAACTCCTGCCACGACAGGGCGTTGTTGCCTGAACTTGCAGCTAGGAAAATGTTCTCGCCAGCCTTTGAGTTTCCGGTGAAGTACGCGAAGACATAGCCTTCATATGGATCCAAAGCCACGACGGTGTGGACGGCGAACGCGGAGGCCAATGCCAGGAACGAGCCTGTAGGTCGCATCGTGTCGGAATATGGGACTGCGTGAAGCCTGCGACAAGCACATTCGCGTCGCACGCGTCCGGGTCCGAAAGCAGGCACGACGGGCTTATATGCACGTCTTCACGATCTGCGGCTCCATAGTGGTTCACGCCATTAGGGCGCATATGCGGTCCACTGCATCTTTGTGGACTCTTTCGGGTTATGCATGATCGTCGGCCGAGCACAAAGAGTGCCCCTGTCGTATCACCCGTCCATTCGCCGTATCACGCGCCGAGTCACTTAGATGCTTTGCGGGGAAACGTGGGGACCGAGTCGTGGAGAATACACGAGCAGAGTCTTGGCTTGCCGGCGTACAAGGGGAATAATACAACAGCATCAGGCGCGTATGGGTGCTCAACGGGGGGCTCTCTTCGCTAGCTAGGGGCGGCCTCCAAGAGAACCAGTGGTAATTCAATCTCGTGTAGGTCAGCCGATCTGTGGGGAACTTCAGGCCTAAAAATTGTGATGGTCTTGGCTGCTGGATTACATACATCGGTTCCGGGTTCCCCAGGTTCTGACCGTTGCAGTACTACCTTAGTCTTGATTTTGGCACAGGATTCCGTACGGCTCATCAGATTGTGCAGGCATAGCCCTGAGCGGCCAGGCTCTGGCGGATCCCGGAGAGCCAAGGCAGATTAATCAGGCGAAGCGCCCATCTCACTCTGCCATTCGTCCAATTATTTGCGAAGACCAACTGAAGGACAGAACGACTACATGGTCTTGCCAGTGAAATATCTCCCCAACGTACGGCGCTCTCATAGGGATCACCTAGCGTTCCTCAACACCATTAGTGATGTCTTGTTCATGTATAATTGGATAGGCGACCTCTTCAAGTCGAATCGAATGGTCTTCGCGGTAATTAAGGGCGTGAGCCCCCAATTGCTTAAGCCCATCTCTTCACCGTGCTCAATCACATGGCCACCACTGACCTTGACAAAAATAGCAAAGTTATCAGCGTGTTCCCAGTCAACGAGATGTCCTTCAACGAAACCATATAAGACATCGAATCCGTGGAAGCCGCCACAAACTGTGAGGGTGTTGGATTGGCTCTGTTGCCAGTGTAATTCGTGAAAAGCGACAGCATGCTTCTTGGCCTCGTCACAGAGACGTTATCAAGTCGAATTCGCTGAACGGTAATAAACATTTCAGGAAAATATAAAACCCAGGACACATCTTGTTTAGGCCAAATGCCCTGCTGATAAATGACACTGGCTCGGCAAGGAGATCCATGAACCTTATGGTCGGTCATATTACTAATCTTCGGACCTTGAAAACAAAGAGGTGGTGGCGAGTTTGTCAGAAAGAAGACCCCAAACCATAGCAACTTGGGGCATGAGTGCCTTAGATGCACCACTTCGTCGCATTCCAGTGGCTACTCATCTTGTTATACTAGTATCAATAGATGCTCTATTGGCGAGCAAGACCTGAATAAAAGCAGAGTAATATGAATTTCACGAGAAAGCGCACATGCTAACTACCCTCTGCCCAATCAGACAAAGTAGCTCCTCATACCCAATACCCTTGGACTGAGTTGAGAGACCGTATCTCGGGCATGAGAAGTTGGCTGCGTGGAACCAGTGGGACTAGATAGGAGCCCGCCGCCTCATTGACAGGCACAAAGGCGAGGAGGACATGCCTCCGGCAGCACGAAGTCGTGTGAGAAGGGCACCTGCAGGCAAGAAAGAGCGGGGGCTTGACACACGGTTGTGAAGGCCACAGAATCGACGGCAACTCAAGCCCGGCTAGCTCAATCGGTAGAGCGTGAGACTCTTAATGAGCCTCGTGTTCTGAAAGAAAAAAATCTCAAGGTTGTGGGGTAAGAGAAAATTCAGACATCCCAAGACTCGGTCCAGAACTGGTCCATTAACATCTGACTCAGTTCGACCCCCACGTCGGGCTCAATTCCCGTCGCATCAATCATAACTTTTTTTGGCCATTTGTTTAATATCTCCGTCCTGTTGTCAATATTTTCTTTTGAAAGAATATTCGATATAAAAAATAGAGCCAGGAATTTAAGCATTTACCACGCCGTAAAGTTACCGCATATCAATGGCTTCGGGTGTGTACAGAAGGACCCACACCTCTGGATCATTTTAGGGCTCTTTAAGGTGCCTGACTGGGTTTAATGGACCCAACTGGATCTTGAGCGTTTACCACTTTATGAAGGCGCCACGTACATTTTACATGTATGGGGATTAAAAACGAAAGCACATGAAGGCGCCGCATTCGTTTTATATGTATGGGGGGTAGAAACGAAACCACCTCCTGGGTGATACTATAGAACGTCACCTACCGGCCGGTCACCCACCGCATCATGTTTTTACAATCAACTGAAATGCGTAACTGCTAGTGTGACTGTGTGAGTGAGTCCTTGAACAAGTCGGAGCGAAATACCCTGTTCTCGAGGCATTTCGGTGCCAACGGAAAATTCATTTCACTACAGTGAAGTAATAGCCTCCAATGTACCTAAGCATCAGCAACATCAAGCGCCTCTCGTAGCAACTTGAACGTACTTGGAGAAGCCTTCAGAGTGCGAGAGAAAAGGTTCGCGTTGTCACCAGGAGACCAATAAATAACGAGCAGGAGGGCCCCGAAGGGAAACAACGCGGAAATAGCAGAAAAAGTAATGGCGAACATTATCTGTCATGTGCTGCATAGCTCACCCCCTCCTGCTCTTCAACTCAAAATCCCGCCACACATCACATGTGGTTTCGTTTCTCAAGACTATATATATAAACCATATGTGGCGCCTTGAGTGGTGATCGCTTCGGACCCAGCTTTTAAACAAAATATAGTGCCAATGACAGTACAGAGAGAACATAGGTGGGCACGTGGCCTCAGCCACGTGCCGCACACACCACACATTACATCGCGCCAAGTGTAGACAGCGAGGTAAGGTTCAGTTGAATGAATACGACAGTGTACACATATGACTTCCTCGGAAGAACCGCACATGAACAACACCTGGGCAGGGAGTCAGATATTAATCCCACGCCGTCAACAAGCACACACAACAAGGTTTTTGCAAGACCCGACACCGAACACGCATGCAAAGTCAAATCATACCCCGGGATACTCTCCCTCTGCCCCCCTTTGAAAAAAGTAAGCCCAACAACATTTACACCCACAAACCTTGTTCCGTGAGCACCCGCCAAGTGGGCAGCCGTTCCTCCAAATGGGAGAAGGAAAAAAAAAGACGCGAGCAAGTCGCCCTGCGTAGGTAAGAAGGCCCTGACTGAGCACTACAGGCCAACAACAGCAAGCAATAAGCAAAGATCAACAAGACATAATGTGACGGTGGTTTCTTTGCTCGGTTCATCAATCAACAGGGCAAGAAAACAAGAAAAGAAATGCATGCCGGGGTGCAGTTAACTTCCCAATTGGACCCGCTACACCACAAACCACACACCCACACCCACGCACCCAACGCGCGCACACACAGAAAATCACTGTCCTCCCCCGGAACCCCAGCCATATCTTGCATCGAGTCTATTAACACTGCTTGCACACTGCAACTATACACAGCACCGCACCCGGTCACAGCACCCCTGGCCCAGCACAAAAGCACCTGGGCCACCAGTCCACTCGTCAAAAAAAGCCCACCACAATAATATCCCGATCCAGAACCACCACCTTCTTTGCCCCATCAACAACAACAGCAACAGCAACAGCAACAACAGCAGGCTAGAAATTACTCCAGTGACTGGTTGCATTTGTGCACCTCGCCTCCGGACAGTGCAGGCCAGCGCCAGCCCGGACACCAAAAAAGCCCGCCTACCACCCAACCCACCAAACCCGCAGACTCGGGACGAATCCCAGACGCGCTGGCCGTTTCAACCCATCACGTCAGGGTTTCCGCCTCAGCTGCAGCTGCACCTGCACCAGCGATCCGAGTCTCCGCCGACCGGCTGGCCGGCTCTCTACTTGCTTACTTACTTTGGTAACTACACACCTGCAAATAGGTAGAAAATGCGCGCGTGTCTAAGGGTAGTCGGGTTTCAACTTGGACTGCACACGGCCCAGTCTGCCCTGCCAGTCAGTCAGTCGCTCACTCGCTTGTGCACTCAGTGCACCTCCCCCCCCCCAGCCACCCACCTTCATCAAAGCCAGAACATCCCTCCAAAGCAAAAAAGGTTCCTAGAACGTCTTCGAGTTAATCATTTTTATGATTCTGATTCTGTTTGTTTCTATTGACCAAGTCTCGTAAATATGCTGATCAGGCATCGAGTACCGCTCGTGCCCAGCCCAGCCCATCTGCCGTCTGCCGAGCCTGCCTCCCTCCCTGAGGGGGTCTTTTGTGGTCTTTTTCTCATCCTGTAAACTGTTTTCTTCCAGTTATGTACACAAAGGATGGAATGGTATGTCCTGATTCTTCATCGGAGAAAGACTAGTAGGAAATAATGATGATCTTGAAACGCTCGATTGATGACACATGTTGGTCCTACCCTACACCACCGCCCATTATTTACTGGTGCTCGGCCAGGCCGAGCGAGTTGTTGCCACCGTTGAAGGCGACGAACTGGGACTTGAAGAAAATGTCACCGTAGATGCCGAGGTTGCCCTGGGAGGCCTGGACACCACCAAAGCAAGCTGTGGGGGTTTTATTAGCCTTGACTTATGGAAGAAACGTATGCACGGAAACAAACTCACTGTTTCCTTGGACCTGAGCAAAGTTGATGTCAGAGCCCTTGACACGAGCCATGAAGTTGTCGCCAACTTGCATCATCAGATCGGGGAGCTGGGCGTCGCAAGGGACGGTAACACCTCCGACCTGGGCGTCGTTGACGGCACCGGGAACTTGCGAGTAGTAGCCCTGGACAACGGTGGGGTTGGTGATGATGAGGGTGGTGCCGGTGTCAGCGATGGCCTGGAAGCCGGGCTGGCCCATGGTTGGTGCACCGTTGCCGACGGCGAACATCTGTGAGGGGAACTGCCAGAAGCCCTGGGTGGTGTTGACTGGGACCCAGGTCATGGTGCCGTTGAACTTGGTGGTGTCGACACGGCCAAACTCGTAGGAACCCGCGGCGGCCTTGCGGAGGTCGGCGGTGAAGACGGGCTCAGCGAGCGATGGCATGACATTGTCGAAGAATGTCTTCTGCTGCTGGGGCTTGACGGTGTTCAGCTTGCTGAAGGCCAGGCCAACGAGACCGTTGTTGTTGGCATCCTCAGTGAAGGACTGAGACACGGCAGTGGCCATCTCAATGGCCTGCTCGGTCACGGTGACACCACCAATGTCGACAGTGTCAGTTCCGACATTGCCAGCCGCCCCAGAACCGTCACCATAGCTGATGGAGAAGGAAGCACCCTGGACCATCTTCAGGGACTTGGACTTGGTGGGGTCGTACAGGGTGTGGCCGACGGTGGACTGGGCAGCAAGCTGGGTGTTGAAGATCCAGAGGTCGGATGAGCCAGAGTCGAAGTCAAGGTTCAGGGTCTGTCCACCGATGGTGACGGGCGACAGATATTCGACGTCGCCCTTCTCTGGGGTGGCCGCCACAAGACCAACACCTGCAGTTCCGTTGGCGGCGTTGGAGGTGGCGTTGGCGGCGTTGACGCTGGCCATCGGCGCCATCTTTGCTGGTGCTGGGCCGGAGCTGACGGCGGCGGCGCTGTTGGTGAGCTTGTCAGCGGTTGCGCCCTGGTTGCGAATCGAGTCCATCAGCCCTGGTGGGATGTTCATGCGGTATTTCCTCAGCGACTTGAGCAGCTGCTTGGGTCCATTGTGCCCTGCAAAGCTGGGGTTTGCTACCCGCTCGACCTTGAAGACTCCTCGCTTCTGGAGCTTAGGTGACGGCGCTGCCGCGACCAGAGCGGCGAGGAGGCCTAGAAAGAGAAAGGCTCTGATGAACGACTGCATCTTGGCGTCTGTATGGAGGGAGAGGGATGGAGAATAGAATTAACGAAGAAAAGGCCACACCAGGTGGTTAGGGAGAAATAAAAACGCAGGGAGGAGGGAATGAGACAGCTCAGACCCGAAATCTTCCTACTCCTGCTCGATACCTCGAACAAAGAATGTGAGACAGACTGGGCAAAGAAAGGATGTGAGAAAGGGAAAGGTATGGAGGGAAAGGGGAGAGGAATATCGAAGTAGATAAACCAGTCGAGCTCTGCTGACGAAGGAGAGAGAAAAGGAACAGTAGTCCCGAGAAAGACGAACCTTAAGAAGGGTTGAAAGGCTAGGAGCTCAGACCCGAGACATGGTCATGGCTGTCGTGAAGTCGGGGTGGTGAATACGGGAATATGGGAGTGAGGGCACGTCAGGAACAGGCACCCTGGAAACAGGGGGTCAAAGGTTACGTACCCGCTTGCCCCCCTTGGCGCAGAGGTACAAGCATCGACAAGCATCATTGGCGAAAGCTCAGCCCGAGGGTGGCAGCGGGCCAGACGCGCACAGTTGCATTTTGAGGCCGATCCAAGACGGCGTCTGTGGCATGGCGGTGGAGAAACAGTGAGGCAGACCCCAGCAAGATCCGGGGGACACCCATGGGTGTGGACCAAGGTGGTGCGGCGATCCAGGAGCCGCATCTGCAGGGATTGACTGGAGCCTCATGCCATGTTCTGCAACATTGGGGTCCGTCTGAGCAGGCTAAGTCAACGTCCAGCTCAGCCTTTTCCCCATCGGGCCGCCAGTGGCTTGTCTGGGAAGGTTTCCGTCGCTCGCACCGCACCTTTTGGCATGCACGAATCAGCGGCCGAGGCGGCCAGCGGCAAAATCGACCAGCTCTACACCAGAACCCACGGCTTCCAGACCTGCCTCCTGTATCATGTAAGATGAGCCCAGGGCAAATGATCCATGGTAAGCCTGCTGCAGCCTGTGGGAAAACAAACAGGCTGTGTTTGGACTAATTGGGAGGGGGGGTTGAGGGTAGTTTTGATTGATGGCAGGCTGCGAGGGGGCCTGTCGAGCTGGCCCATGGGCGTGCAGCCGATGGATGACCTGACTGACATCTGATGAGCGGTGCCTGGCAAACCGCCAGCATCCCAGTATGGCCCGCCATTGACGGGCTTGGGGTGCTTGATGAGAACCAGACTCTGGAGTGCCGGCTTGGGACTGATCCCGTTTCGCGTGGCGAGCTCAAACGTTGACAGCGTAGGAAGATTTGTCGACATCAGAAAAAACAATCGGTTGACTGCGGGTGCCCAGGATGCCAGTGCTGGACAAGCTTTCATGCTGATAATTGGCTGGTGGTTGGACGACCTGAGGAGGCGGTCCTCGGGAGCCCAGCAACCGGCCCCAGATTGCCCAGGTGGGTGGATTACCCGAATAGAAGTTGCTGCGGATGGGACGGGCACGGCACTGATGGGAGGACGATATTTGACAAATTGTAGCCCGACTCCTATGGTGTCGGAGACGGAGAGACGGAGAGACTGGACGAAGATGAGGCTGGTGCAAGCGGCAGCCAGCAATATTGAATCAAAGCTGCCCAGCTGTTGGTCCTGAGCTGCACAGCCCACCGGGAGTCTACGTTCCCAGGCAGCCCAGGCCAGCAGGCGTGGGTGGCGTTAGTTTCGTTTACCACGTTTCCTCGGACGGTGGTTCGTAGCCAGATCTGAGTTGGCGCTGGCTTAGACGGCGGATCTTGCATCTTGGCTCTTGGCTCTTGGCGGAACAGCGGCACAGGACTGGTTCAGTGGCCGTTTCAGGGGCGTTGTAGGCGTAGAATCAGCGGCCGGGATGCGCAGATCTGCCCAAGGCGGCGAGGCTTAACTGCTGCATGTCTGTTTGTCTGCTCGAGCCCGCTGTGCCTGCAGGACTCAAGCAGCATGGCAGCATGGATGGGTGATCACCATTGATCTGCCAAATGATCCTCCCGGGCTTCTAGGCAAAGGCAACGCAGAGCCGGGCGCCCACACACCGAGAGCCAGTCGCGATGGCCGAGAGGCGCATTCGGACGAAGCAGAAACGGAACAGTGATCCGAGAGCTGCCTTGGCCCATCTTCAGGACAAGAACACGGCATTGAAGTGCAGTGCAGTGCAGTGTGCATTGATCAATTGTAGGTGTCGGACAACTGTCGCCTGGTCTTGCAGGTCGGCCAGAATGTCAGACTGTCCAGACTGTGAGGCGTTGATTGTCCTTGGGGGGGATCATCATCTCCACGCAGCACCAGGGAGGAGGCTGTCGGTCTCGGGGGTGACGACTGCAGGCTGAGCACGACCCTGAGAGATGACGACACCAGCTGCAGGACGCGTGGTCGTGCGATTCGGCGGGCGAGGCGAGGAGCGTGGGTGGGTGGCAGTGGCGGCGGGTGATGTGTTGACGGGATTCTGGAAAAAGTGCTCGCTCGCTCGGGCTCGAAACACAGACTGGGGTTGAGCGCGCGACTGGCAAGAGCCGCCGGGGCAGGTGCTCTGTTGCGGTTGGTGGCTTGTTCTGAACTTCTGTGGAGGATGGTTTGGGCGTGGTTTCAGCATCTTCGGACGCCTGGTGAGGGGTTGTTTCGACGCGGACCCACTCGGAGCCAACCCCAGCCAGCATGGCGTCGTCGACAGAGACACCGAGCCGGTTGACGGTCCAGCATGTTATTTTTGTCAGCAGATGCAGTCAGCTGCACCTTGTATGTACTGTACCTGGGTACCTGGATATTGCTGGGAGATGAGTTGCCATTCTGGGATCAATTTGGGAGAGAAAAGCACCTGCACCCAGAGGATCAAATTTGTGTGCAGTGCGCAGTCAAGGAGAAAAATGGAGACCAAGATCAAAGACGGGCAGCCAAATGCTTGTCTACGGAGTACAGGTCATGGCCTGCCAAGCTCAACATCAATCCTGGGCAAGAGCTTCTTTCCCGTCATCACTTGGCAGCCACGATTGACCCACGCAGAGATCGTGACGTTTTCCGAGAGGCAGCTGCCACTGCACTGCACCGAGCGAGGGAAGCTGCGAGTCAGCACCATGCCAAGCCGCTACACACCCCAGACCTGGGGAGGCGAGGTGCGGATCGAGCCGCCCAGGGGGTACGGAGTACTTGCCTGGGTGCGTAACAGGGGCTGCATTTAACCTTAGAAAAGAACTCACGCTTGACGCCGCCAGATAGATTAGGCGCCCCATCTATCTCGCACCCTCCTGTCCGCACCACAGGGGTGATTTGAGACTGGCCAAAGTTGGTGACGGGCATAGATGGAATGACGGCTCTTGGCAGCCGAACTCATCAGATAGATCTCTGAAAGACAAGACAGCAGGCACAAAGACATTCTTTGGGGCGGCATCATATTGGGGCCGTTGTCAACTGCCAGTGGTACTGGATTGTCAATGACCAACATTGTAATGTTCTTTTGTCCTCGACACAAAGAACACAGCCTTGTCTTGTTACTCGATATGACCAACCAAAGTTGTTCCCTCAAAAGTCAAGTGAAGGTATTTAATCCAAGATGCCCAGGTGATGGATCACTGCCATTGCTGTCTCCGTATCCAAGCGTCTTCTGTACCATCGCTACTCAACTACTAGTAATTATACAGAGACAAAGCAACCAACCCAGTAAGTGCAAACTGCCCAACAGCAGCATCTAGTAAGTGAGTAGCACCAGAAGCCAAGGGTCACCAGCGAAGCAATGTCACAATCGTCCAACAACCCGTTCCACACATCCAACCCCTTCCACTCGCCGCAGGACTTGGAAGTAGACGGCTTCGAGGAGATCGAGCTCGGCTCGAGGGCCGCCCCACGCCCGGGCCCCGGACAACAACACCAACAGGAGGAACAGCACGGCGATGTGGACCCTGACGAGAGCACCGAGCACAACGAGCCAACCCTCGTGGTCGGCCAGGACGTCTTCCGCAACCGCCAGCGCCTCCTGGAGCAGCGCCGCATGATCGCCCTGGCCCTGGGCGCGGCCGCCGTCCTCCTGCTCACCTCGACCGTCACCCTCGCCATCCTCTACGGGAAGCTGCTCCGCCACGGGCACGACGCAGCACCCCAGCCCACCACCGTGGCCACAACCGTGACCATCCACCACACAGCAACACCAACAACCATCTCCTCGGCCACACTCACAACCCCCGTGACCACAGTAACCAACATAGCCCTCTCCCCCGCGGCCCCCAAGCCAACCCAGTGCTGGCCGGGCTCCGTCTGGGGCGGCGCCGACCTCAAGGAGGTCAACGAGGACTACACGACGCTCATGGCCGTCGCCCTGGGGACCTCGCAGCTCGGCCGCCTCGGCATCGCCACCGACTACGACCTCGTCGCCCTGCGCAGCATCTTCCTGTGCGGCATGTCCATGGCGCCCGGCGAGCTGCAGGTCCTCGACGTCTGCAAGGGGGCCTACGTCTCCAAGGGGGACGGGACCCGGTGCGACGACCAGGGGAGCGAGCTGCGTGACGGTAAGGTGGTTGCCACGAGTACGCGTTGATGCGGGGGTGACTACCTAGGTAACTAACTGCCTGCGTCTGTGGTCACTTGCCCCTTCTTCTATCGGGCTGGACCTGGATCGGGAAAGGGGGTTGTGAAGCCACTGGCTGCATGCTACCATGCTAAATAAGGCGAGGTAGTGGTCAGCCTGAGGTAGGTAGGCTTCACCGAATTGGCTGGTTTTGGTGAAACCTTGCTCTAGATGTAAAGATGCCTTAGGTAGGTCTTGAGCAAACCCGGGCGGTCCGGGTATGACCGGCAGCCCGAGTCTGGGCTGTGCTCGACACTGGTAAGTGTAATATTCTTATAAAAGCATTTATATAAACCTCTATTCTACCCTAGGGTACTTTCGTGTTTGTTATAACTACAGTGTGTGGTGTTGTTGTATTAAAATACCGAAGTACTACGCTGCCTGGGCGCGCGTGTTGCCGTTACAGTAGATCGTTTTTTCACCTTCGACCAATGTCTAACAAAAAAAGTGCTGTTGTGGTTATCATGATAATAGACTTCATAAGTGATTAGCACGTGAGTTGTTAGGACAAAGAAGCTTTCAAGAAGTCGTCTTCCTGAGGATCAAGTAATGTTAATCTAATCCAAATAATTCTTATGATTCTATTATTCAAGTACGGTCGGAACCTTGGAAACGTCTCTAGAGTGCAATATAATGGCCCTCTGGCGCAGGTATTCGAACTTAAATACTATACTATGCGTTAGTAGGTACTAAAAATAGTTACCATAAATATTTATACCTTTCTAATAACCTTTTAATTATTATACTATTTTTCTCTTTTTAAGGTTATTATTATAATATTTATCTTAATTTAATAATTATAATAGTTTATATTATTAAGTCTAAATAATTATTTAAGAATTATAAAGTTATTTTAAAGGTTAAAAATAATCTTAAAGAAAAAAGAATTATAGAAATAAAAATAGATTTATTAAAAAAACTCCTTTTTTTTAAATAACTCTCTCTTTATTTCCCTATAGTTAGTTTCCTATTTAAATATATTAACTAACTAAAAGAGAATCCCTCCCTTCCCTTTCTTACTAAATCTTTTTTAAGTTTTTAATTTTTATTAACCTTATATTACTTCTGATAACCCTACTTCTAATAACCCTTTTAAATCTTTAAATATAGTTAATTTTAACTATTTAGATACTGAAGTATTTAGGTAATTAACTTAAAGAAAGAAGGTAAAGAACTTAATTAAAGTTAAAGGAAGGAAGAAAGGAAGGAAGGAAGGAAGGAAAAAGTACTCCTCCTTTTTTTATATAAAGGAAGATATAAAAACTTCTTTATAACTACTTTTTTTCTCTATAACTACTTTATCTTTTAATAACCCTTTTTTTTATAAATCTATCTAACTATAAAGAAATTATTAAAAAACTAAATAATTACCTATACTATAAAACTATTATTTATATTAAGTATACTTAAAGTTAGTTTTAAAGGGATAATAGTTAAATAAATAAATAAATGTTATAGTAACTATCTCTAGTATCCACTAACACACAATATGGTACCTAACACTGCGCCTCTTAGCGGGATGCAGACCAAGACTGTTGGTTCACACGGAGCGGGTTGATTGGACGGCGACTGGGGGCCCCTGTTCCGCAGCCCCTCAGCTAGAAGAAGAATGGTTATCTATCGCTTCCTCGCATCTTTCTTCTTAATTCCGCAGCTCTTGGTGAAAGAAGAGGGGCGAATATCGATATTCATTCAAACTGCTAACTTGAGGCGAAATATGGCCATGGACGCCACCACGACTATCAGCCCAACGGGAAAGGTTTTAGTAGACCTAGCGATATTAAAACGTACATATCCAACGCCACTTCTGTGTTTGATCGGGCGCCCGTGTATGCTGATTTCATTTCCACAGATTTACCATCAGGGAGCGTGGTCACTGACGTAATTCCATGGGCAGAATCTGGATGGACAGAAACCAGACGACTAAGCACAACCTTGCCGGACGGCAAAGTCAAAGAGTACTTTGTCAAGTCGAACTCGGACGCCATCGCGAGAACCATGTTTGAGGGTGAATTCACCTCGCTCGCTAGGCTGTACGAGCTCGTGCCTAGCTCCTGTCCGAAACCTTATGGCTGGGGCGAATACGAAAACAGCCCCGGGTCGTACTTCATCATCATGGACTTCCTCTACCTCATCCCAGAGCTGCCAGAGGAATCGAAGATCTCTCAACTCATCGCGAAAATCCATCAGGTCACAGCTGGTACGTCTCCAGGGGGCCGGAGCTTTGGATTTTATCTTCCAACCTGTCACGGCAAAATAGCTCAGCCAAACCAATGGGACGAAAACTGGGCCCGATTCTATGCCAACCTCCTCCATGTGTTCTACAAAGAGGATATGAAAAGCAATGGCCCCTATCCAGAGTACGAACGGGCACACGAAATCCTCCTTGAACACACGATCCCTCGTTTATTAGGGGCGCTCCAAGCAGAAGGGCGCGTGCTGACTCCATGCCTGGTCCACGGAGACTTCTGGCAAGAAAACCTGGGGATCAACAAAGACACCGGAGAGCCTATGCTTTACGATCCCAGTCTTTTCTACGGGCACAATGAATTCGAAATCGGCATGTGGCGCACTGTTACTGTGCCGTTCGCGGAGTCGTACCGGGAGCAATACTTCCTTCGAAACCCTCCAAGTCAGCCGACAGAAGAGTGTGATGACCGAAACCGACTCTACAGTCTGTTTTACCACACTTCGCTCTCAGCCCACTGGCCTGGGGCATCAGAAGAAGTGAGGGCGAGGTATGTTCACACTCTCTGCAAGCTAATACGGAATAAGATGCATTTCCGTGGAACAATGAACTCTAACATCGTAAATATCAGGCTTCTGGATGACATGAACTACTTGAACAGCAAATATGCTGCATAGACCTGGCTGTTTCTAGATCTGATAAGACCCCGGGATAGGCAGTAAAGAGAACGGGCAGCCACCAAAGTTATATTGTTGGTATTATAATATTGTTCTTTCAGTATTATAGCGAAATGGGCTTTCTTGCTTTGGGAAAGAAGTGGTTGCTTAATTGATATTTAGAACAGACATGTACGAGATACTCATAGTCCTTGCCCCAGAATAAGACCCACAAAACAAACACTTGCAATTGCTGACATGAAGAGCGTACAGTGTACTACTGGGCCTCTGTGGCGGCACGTGACTATCTCCAAGAATATTGCTTGATAGTACCAGCCTTAAATACGCAAGTGGACTCTCAAGGCTCATTCGTCCTTCCTAATCCGATAATTGCGACAAGATCCTAATGCTGAGGATCATGAGTAGCCACCCCAGGAAAACAGCAGCATTAATTACCACCGTGGTCCAGCCTAGCCCCATTGAGACAGAACCAAGATGTGTCTTGATTTCTCCGGCCGCTAGAACTCTTATCATGGTTGCCACTCCTGCGCTCCCCAAGTGCTGCCAGAACACCGAAAGCAATGACATGACAGCGGCGACCAAGGTGAACCAAAGTACCATCTGCCGTATGACGGGTACTGGATGTTTTCTTTTAATGGCACGTCCCCGAGCGTCTCTCCTCTCGCTATTGGAAGACTGCTCATATATTTCCGGTGTTTCTAAATCATCGCCCAAATGTGCAGGCGAGAAGGTGTACAACAAGCAAAAGGCGATCAGACTGCAGCCTATAGCCACGAACCTGGAATTAGGTAAAAGTTAGATCATTCGAAGATGACTGAGGCCCTCTCGGAACACATGAGTCTTCAGTAATGTTGAAATACTAACAGGAGTCCATCGAACATAACCTCATCCCTAAATTTCCTGCCAACATCAATCAGACCAAGCTGATCATATGACTCTGATTCGTTCCTTTGGCTGCTCATTGATAGTTCGGAGGCTCTATTGGCCACGGTTCTGGCATTTGACGAGCATGTCCACCCCAAGGGCAAGTTCACACAAATGCCTATGAACCCCACACGGACTTCCAGGGAATTAGTTGCGTTACCGACGGCAGATTCAAGAGCAACCAAAACATTATTCTGACGCGCTTCATTGCTATTGCTGTAGGATAATGACAGGAGGTAAATGTTTCGAAGTCCAACAGCTGTGCAACCTGACAGGATGAGCGCTTCGGGGGGTGGGGGGGGGGGGCGATTAGTGACTTAGTCCAGGCCTTCCAAGGTTCCAAGCCTTCTACTACTCTAGGAGGGTCACATAAGCTCACAAGAAAAGACAACACTGATTGTGATCAAACCCATCAAGACGTGACGGAACCTGATGTGAGATATCAGCCGCTTCCACCGCTTTGTCGCTGGTGCGTGGCGGATGTAAATTGACGAGTCTGACTGTGCAGAAGGACCAGACTCATTTGACCTGTGCCAGGGCCAAGGTCTATGCGATAAATCTGAGGATATAGTGCTCCCAGAGCCCCGCTCGGAGCGAGTCCTGTTTGAGCTAGAGGTCCCCGAGGCTGGGCTCTCCTTCGACTTTCCCAACAATAATAGCGACAAGATCTGCAGGACTTTGCGTACTCCCATGGCTGTCTTTAGATAAAGCGTGGTACAATATTGAAGCTTAATCGGCGTCTGGAGGAGAAGACTATGGGCATCAGGAGGGTGACAGCCGCAATTGACTGCTGCCTTGATCCTCTGAACAGCTTAAGTATAGGGTGGAGGGTAGGACGCACAGCTTCATCAAGCCTAGCGCTTGTCCCGACGTGGCGATGCAGTGCGACCACTGTAGAATCCAGCCACCATCTTTTCATTCTACTCAGCATTTTTTGTCAATTCTGGGCTTACAGTGCAGCTATATGCAGCTAGCTACATGTGACCCTCGTTTCCCCTCTTCGATCAACTCGTTTACTCGACTCTCATTGTTACCCCGCTCTCACGATACTAGCCTTCAAGTCAGAGCAATGGACCGACAGGATAAAGCATCGGAGGAACTCGAGCTTGCTGACCAAAATGGAGAAAATGTGGCAGCTGCCATAACGGACAAGGCAGGCAAATTATCGGACAGAGAAGAGACTTTGGTCCCATTCCCGAGGTATTCAGCAGAAATTGAGGGAGAACAAAGGTGCGTATTACTCCAAAAAGTTTAAAGAACAGGTTTGATTGATAGCAACATCAGCTCCAACGTTGAGCCGCCGGCAGAAGATCGAATCTCCGTGGAGATCATTGCCGCGGAAACAGAAGCCCCTAACATTCAAGAGAGCTTGGATGTTGAACGAGAATCTGAGTCGAACCGTTCCATGAGAAGGGTCACCTCGATACTTTCTGAGAGGGATGTTGAGTCGGCTGTGCCGATGCGCGACTGGAATCCAACTGATTATCAACAAGGTGATCAGCCGATTCGTTTCACAGATGTATCAGGTTCCATAACCGCCAGTCCGGAACATGAACGGAGTTCCATGTCGGAAATTACAAACCCAGCTAAGATTGGCGGTCAGACAAATTCAGCTCAGGGCGACGAACAAGATCCCACGCACACAGCACCAGAAAACGATGGATGGTCACCTTTGCATGCAGCCGTTGAGGCTGGGGATCTGGAACTTGTCCACAAGTTGATGGAGAAAGGAGAACCGGTGGAAGCCGCTGCTACAGATGGCAGGAAACCGTTATTCATTGCCGCGGAGAAAGGATTCGTGGAGATTGTCGAGCTCTTGCTGAGCAGTGCCTCAGTTGAATCTTTCAATGAGGTCGATCACTCAACAGCCCTGATCCGTGCATGTGAGGAAGGCCATAGTGAAGTTGCCAAATCTCTGATTGAGAATGGTGCCAATATTGAGGCCATCAATAAGGATGGTCGGACCCCTTTACTTATCACGGTGGCATCTCAGAATTACGATCTACTGATTTATTTGCTCCAGCATGGAGCAGACAAGACGATAATGTTGGGGGATGGGACAACGGCCGAGGTCCTCGCCAAAGACGACATGGACCTTCTCAGAGTATTGAAGCAGAACTATCTACTTCAAGGACCTGAGATCGGGGCTAAGAAAAGCGAACCACGGCAACGGTTCAGATATGTTCGAGCTCCCGAGGAGCCACACAGTGATGATCAGAAGGCTGCGTGTAGGGCCATCCAGGCAGAAGTCATTCAGTTCTACATTGGTCAGCGCGAACAAAGGTCTCAACCGCTCTCAACCTCCATGCATGAACTTTTGTACGGAAAAGGCCCCGAAGAGCTACTGAATGCTCCCATAGTGAGCCCACCGCCTGGCTCACCTGTGGGATCTCGAAGGGACAGGACTACGAAAAGGCAGCCAACCTTCACTTGGTATCATATTCCAGCGAACAACGTACGTCCCCTGCACTCCCGCCTCTTGAAACCCTGGCTTCAGCTCACTTATGGATAGATCACGTGGGTAAATGTATGTGCTCGAGTATAACAACCTTCAGGTTTTGAGCACCGAGCACTGAGATGTGGGAATTATAGGACTTGATACTTAGACTGCTTACTGAAAAGAATCCGGCTGCCGCAATGCCGGACGAAGACTTCCAATCAAAGCTGGGCCTCAACCTTGTCAAGGGGCGCGGCACACGACTGCAGACCGCAGCCTTCTCTTATATGAGGCCATTGTCCAAGTCTATCCAAGTTGGTCTTCTCATGCGGCTACAAAATCTCAATCATGAAATGCTAACAGTTTGCATGAAGACAGAAACGACTGCGACATGGGATAGTACAGGAGAAGCGGATCAGACTGTCTCCTTTGTGAGAACCAACTGCCTTTGACATGGCGGTACCCCGCCCAGGTCCACGGGTGCTCATGACTGCTAAGAGTGTGATCACAGGTACCTTTTCTCAGTTATGAGACGTTCGAAAACCACATTCAGATGACAGACCACTTGACTAGAGCAGAAAGCCGCCGAAACTTAAATCCATTCTTCGCCTTCGGAAATGGCACGCATGGGAGTCCCTTTGGGAACCTTGCAGGTCGGCATCTAGATGGCTTCCCTCCAATTCGGCCGCGGCCGCGTTCCTCAGCTTTCTTTACTCGTGGACCTCCGCTACCTCCAGGCTTTAGTCCTGTAATGGTGCCTCCGAGCAACGTGGCCGCTGACTTGCATCTGCGAGGAGGCTCGGGGCCACCATCTCCTATTCCACAGTATAAACCATCAAAACAACCCCACAAATCGACCTTTGCTTGGTTTCTGGGTGACAAATGGTCAAAATCCAAGAGAAAGAGCATTGGGAAGACTGGAGGACATGGATTGGGACAAGAACCTAGGGATGAAAATCCCAACGAGCTTCTCATACGCGGGTATGGGGTGGGGGATTGGAACGGCCAGGCCCCGTTCCAGCCACGGAGGACATTAGATCAGTACTTTTACTCACATCTAGACAACACAGCTCACCGTGACAGAGATCAGGTCGTCTATCGTTGGACTCGAAGTGACCGTCCCAAGATCTTCATGGTTGATCAGATGTGGCTGTGGATCCTCAACGGAGGTTTGTGGCATACAGACCGAATGCACATGTGCCGTCTAAAAGCTCTTACTGACAAATAATTTTTAGACACTCTCATCACCTGCATGCCAAATAGGTGGCAGGAAGGAAGCAAACGCACTCCTTCAGGATTGACGGCTGCCAAAGGCGAAGATAACCTCGTGCGAGGCCCATCTATTGAGCATCCAGCACCTCTGAGCCCGACCAATGGCCCTTTCATGACAGCGGCTGATGGAGAGAATGTCGGACCGAGCGTTGATTTTGACGGAGTTGAATCCATACCCGACATTATTGACGTTGCATTCAGTGGCGAAGACTATCTGCCAATCGACCCTCAACCTCCTGGCCTCCACCCCCCGATAACAACCCCTGGAAGGCCCAAAGTCAGTTCACATTCAGCAGATGATCCCATGAATGTTCAGCATAAAGTCCTACGCCATTTGAAAGAAACTTCTCGGAAGCCTATTGAGTCTATATATGACCTGGCTGGACTCATTGCCACCTGCTGTGCGTCAACATTTGACGAAACACAGATACCAGAGGATATGCAATTCTTTGACTTTTTCGAGAGGTCCATAGGCAGTGTGGTGTGTGAACCTACAAGTCTCAATGTATTTACTTTCGCTCACTCAAGATAGGTAGAGAAAGCCACACAAAGCCTTCATTCGTTCAAGTCTGGCCTGGATTCAAACCACAATCACCACGACGAACAGAATTTACTCAACGATGAGCCAACGTATGACGATCTTAACATAAAGAAAGAGATAGATCTTCTAGTTGAGATCGAAGATATACAGGACGAATTACACATATTGACGGTGGTTTTGAGTGATCAGAAGAGGGTGTTGCGTCAGCTCGACGAGATTCTGCTGCAGGGAAGAAAGAAAAACGGGCATGTCTCTCGGGAGGGAGAGAAACCTCATCCTATAATAGATATCGGTTGCATCCAAGGCCACATGGCTCGCATCACCGAGATGGAGAAAGTGGCTGAGAAGACACAAAAGTCGGTAAGTAATAAATGTCGCGTAGTATTCACATACTGGGAAACAATAGGGACACTGTCAATGGATTTGCTAAATTGAATACAGATTTATCATCTGATAGACCTGAAGCAAAAACAGGCAAACTTCTCCGAGGCCATCTCAGCACGCATGCTGGCGAGAGAAACGGCCAAGAACACAGAGCTTCAGATCAAGCAAAACAAGGAGATTAGTAAACAAGCGGAGGAGACTGCACGACAAGGGAAAACTTTGATGGTCTTCACTGTTGTCACGATCATTTTTGTATGTATTATGGTATTTTTGATGCAAGAGTGCACTTGTGCTGCTCTTTAACCGTCTGATAAACAAGCCTCAATGGGCAAGACAACTGGTTTGCGAGCGACCGACTGACACATCGCCAGCTACCCTTGTCATTCATGGCTGCATTTTTTGCCATCAATATCGACGCCTTCCCAGTCAACCAGGACGGGAAGCTGGAACTCGGTTATATTCTGAAATATATGCGTAAGTGGCCCTTTCTAGTCTCATGTCATCTTCTGCTAACTACTAAACCACCCAATGCCTGCAGTAAGCATCAGTCTTACTTTAGCCATCCCATTTGTCCTGCTCGCATTGAGAATTAATGATGTCAGGCACGCGGCTCGTAGTGTCGACAGAGGAGTTCGCAGGGCCCTAGTATCCCCTCGTCTCATCCCAGTCCTCGGGTACACCGCCCTAAGCCTGATTGTTGTTGTCGTTCCGTCAATTGTATGGACATCAAAGCTGGCAACCACGGCCAAGATCGCAGCCACGGTTTGCCTGGTGATTTCCGTGCTCTTAGTTGCTATAGGATTAATTGTGGGGCGGCTTTACTATGGCGCGAGGCGCACCATCAACGTGAAAAGCAGTTCGGGGTATTGGTCTGACCCAAGCTTATTATTGAGCTCTGGGTGACTAATCGGACCCACCCATTGTAACACTCCATTGTCTATAAGTATCGGCTTCCTACGCTCACTATTCATAGCTGAATAACCAGTCAATTTGCTTTATTCAATGTGCCCTGCTCGGAATCGTGACACTTACGGTGGGGCTTTTAGGCAGCCCGCATTAGTTGCGGAAGCTTGCAAGCTTTACTCAAGTTTTAAGACTTATCCTTACCATCAATTGATAAGAGTTGCCATTGCCATCACTATGTTGACATTTACCAGATCGTGTTGCTCGTATACCCATTAGGTAGGGCTACTGGAGGAAAGCCGTCTGGCATGCTCGCCTTGGGATCTTGAAACGCCCACCCCACCGCCCCAATCTCAGACCCGAGAACCCTTGCTACAGACAATAGCTAATCCAGTTTGTGGGCCAGCAAGATTAACTAGCATCCATCAGCCGCATCAGTTCCACCGGGGGGGGGGGCTTCGGTTGTATCATTTCCCTGCCATGACGAGCGAGCCAAGAATAACACCCATTCCCGGGTTGAAGCCGGCAACCTTGGAAGGGTCACGTGCAATCGGACCACTCACTGCCTTTGATCATGGCTTAGACTGGTTGGTGGTGGCTCGGTACATAGCATCCAGACAACACAGGCACTGCAACTAGTTAACAAGGCCTGCTACCTAGGGTAGGTCTCGTGTCCAATCATTGGAAGCAGCGCCTAAATGGACCACCGGAGAAGCCTGGCAGTCCCTAGAGATCTTAAAGTCTTTTTGTGGCCTTCTTTTTCCCTCCATGGCATGCTGAAAGACGAGCCAGGCGTGCAGTCTGTGGGCCCCGGGCACAATGAGATCCGTGAGGTGCGCGCTCCTCCACCGTGGACCGCGCAAGCTGAGACGACAAGGCCCAGTTTTGATACTCGCTACTTTTATCGTACCAACTTTCAGCACGTACAAGAACGTATTGAGCCACAAATGGGGAAAAGGCCAGCACACACAACGCTGTCTTGCGCACAGTGGTGTATAGGAGTGGAGTAAACCCACCTCATGGAGATGGTAAACCTTCATGTACGGGTCAAGAAAGGGGCATTTCCAATGCAGTGTTGTCTTTCAGGGCGTCTAGGGCTACTGACAACAGACTAGCATGATCATGCAGTGTGTGTGTATCACTGATGCTGCAGCACTCTTTCTCCTGCAGCCTTTCATCTAACAGCCACCTGGGCAGACCCTCTTTGACGAACCGGTGTTTGCCCTGGCATCCGAAGAGCTGCATGAAGGGCGGGAACCATTGCCTGGCCAAGCTGGAAGAGAAGCAAACCTCGGATGAAAAGGCATGGGCGGGTTTGTTGTCAATTGAAATGACTTGCTCTTGCCGTCATTGTGAGGGGGAGAAAGGTGGACAGTAACAGAGAGATGGATTGATGTTTCCCCTGGCAAAGAGACTGGGGGTAGATTTTAAGGTGGGAACCGCTTGCAACTGATGCAACAGAATGATATGCTTATGATTCGGTTCCCGACCATTTGGAATTGCTGGTTCACATGAATTGATCCCGTCCAACCGAGCCAAGACAGAACCAAGACAGGTAGTCCCACACTACGACACAGTTACGGGACGGACGGTACGGTGGTGGTGCTGCTGGTCACGTGGCAGCTGAGCTCCGACCCCTGCCAGCCAGCTGGTTCCGTTTCACCCGCGCAGCCCCACTTTGCCGTATCTACCACTTACCGATCCACCTTGATGAATTAGGCTCCGTCGGGCCAAAGACCCCCTCCCCCCGTCGCCCCCCCAGTCCCAAACCAGCTCTCCTCTACCAACGGTCACCCCATCGCCCACCCACCACTCGCCCGAACAACCCCAGCTGCCGTCGACTTTCTCACGGAGCGACTGCCGGTGCCACAAAACGGTAGACACCCCTCCGACCGACCCCATCGTGAGCCGATATCCAGCCCGCGTCTTGGGATTTATTCTCCGGATCAGGGTCTCTTTCTTCCCTCCTTGGCCGCCCTTGGCCTCTTTTTGGATCATTTGCCACCATCGTCCTCGTCCCTCGCGGTGGTCTGGCCCGGCCCAACCCAGTCCTCGACGGTCGACTCTGCGACTCTCGCCCGTCTTGTCTCGGCAGAGTCGAATCGCGTGGGCCCCCTGCCTACCTCCCCCCGAGTCGACCAGCTGGACCGCCTGTCGTCTGAGATCACCCTGGCGGCAGCATCGACCGAACCGGCAGCATAGGCGGCAACACCAGCCCGCCTGCTGACCCCAGTCCAGTCGAGTCGAGTCCAGTCGATCCCCCGACGACATCCCCGACGACATCCACCGTGCTCGGCGCAACTGCCCACCCTCGGCAACCATGTCCGACGGCGAGGACTACGGCTCCCCCGAGGCCGTCCAGCCCGGCGGCGGCAACAGCGGGCGCCAGCACACGCCCTCCCACCGCAAGGGCCCGCGCTTCAGCTGGACCCCGGCCTACGAGGCCACCTTCTTCCGGTCGCTGTGCGAGAGCGTCAAGCTGGGCCTCAAGGACAACCACAGCTTTAAGCAGGAGGCCTGGGACCGCGCCGTCCAGGCCCTCGCCGAGCGCCACGCCGCCTACCCGAACAAGGGGCACCTCATCAACAAGAGCGACAATGCGCGTAAGAAGTTCCGCCTGTGGAGGGGCCTGAGGGAGGACCCGGAGTTCCTGTATAACCCTAATGCGAGGACCGTCACCGCGAGCGAGGAGGCCTGGAGGGCGCACATCGAGGTGAGCCCCTTTCTCTGCATCTGACATTGCACGGTGGTGTGGGCTCGGCAACGGCTCAAACGAGATTGGGGCCCGAGGGTCCTGGGCCCTCTCTCATAATCTTACTGCAACTGCCCCGTCATCGACACCCTTCCTCTCCACCGGGGGTCGACGACGGGCGTGCTTGGGGTTACTGATGGCAGCGGGGTGTGATTTCTAGTCCATTGCGAGACAGGCGCTGACGCTATCTGCACAACTACAGAGGGAGCCCCTTTCGAAATCATTACGCAACCGCCCCTTCGAGCATGAGGAGTACATGGAGATCCTCTTCCCAGACGTCGTCGGGTCCGGCGGGGCGCCAAAGCGGATAACGAAGCCGCGCCGCAAGGGGACAGACTCGATGATGGAGGGCGACGAGATGGACGACACCCCCGGCACCAACGTGCTCAACCTCCTCGGCGCGGACAACTCGCTGTTCCAGTCCACGCCCATCCAGACGCCCATCCAGCCACCCACGGTGCCATCAAACGGCACCGTCCGGCCCACCTCGACGACCATGCCCCCGCGGACCTCGATCGCCTCGTCAAGCGCGCTGACCCCGCCCGACGAGGTGCCGACCGAGCACGCCCACGCCCAGAACGGCAACACGCGCAAGCGCTACCTCGGGTCCAACAACGGCGCGGGCCCGTCCGGCGCCGGCGAGAAGCGCCGCCGCACCGCCAACAACAACTACATCGACCTGACGCACTCGGCCCAGCTGGCCAACCCCGAGAACCCGTTCCAGCTCGGTAGCAACGGCGCCGCCGCCCCGATCACGAACGGCAACGTCAACACCATTAATACTACTACCAATGGCAGCACAGCAAACACCAAAACCAGCCACCAGCACGCCGCCCAGAACCCCCAGAGCGCCGCCGCGGCCGCCGCCCCTACGACAAACGGCGCCACGGCCAACAACACCAACAGCAGCAGCACCAACAACCCCCCAGGCGGCGGCGCGACGAACCGCACGCAGCACTTCCAGGACGCGATGATCGTGATAGCGGAGCAGATCCGCGCGCAGCGGCTCGTGCCCGCGCAGCCGGCGGCGCCCAACTGGCCGCAGCAGGCGATGGAGGTGTTCTTCCGGGACTTTGGCGACGAGGAGATGGACCTGCAGATCAAGATCGGCGAGAAGGTGCTGTGCGACAACAACAAGGCCATGATGTTCTGCATGATGCCCGAGGACCTGCGCCGGCACTGGGTCAAGCGGCTGCGGGAGCTGCATAACCTCAATGGTGGGGGCGGCGGCGGGGGAGGTGGGGGTGTTGTGGGCTCGTCGTCGAGGGCCGGCGACATCAATATCCCCCCCGGGGGCGGCGGCGGCGGCGGGATGATGGCTGTCCCCGGGATGCAGATGGGCGCCGGGCCGATGGGGGGCCAGGGCAATATGCTGCGGAACGGGAGCCAGATTGGCTGATCTGAACCGTCCTTGGTTCCCGTCTTTCCATCCATTCAACAATGATTGATCGAAACAGATACCCACACATATGCACACACACACACACACACACACACACACACACACATCACACTTCGGGATCTGGAAAAAATGCTTTCACAAACGGAGTTCATCTGGCTGGATTGGGTTTTTTTTTCTCGTCCTTCTTTTTTTTCTTCTTCGGGAGGCTGGTTGGTTTCTTGTGAACAAGGAGAAAAATGGCACGGGAACTTCTGGCAGGGGCGAGCGGGTGGGCGGCTGGGTGGCGTTTTCTTTGATTTCTTCACACACACCTCTTCTTCGTTTCGTTGTGTGTGCGGCCCCGCCAGACCCAATTTGTTTTGCATTGTGCTGCCGCTGCTTTGAAATAAACTCCACAAGGGATTTGTTTGATTGACTTTAATTGGAAAGCGTTGATGTGGTGGAGGAGGAGGGGGAGGAGGGAGGGAGGGGGGAGGCACATTTTTGCTTTGCGGATCCATGGCTGACATGATCAAGTACACTTGGGCACACGAAATCAACCACCACCACCAATACCACCACTACTACTACTACCATACACACCAATGATTGGTATCCAGGGTGGCTAGCCCAGCTCCTCATCTAGGTTTCTGTCGCGCTTGCTGGGTGGGGTACTCGGAAACAGTAACTAGTCGACCGACAGACCGATGGAACATACATTTAATGATTACGCTCGTTGCCCGTGAACATCAATAGGAAGGCATGCATGTACTATGTCTAGTCAGATGGATTGATGTCTGGCCAGCCGTACGTGCGATCAAGTCATGTCAAGTCAAGTCCGGCTGCTGAGTGACTCCAGCATGAGTGGCCAGCGAGAGAAGAAAATCCTACAAAGAAAAAAAAAGGGGTGAAAGGTTGGGCGATTGGTCCCTGTGACTGAGTGCTGTTGGTATCGTCTGGCGACCTTGGGCGACTCCTAGTAAGGGTAATAGTTAATAATGTAGAAGCTAGAATAGAGTTATGATTATATAATGTAGGTAAGTATATAATCCAACAAACGGCAGGTTGAGGCCGCATAGAGGTGACTGACAGTGGATGCCATTGCAACCGTGCACAGGATCAATTGTACGTCAGCGGTTGATCCACATTGCAGCACTGAACCCAAAGATGGACAACAATTTCCGGCTGATGGAGGACTGATTTGGTAGATAGAACCAGCCAGCCAGACATCCACCTCCTATCTCCAGCCTCTCATACTTACCATTCCTACCTGAAATACCACCTCTCACAAGTTCATCCTTTCAAATGAAAAACGGGTAGCTTATCACCGTTGTTACTAGGCACATACTAACTACCTAGTTGCCTCCACGAGACGCCTAGAGTCCAAACCCTGACCGTTGTGGAAATGCAGGAGTTAGATAGGCACAGTACTGGCCCGTGCCCGTGCGGGACCGCTGTCCGGGTTCTTTTCCACAGCAGGGCTGGAGGGAGCCCCTTGAGTTCGGATTCACTCCGAGGTGCCGTTGACCACAATTGGCAGGCTTGGGCCTCACATGGATCGGCTAGCACGAAGGTGACTGACTGCTAGCAAGCAGCCTTTTGACCAACTATCGCGTATCGGCTTGTGCCTGCCCTGCCTGCTCTCCGCGCAGGGCAACATCAATCGGAACTTCATGAAGGGACTCGGAGAAGGGCTTGCTTGGTTGATGTGGTATATCTGCCTGAACGTAACGTCAAGAAGAAAAAGGGGCTTTCCCCCACCATGACCGACCAACACGGGCGAACGGCAATGCGTGGGCCATTACGGACCAAGACTAGAAGAGCAGTAAAAGTAACAAGAGATGAAAGAACTCAAAAACTCCACGCATCAAACTAACTCCAGAGAAGAGAATGCTCTCGTGTCTGTGTCGTCCGTCCATCATTCGCAAACCCGTCACATCAATGGCCACGCGCACCCCCCCCTAACACTCAGTTCATGAACGAGAAGAGATCAATGCCTGCCCCCGGCGTCCGCTCACCCTACGAGCGCTTGGATCCACGGGCCTTGGTGAAGTATCTGCAGGAAAATCAAAAGGTCAGCACACGTTTCCCCAAGGATTGAAGGGAAGTAGTAAGGCAGGCAAGATGGGGGAGAACAAAGAAAAAAAGAGAGAGAAAAACCCACCGGCCAAAAACCCCCTCCACAACCCCAACAACCCCAACAATCCCAGCCCCGATCCCAGCAGTCCTCCAGCTGAACTGCCCCCGCTCGTGCAGGCCCCACGCCTTGTACCCCAGCACGGCGCCGAGGCCGACGACAAGCGCGACGTTGGCGGCGGCGAGCCCCTTGGCCTGGCCCTCGGACAGCTCCGCGACCTTGGAGAGCAGCCAGCCGTCGGCGCGGGCGGCCTTTTTGCGGGCGGCCTCCTTCTTCTGGCGGGCCTTCTCGCGGGCGGACGCCTCCTCTTTCGCCTGCTCCTCGCGCTCGATGCGCGCCGCCTGCGTGTCGGTCTGGATCGACTGCTCCATGAAGTCGGAGGGGACGGTGCGCACGGACTGCGAGTCCACGTCGACCAGGCTGCTTGTCGAGGTCGTTACGGACTCGTCGGGGATGATCTGCGGGGGCTGGGGGGCGGCGGCCTGTGGGGAGGTGGTGGTCAGTATTTTGAGGTTTGCTTGTTTTGGGGGGTGATGTTTGTGAGGTGGATGTGTAGCTGTGTGCGTGTGCGTGTGTGTTTTTCTCTGGTGGTGAGGGGGGAAACATACCTCCTCGGGGGTCTGCTTGGGGCCAGAGGCGGCGACGTCTGCGTAGGAAGACACTGTGGACGTTTTGTCAGCGGCTGATTGATTCTTCGAGTAGAGAGCTAACTACAGCAAAGCCATTCAGGGAGGGGGGTCATACTCTTGATGGGATCGTGAGCGATAGAGGAGAGGGGAAATGTTTCAAGTCGACGTGAGAGAGAGATCTTCAGGCACGCTGCAAGTGGCTGAAGGGTGTCAGATGGACGGCTTGTGATTGTTGTTGTCGTTGGCTGGGCTGAGAGAGGTGGGAGACGGACGGGTGATGTTGTTATGTGGTCTGTGATTTGCTTTTTGCAGCTGGGCAAGCAGCAAGAGGGAAATCCGGGAACATGTGACGTTGAGGGAGAAACCGGGTTTGCGATTGGGCTGCCAGTGGCTAGCGACGACTCATCTTGGTGACGATAGAGCTTGGGTGGTGAACCCCCCTGCCGCCCTACCTAGGTATGACGTATGCGGCTAGAGCTCGTTGTGGGAAGGCACCCACCACCAGCCAGCCCAGCATGTGAGCTTGGCCTGGTCTGGACTGGGCTGACTGGCCAGGAGCACTTGTGTCTGAGACCCACCACCACCAACCCACTTTGGAGGCCATGATCCACAACCCGTGCAGGGATCATCGTGACTTCTTCCACAGCTTCTAATCGTACACACACCTAGGTATGGAGGAGGCCCCCACTATGGCGTCGTCGTTCCCCTTGGATCGACTCCCAACCGAGCTGGTGCGGCAGGTCGGCTCCTGCCTCTCGACTCACGATGCCCTCAGTTTCTGCAGGTCGTCCAAGAGCATCTACCCCCTTATCCACCCGCTGCTCTTCCACCACGTGACCATAAGATGGAGCCCATACTCAGCAGTCGTCCCCCCCAACATCACCTCCCTCCTGCAGTTCATGCTCAGGAACCCTTCCTACGCCGGGTACATCAAGACCCTGGACCTGCCACGTGTCGTCTACCGCTCGTGCGTCGCCTGGTCGCGGGACTTGAAGGGGGGTAACCCGTGGCACTGGAGCCCCGAGGACAAGGCACTGGCCAGGGCCGCCCTCGAGGACTGCCATCTACCACACGCAGAGAGGTGGTACACCGCCGTGGTCGAGGAGGCCAACCTGGGCGCCATCATCGCCCTCGTCCTGGCCCAGTGCACCAACCTCCGGCACCTCACCGTCGACGCCTGCTTCTTCCCCAACATCAACGAGTACTTCACCGACGTGCTCAGGTCCGCCATCACGCCCTCCCTCTCACAGCCAGAGCCCCCAGCCCGCCCGCCTCTGCTCCCCAGCCTGGCCCACGTGACCGTGACCCAGGACCGCAATCTCATCCCCCACGACGACCACGAGCCCCCGAGCGCCGCCCCGCCAGAGGCCTTCCTCCTCTTCTTCTACTTGCCGCGGCTCGCCACCCTCCACCTCGGCTTCGAGCGCGTGAGCTTTATCGCCTGGAACAGGCAGCCCTGGGACCCCTACAAGCTGTTCCGCTGGCCCCTCGCCACACCCCCGCGGGCAGCGACACTTACCTCCCTAGAGCTCGACAATATTGTGGCCTCCGGGTATGCCATCGAGTTCCTGCTGCAGCACACCCCCGGCCTCGAGTCGCTCGTCTGCGGCTTTAGTCCCCTGGACATGGCCCCGCCGCTCAACCTCAATGACCTGCGGCGGGGGCTCGACCACGTTCGCGGTACCCTTACACGTCTTGCCATACGGCATGACGTTGAGAACGTCAAGACCGTCGACCCCACGGCCAAGACGGGGGTGGTACACGGGAAGCTCGGGCCCCTCACCAGCCTGACCTCCCTGCGCAGCCTCGAGATCTCCCCGCACCTGCTGCTGGGTGAGGCCGAGGCGGGCGCCGACCCGCACACGGCGCCGCCGCTCGGCCCCCTCCTCCCGGCCGGGCTGCGGAGCCTGGTCCTCAACGCTAACTTCAGGCGCGACGTGGAGTGGCCGGCCGAGTCGGTCGCCGCCCTGCTCAACGACTTCTTCTCCGCGGCCGCCTGGAGGACGGCCACGCCGCTGCTGGAGGATTTCTTCCTCTGCATGCACGGTGCACGAACGACGGCGACCCAGTACTGGTATGACGTGAGGGTCAGGGACGAGTTCATGCAGATGGTTGAGGACCAGGGAATCATGTGCACCATGCACACATATGAATATGCAAATTATAACTGGGGCGATTTAGATTAGAATTAGCTATAACATACCTCTTAGAAATAGAAGTTATATTTTAACTACTAGTTTAAAAGTAACTATTAAATTATATAGATATATATTATACTTTTCTTAAATATTTTAATTTAATATATTAAATTAAATATAAGTTAATATCCACTCACTTAATAATTATATTTACTTACTTAATTTCTTTTAATTACTCACCTAATATAAGAATTTATATATATAACTTATATAAAACTATATACCTAACTAAGATTCTTTAAATTTTTAATACTTTAAATATAAGCTTTTTCTAATACTTTTTCTAATACCCCTTTTAACACACTTTTTAATATACCTTTTAACATACTTTTTAACACACCTTCTAATATATCTTCTAACTTATATATATTTAAGTACTAACTAAGTATTTAAATACTAATTAAATGTTAAAAAGCTAGAAGTTTAAAGTATTAAAGGGTTAGAAAGAGTATTAAAAGGTTAAAAAAAGTATAGTTTTTACTTTTACCTTTTTAATTTCTAACTTTTTAACGTTTAGTTAGTATTTAAATACTTCGTTAATACTTAAATATATATAAGTTAAAAGGTTTAAAAGGTATATTAAAAAGTATAGTAGAAGGTATATTAAAAAGAATATTAGAAAGAGTATTAAAAGGGGTTTATATTTAAAATATTAAAAATTAAAAAAGGAAATTATATTATAAAGTCTCTTAATATTAATTTAAAAGGTACTTATAAATATAAGGGAGTTACTTAGAAAAATTAATATTAAATAAATAGTTAATAAAAATTAAATAAATAAATTATAATAATACAGGCTTATAAGTACTGGATTCTAAGTTAGGGTAACTTAGAATTATAGTCTTTTAGCCGAGGCGTCCTTACGCAGTACTACAGGGATCTATCTCAATTCCAAGTTAACCAGGGTCGTAGGTTCAAGCCCCCACAGTTCAAAAATCTTCAATCAGTTCCTAGTCACTCTAAGATAAGTCCCCACGGTACCCAGAGTGAAGGCAAGCCTCCGTTTAACAAACAACTAAGAAGTAGGTATCCGTAAACCTTAGAAACTAACACCGTACCGTAGATTTTCAGGCCTCCTATAGGCTAGCGTACTAATTCAACGATAAGTAGTTAGTCCCTACGAATTAAAATTCCGTCATCTCAAAACCACTCCTCCGTTTAAGCGGTCCTAATAGGCTCTAATAGACCTTAAACGGAGGATATAACGGTACGGGCTTATAAGTACTGAATTCTAAGTTAGGGCAACTTAGAATTATAGTCTTTTAGCTAGGGCATCTTTATACAGTACTATAGGGATTTATCTCATAGATATAATTATTAAATAAGTAGATATTAGCTTATTAAGTATTAATTATATAATTATTTATATTAAAGTAATTAATTTATATTTATTAATTATAAAATACTTATATTTATAAAATAAGTTTAAAAGTTAATATATTAAAGAATATTTTAAAAGATATTAATAAATTTTGACGATTTATAAATAATTTATTTAAATTAAATAATTAATGGAAATTTAAAAATAACTTTAAATTAAATATATATATATAAATTAAAGATAATAAATATTTAATATAAATAAATTAAATATTATTAAATTCTTTATTAATTAAAATCTTTTTAAATCTTTAATAAATCTTATATAAGTCTTATCTTATTAATACTTAACTTTATTAACTAGTAGTACTTATATAATCTTAAACATTATCTTTAAATTAGGGTAAATGAAGTGTACAACTTAATATAAAATACATTGTGATATCTTTCATTCGATCCACCATTCGAAAATTCACTGTTCTTTCTCCTTTCCAACTTCATACACAGATGGCACGATGGTCTTGACCATCGTGGCTTTCCCCACGGCCTACTCGTTCAGACTCGTGAAAAGTCCTACAAGCCCTCTAAAGTACTCCCTCAATGTTGGTCACCAGGCTACTTTGAGCGGCAGCACGCTCTGCCACTTCCTCCAGGCTCCCCTGTCCTGTGATGTCGAAAATAGCCACATCTGTCTTCAAGGTCTTTGCAAACCAGTTGCGGATCTCCACCGCCAGCAGGGAGTCCACGCCGTACACGTGAAGCGGCTGCTTCGTGTCGATCTCGTCCTGGGGGATGGAGGTGGCCTTGGCAAGCTTGCGCCTCAGCGCCTCGACGACGACGGCGGCGGCCTCGGTGGCCGAGGCCGCGCGGCCGAGCTCCTCGGCCCAGTTGCGATCCGACCTGCCTGAGCCGGCCGGGGCGCCGTCGTTGCCGTCCCCGTTGGAATCCCTCGGCAGGCCCTTGAAGATCGGGCGCTCGACGAGCCAGTCCGGGGGCTCCGCGCCCTTTCTCTTGAACTGCGCCGGCGTCACCAGGCCGATGACTAGTTGTGAGAGCTCTGGTGGCTGCGGGATGTCCCTGTCGCAGTAGCGGTCCAGGAGCGCGAGGAACTCGGCCTCGAACACGGGAGCCAGGTCGGCGATCGCCCCCTTGCCCCGGGCCAGCTCCTCGTTCTCGGCCACGATGCCCACGTCGCCCATCCACCCGAGGTCTATGGACAGGGCCGCCTCGCCGAGGGCCAGCCTGTGGGCTGCCAGGCCGTCCTGGTAGGTGTTCCCGGCTGCGTAGTTCGACTGCCCCATGGACCCGACGATTCCGGCCGCCGAAGACAGCATGATGAAGAAGTCTAAGTCCCGCGGGAGATGTGAGTGGAGGTTCCATGTGCTTGGGACCTTTGACTGGATAGACTTTGACCACTGGTCCCAGGTCATTTTCTCGAATAACGTATCCTATGGTTGATTTGAATTGGTTAGAACGAATGCCAACGCCTTCTCTCAATGCTTATGTGGAGTGCTTACCTGCAGAACCATAGTGGCTTGGAGACAGCCTTTGATAGGAGGCATGTCTTTGCACTGATCGAGAGCTGCGATAAGAGCACTGCTGTTGGACACGTCACACTGAGGCGTTCTCACGGTGACGCCTGCCTGTTCTAATTCCTTCACCAACTCCTGCGCCGTCTTTGATTTTGGTCCAGACCTAGAAAGTAAGATTAGGTGTCGCGCACCTCGCTGAGCCATCCATCGCGCGGTGCTACGACCAAGACCTCCGAGACCGCCAGCGATCAAGTAAGAGACAGTAGGGTCCAAGTGACACGAGTATGAAGGTGGCAGCCATGTCTGTTAGAATTGGTTAGTCAACTTCCCGGAGCATGACTTGGTACTGATGGGGGCAATGCGGTTCAAATGAAACTCTCCACTGGTCGAATCAGTACCTAACTAGCAGCTCACTTACCGGAACAACATCCGAGGGCCTCAGAGTCAATACCATCTTGCCAGTGTTCTTGCCAGACTGCATGTTCCTGAACGCACTCTCGATCTGCGTCACAGAATAGAGATTTGATGGCGACGCCACCTTCAAGACTTTGTCATCAAGCAACTTCATGACAGCCTGCAGCTGTTTCTGAAAAAGCGCCGGCCTGTTCTCCGCGATGTAGTCCACAGCAACAGCATGGAAAGAGATCTCACCAAAGAAGCGCGACATGGGGAGGTTTGAGTTCGCCTGGATGTCGGCCTTTCCGAGCTCGATGAACCGGCCGAAGGGGGCCACGCACTCCCAGGATGCAAGCAAAGCCCCGCCAGCTAGCGAGTTCAGCACAACATCCACACCCCGGCCGTCGGTTCTGCGGAGGAGTTCCTTAGCAAACGACGTATCACGGCTGTAGAGTATGTTCTCCTCAGGGACCCCAAACGAATCCCTCACAAGCTTTCGCTTCTCCTCCGTGCCGACGGTCACGAAGACCTGGGCGCCGATGGACTGTGCGAGCTGCAAGGCCATCTGGCCGGTACCGCCAGTAGCACTGTGGATAAGGATGGAGTCCTCTTTCTGAAGGTTTGCCAGCGTTACCAGGGAATAGTAGGCCGTGACTCCAGTGATTGGCAAGGCGGCCGCTTCCTCGACTGAGAGGTATGGGGGCACCTTGACCGCAAGATCCATATGGCAGCGCACGAGCGTGCGAGCACAGCCCAGTACGCCTGCACACACGCGGTCGCCTGGTTGGAACCGGGTGGCAGAGCGGGCGCCCACTCTTGTCACGACGCCTGCGCACTCGCAGCCCACCGTGCTGGCGTTGAACTTGCCCAATACGACCAGCAGGTCGCGGAAATTGACACCGATGGCTTGCACCTCGATTTCGAGCTCGTCATCTCCGATATTCTCGGGCCGGGCTCCGAGTGAGTCAGCCTCCCAACGCAGTGAATCAAGGAGACCCGGGTTTGGCACCTTCAGAGCCAGGGGCGGGCTTTCCTCGATCTTGCGGTCCGTCAACAGTGTGCGGGTCTTTGTGTGGACCTCCCTGTTCAACTGGTCCGATGGGTATACTCGGTTGATCATAAGGGCCCCTTCCCTCTCGACGTACTCCAACTCGCAAGTCTCAGACGATGCGTCCCTCAGTACAGTCGTGATTACTTCGGTGGCCAGCCGCACGCAGGTATCCACTTCCAGAGGGGAGCTCTCAAATTTCAGAGTCACGAATCTCAGGCTGGGATTCTCCGTGGAGAGTACCCGCGCAAGACCCTTGACCATCTCAGTATCAGGGAACGAGGCACTGCTCCTGCAGGAGTGAGAGAGCCAAATTACTACCTTAGCAGTGCCGAGGAGATCTTTGAGTCTTCCAAAAGATTCCTCATCCAGTGCTGAGAGGTAAAGCTCGTATAGTTCAGCAAGGAAAACCAACGTCGAGTTTGGCGCCAATGGTTTGTCGATATGGGTCTCAATTTGACAGGAAACTCCCCCCTGCTTCTCAAGAGTACGGCGAAGGCCCTCGGCCACAGCCGTCTGTGGCTGGTGATCGCGGCCCAGAAGAAGCGTGACCGGTCCCCTCCTCGGCGCAGCGTCCGGCAAGCATTCTGAACCATCGCGGGTGGCAACAATTATGTCGGTCTCGCGAGAAATGTGCTCTGAGTGATCATGAAGCACAAGATCAACACTTTCAAACCCGTTGGCGAGAAGAAGCTCCGACCACCTGGGCACCGGGACACATGGGCCCCATTGCCGGTCGGGCTCGAGCCCAGCCCACCACCCCGGAAGCGTGCCGAAGATGAAACTGTTTCGTAGGATCTCAGGCTCGGTAAACTCTACCAGTATGAGTTTTCCATGGGGTTTCAGAAGCCTTCGCACATGCTGGATCGTCGATGCCAGGTCGCGAGTGGTATGGAGCGCCCAGGCAGCCACCACCAAATCGTAACTTTCTGCTTCGTAGCCTTGCTCAACTGCGTCCCTTTCAAAATCGAGGAGCCGGAAGGCCACTTTGGACTCGAATGTGGAGAACCTTGCTTTGGCGGCTTCAAAGCACGCCTCAGAAATGTCCGTATAGACATATTGACCGAAGCGACGCCCGAGGCCTTCGATTACACAGTTCGTCATCGAGCCAGTGCCAGCGCCGACCTCAAGAACAGACATGTGCGGGTTCTTGTGAGAGAGAAGGGCGAGGTATTTGCTGAGTTGTTTGGAGCACAGCATCTCGTCACATTGTTCCTGGTAGTAACGCTCGGCCAGCCCACTCTCAAAGATCAAGGCCAAGGGATCCTGAACGCCGTGGACAATATTAACGAGCTCACGCCCCACCCGCATAAAGAGCTGGCCTTTGTTGTTCGTTGCCTCCAGGTCATCCATCAGAGCGTCCATGTCACTGCTGTCGTTGATGTTGTGGGCCCAGCTTTGTCCCCTGTCCTTGAGGTCACCGTCCTCATATCTACTGACCTGGCGGTCAAGCCAGCTCACATATCGCGCGATGTGTGGCTCCATCGAAATCTGTGACGATTCGAGAGACCTTGTTGCGTCCCTAGTCTTTTTTGCCAGGTAAAAGAGTGTGGACTCTAGATCCTGATAGAAGCGTGCCGCTCGGAGCTCCATGTCGTCGTGAACAGTGGCATCAAGTGTTGTAGCCCATGACAGCTGCTTAGTGTCCATTAAAGACACGTCTGGTCTATACACCATGTCGTAACATATCTCTCGTGGGGGCTCCGCCTCCGTAGCTGTGTCACTCCCGCCAACGGTCGTAGTCTCAAAATGCGAGATTTCCATGACTAATTCGCCAGACTCGTTCAGGGCGAATAGAGAACAGTCCGTGCCGCGTAACCCCTTGAAGACGGATTTGGTCCAGACTCGGATGTGGTCGGTCTCTGGATAAGAAAATCCCGAGTTCGCCAACCACATTGATCCAATACGCGTAGCCGCAAATCCATTGACCAGGGTCTTCGTCGCGCCCTCCGTCAGCACAACCCAGGAAAGTTGGCCCGCCGCGTCTAGTGTTGTAGGATGCGCTACGTGAGCTTGACGGGCGTTTTGTGACTGCTCTTCTGTCCATCTGAAGCATCGAACGTCGCCAACAGCAATGTCCCCGCCATCCCAGTACAAGTTGTCCATGCCTTGGAAAGAAGGGCCGTACATGAGCCCGTTACTGATGAAGTTCTCATACATCTGCTTCTTCGGCACAGGATGAACGCATTGTTTCCGCGCTTCGTCGAATCTTTTTCGGAAGAAACTGTTCTCGCGATGACGAACATCCTGGTCACCATTGCGGTCGTTCTCGTACACCACTTGGACAAATCCGTGGCAGTTTTCGAACCACCCAGAATTGCTCATGGAATAGACTCGGAACTCGAACGAAGTCGTTGACTTGTCAACCGGGTGGGCATGGTCCGGCCGCATATGCAGCTGCACCTCTGATCTGTCTTCCTCAACCGGGATGGGCGCCAGGAAGACGGCGTCTTGAACCCGGTACCCAGAAATCTGTCGGCTGGGGTCTGCAACCTGCTTCGCGGCCTCGATCGCCATAACTACCATTCCAGTAGCAGGGTAAATAGCCTTCCCATTCACAAGGTGCTCGCCTTTCCACGCTGCTTCTGAAACCTCGAAGAATTTCCGCCACCGAGGCTCCAGAGGATTCCAGTCGCTTACAGGGACACCGAGAAGCTCCTGCTTTGGCGCCCTTCGTAGGCGAGAATGTTGGCCAACAACTGATTCATACCAGTATGACTTTGAATGGTTGAAAGGGTAGGAGGGTAAATCGATGAGAAGCTGTGGGCTCGCGGACGACGACATCCCGATCAAATTCGCGGTTGGAACACTGACCGGGTAGCCACGAACGTATAACTCTCCAACGAGTTTGAGAGCTGATGCGGATGCAGCAACCTGCCGGTTCAGTACACTATGGTACCTCCTATTGGCATCCAGCACTTTGTGATGAGTGAGATTATCAATCACGGGTCGACGGAGTGCTGAGTGGGGGCCGATCTCCACCAAGTCTCGGATGTCTTGCACAGTTCTGGCCGCGCCGAGCTTTCTTGTCTGGGCTTTGTCGACAGACTGTGATATGATAGTCATCGCCTTTACAAACTGAACGGGAGAAACCAGATTTTCAACCCAATATGAGGGTCTGCACACCTCAGAGATGTCTAGGACACACCGTCCGGTGACGGAAGAGATCATCAACGGCCTCGTGGCGGATTTCGTGGGAGAGGTCAGGCCTGAGAGTCTCCTCTCGTATTCCGTCGCAACTGCTTCCATGTGAGGCGAATGATATGCCACGCCTGTGGCCACTTTTCGCCCACGAATGTTCTCGCGTTCTAGGTATTCTTGAAGTGAATCTATGTCGACCTCATATCCGGATACCGTCACATTGCTGGGGCTATTAATGCACGCAACGCAGAGATCCTTTTGGGCCAGATTGTGTTTCGCCATGAAGACATGCATATCCTTCTCGGGAAGGTCGACGGAGAGCATGGCTCCTGGGCGAGCTGCTGACCTTTTCAGGGCACTAGCCAATCTACCCCTTTCCAAAGAGGCCTTGCACGCCGACTGCATGTCAAGAGCCCCAGCAGCGAAAGCAGCCGCGATCTCGCCAGAAGAATGGCCGAGAACAGCCGCAGGAGTGACATTCAAGGCACACATGAGTTCGTATAAGGCGATTTGTAACGCGGTGGTTGTCGGTTGGCTGTATTCGGGGTCGTTCACATCATGCTCGACAGGGTCGTTCTCCTGCAGCAGCCCTGCCACCGACCATGAACTCCCCAGGGCACGAAGCACCCTGTCGAATTCATCGATGGATCTTTTGAAGACGGGATGCTTGAATAATTGAACGCCCATGCGCCTATACTGGGCACCCTGGCCGGTGAAGATGAACGCCGTAGCTCCTTTTGTCGCGGCCCGTGACAAGGGTTGCGACATCAGAGAGCCTATATCCTTCAAGGAGCCGCCGCTTTTGACCACTGCAAATGATCTCCAGGCCATTGAGGTCCTGCTCATGGCCAGAGTATGTGCTAGACGATCCAGATAGGTGTCGTCATGCTGTAGGGCCTGGTGGTTTCGAAAGTAATCCTCGTACGTACCTCCCAGACGTTTGATGCCACCTTCGTCTGCTGCTGAGAAGACCAAAAGTCTTTCAACCCCATCATAGGTATGGTGTTTGGTGCTCAGTGCACCTTCATCACTCGCTAGAGCCACACCATTTGCCGGGAGTGGTGACGCTATCTTTGTTGAGATGCAGCTTTCTTGAGGTTTCTGGTGTGATTCAACAGTGTGCATGGGATCATATCCGTTGAGAATTTGAGAATCGTCTTGTCCGTTACACGTAACACGGTTGCGGTGCGTCTCGGATGCTGGGGCGGAGGTGTTGTGAATCCCGCTTAACGATCGTTGTTCCAAGTAATTCAATGCGTCGTCCAAGATCACATGTGAGTTGGATCCACCGAACCCGAAAGAAGCAACGGAAGCTCTGCGTAATCCTGATGATGGCCAAGGGATACATTCCGTGGGAAACTGGGAAGAGGTTAATTCAGAGTCAAGGCAACTGATCCCGGCTCCGCATGCTCATCACACTAGGAGACATCCCTTGATACGACTTACTTTGATGTTGAGAAACTCGGCGTCGATGTTTGGGTTCACCGTCTTGAAGTTGGCATTCGGCGGAATAAGTCCTTTTTCCAGAACCAAAATTGTCTTGATAATCCCTGCAAGACCACTTCCACCTTCCAGATGCCCAATGTTGGACTTGATAGCACCTCTGCGCACTAGTCAGCGAGGACAAGGCCCATTCTAGCATTATCGGATCACGGCCGCTTGCAGACGCACTCGGATAGGCTGCGTTGAGATTTCGCATGCACTGGAATGGACTTACATGTATAAAGGGTCAGCCTTGGACCGAACCTTTCTGAATATGCTACCGATAGCATCAGCTTCGATAGGATCACCCAGAGGCGTTCCAGTGCCTAGTTCCACAGTTAGCAACAGCTAAATCAGGACGCTGGTTGAACGAGTCACTGTACCATGAGCCTCAAAAAAGCGTGTCTGTTCAATTCCCAGTCCCGCTTTCTCATATGTTTCCTCGATGAGTCTCGCTTGGAGATCTCTGCTGGGCTGAGTGGCACCTGGGGTGTGCCCATCCTGGTTGGAACCACTCGACCTCACAACGGCCCGAATGGTGTCCCCATCGCGAAGCGCGTCGCTCAGGCGTTTGACTAAGACGGCACTGAAGCCTTCGCCACGCGAATACCCATTGGCGCGATCGTCGAAAGAGAAGCTTTGCCCATCTGGGGAAAGCATATTCAGGTTGTTGAGAGAAAGGGTCGTCTCAGCAGCGAGCACGAGACTGGATCCAGTCACAATCGCCTGCGGTATCTTAGTATGTTGCCGAGCATCCCAATTGGAGAATCAACTCACCATATTACAATCTCGATTTCTGAGCCCTTGGCAAGCAAAATCGAAGGCCATGAGACTGCTTGAACAGGCCGAATCCAAGTTGATGCTGGGACCGTGAAGATTATAGAACCAGCTCAGACGATTTGCAATCATACATTGAGCTACCCCTGTCACGGCATGCTTGGGAATATTGTCGATGTCCTTTAGCATAATAAGCTGATAGTCATCAGCCATAGAGCCGGTGTACACGCCCGTCTTGGAGCCAGACACTGCTTCCATAGTGATACCGGCTGGAAATAATCAGCTTCTCCCCACATTTCTAAACAAATATCTTGCATACCATTTTCAAGTGCATGATATGTTGTTTCAAGCAATATGCGGTGCTGGCAGTCCATGGATGAAGCTTCAGTAGCGTTGAGGCCGAAGAACGACGCGTCGAACACGCCGAGGTCCTCCTTGAGAAAATGAGCTCCGGGGACGAAACTCTAAAGCTGGTTGTCAACATGAAGTAATCGAGAACAGGTCAAGAACTTTTATTTTATGAGTGACGCACCCCTGCCTCTGGACCATTGTTTTCGGAATGGAATGCATGGAAGTTGATGCGGTCTTGTGGCCATGAGGTTGCAACATCCCGTCGCTGTTTCAGGATGTTCCATAAGCCCTCTACGGTGTCAGCATCGTCGGGGAACTTAATGGAGAAGCCTATTACTGCCAGAGGTTCGAGCAACTCGTCGTTCACCTCGTGCATCCGGTCACATGGTCGATTGACCAAGGCCGGGCCCTGTCCGTTAAGTGCGTGGGCCATGGTTTAACAAGTTGCCAAGCTGGACGTTGAAGATGTCCGAATTGGTGAGATGGAATGAATACGTAAGGGCTTACTTGATCTTTTACAATACTCAGTATTCTACCACTCTATATATTGGGACTTTCCAACTTACCCACGGCCATTCCATCTGATTTAGGGCTTCCGCTGACTAGCACTTGAGGTAAGCATCCCTTTCACAGGCGTTCATGCACCAGCTTCTGCTGGAATATGGCTATCCAAGAATTATGGGTCCCAATAGATGCAGACCAGCAGTCTGCTCGAAAAAAGGTTTGCACTTATTTTACATCCTGTTGTGAGGACGGCGCTACCCGAAGAGGACCGGGGGGTTGATCCTGTCTTACGTCCGTCCATCTGCACTTCGACCCGTATTACACACAGTTTGACACAATAAGACGAACAAAGGCATCCAACCGACACTGGAAGCCCTGTCCAGGCGCAGAAGGACCACTTATGCGTACCCGATAAGGTGGTGAGATGATGACATGAGAAAGCCTGGTGCCAAGTCTGGGCACGCCCAACTGCACTACCCTCACGCACCAGGGCGTTCCATCCAATTACTGGATGGATCTTGACGTGAGAGGCTGCCCTGCGGACTTGCGGCACGCAGACCCACAAGATGGGCCTTCGCATCGCTTACTATTGATCGAAAGTGCATTGGCTGCTTCCTCCTGCAGTCATGGCTCCACGCCCGCGGCCCACAACGTTGATCTCTGGCGGCACGGCAACAGTGACTTGTGCGACCTTGTTGCCTACCGTCCTAGGTAGGTAATTACTCCGAGGCGATGGATGCCAGGCGGTACAGATCTTCATCAAGTAATACAGTGATCGACGTGTCAAAGAGGATGTCTTCGAGATGAGCCAGACACGACGATATCAGGTGCCACCACTGGTATCCACAGCCACAGTGGCACGCCATCCTCGGGGCTACAAAATAACCCTGCTCGTGGGAAGGGTGGCTCCAATAATAGAAGCAATTTGTACAGTGGCCAAACGCTGTTCCCACAGATGCAGGTCATACTGGGTCGTTGGCCAAATCCTCCCAAGGGCGGCCTTGCATGAGCGCCGCAAGTCTGAATCATCAGAATTCATGGGCTTTTAGACGAGGTTGCGAAGGGGACTTGATCACAGCCACATCTCGTGGACTAGGGCGTCCTGTCCTTAAACGAGCGCCCCATGACCCGAGGACAGGACGTAAGACAGGATCAGCCCCCTGGTCCTCTTCTGGAAGCGCCGTCCTCGCAACGGGGCGTTAAATAAGTGCAAATCTTCTAGGTTTCCGACGGATCAAGGTCGGCATGGCGGCTTAAGTGCTGACTGAAGACCACGTGGGCTTTGATATGAATTCTAAGCGGTCTTGGGCGTGGATATGCCATTGCCCTCTTCCGCGCGTCGAACTGTGCGTTTGGTTGAATAACCGAGGGTCAGACCTTCGTCGACCGCCCCCTACGCCTCCAATGGGTGAGCAGAACCGAGATTTACCGGTTTTAAGCATCCATCAACGGGAAGTTCCACAAATTTGCGGCTTCCTGTCATTCCACCTAGATATATACAATTTGATAGAACCATAGCACTCGTTCCAGAAATCGTAGGATCGCAGCATAGGGCTTCATATGAGGAACTTGACATTTGATCACACCCTAATTTGGTCCTTTTCCCACATCAGCAGGGCGGCTGGAATTTGTCCTGCCGCTAGACCCGCCAAGATTTTGATTTGTAGAGTGTATCCCTCAGCGAACGTCTTTCGGATGATTTGTTGGACGTCTTGGGCAAATGAGGAAATTGTTTCGGGCGATTTCAGAAGTGTCTCGAGCTCTGATGCAGGAATCAGATCGTTGAGTTGGCCCCTTACCAGGCCATTGAAGGCACTTGTAATAATAGCGAGACCAATCACGCCCCCCATGACTCGAAACTGACCAACTGATCCTAATGCGACCGCTGGCCAGGGCTTAGCATACAATACCATGAGTTGTCATCGGTCTTTACTTACCCTTATCACGTTCCTGGACGCGGAATGGTGTCATCACAAGGAAGAGTGAAATATTGATGCCGCATCCGAAGCCAGCTATGATTTGATACCCGTACTGTGCGGCAATGATATGAGTCGATTCCGGAATAGTCGACAGAAGTGAGAACCCGATGACCTGTAGCACCGCAGCGAAAATAACGAGATATAGTGGAGGGATCTTAGCGGCCTTCGCCAGCACTGCGGAAACTATAGAACCGACTGGCGCGGCGAGCGTGAATGGTATGAGTCTGACTCCGGCGTCAAGTGGTTGCAAGGAGTTCACGATTTGATACCGCTGCGGGAGCTGAAAGATGGCGCAAAACCATGGTCCACCAAGGAAGATCGCACTCCTACAGGATGTCAGTATTAGGAACGCTTATTCTTACCGCAAACATGAAAAGAGGAGAGATTTTGGATTGAAAGAAAAACAGGTGTGAAGAAAAGAACAAATTTGGGCAGTGAACATACAATAACATGCCAACCAGAACACGATTCTGGGCGAATCGCCAAGGGAATACAGGCTCACGGACTTCTGACCGCTGCCGAAGGGTGATGCGACGAGACCATAAGAGGAAAGCCATCCAGCAAATACCAGAGATTGTCAACAATGTAATCACGAAAGGCGACCTCCATGGGTAGTTGACGTCTGCTTCCTCCAGCGCTGCCACGAGGAACAATGTAGCAATGAGAAGCAGAATGGCGCCGACAAGATCGAGGCGCTGAAAGACACTCCCGGCTGATACTCGGGGGGAACTCGGCCTTTCGTCCTGCGGCACTCCGTGGTGCGGAAACCCGTTTGGCATGGCAAAGATAATAATCAGCGCGGCCAATGCCGCACCGGGCACACTGATGAAGTACGTGTTAGCATATAAGTTTGAAGCGCCTCACCTATCCTCGTACCGCCATTTTTAGAGTCTTACTTCAGCAGGAATATCCACCTCCATGTCGTGTTTTCACTAATGACCCCTCCCAAAACAGGGCCTAGCAGCAACGACAACGAGTAGAATACAGATACGAAAGTGGTCAATCCGGCGTATTTTTCAGACGGCACAAGCTCCATCAATATCACAGTAGATATGGAATAGTTTCCCGCTCCGCCAATTCCTTGAAAGGCCCGGAAGACGATACTACGGGCCTGATTAGCTCTTGCTGCTGTGTCCTCACTGAACCTCGCAACTCACAGTTGGTCGATGGTCTGAGCAGCCCCGCAGGCTCCTGAAAAGACGCCAAAGATGATAACGGCCAGCAAGAGCATCGACTTTCTTCCGAAGATGTCGCTGAACTTTGCGAATATGATGAGTACGCCTGTGAGGGATGGACCAAATCAGTAAGCTCCACACGACTGCCTCAGCTTGCACTCAAAGACTCACCAACATAACCGAGAAGGTATGCCGATATCATCCAACTAGCCTTGCTGAACCCTCCGAGGTCATCGGTAATTCCGATCAAAGCAGTGGTGACTATTGGAATCTCCAGATTCGTGAGGAACAAACACAAGCAAACCCTGTGTGCCTATGGATCAGTGCCCATTTCAAGAAATCAACATTCCACTGTGTGTGCAAACGTACGCAGCGATTATTAGATTCAACCTGAGACCCTGGATGTAGGACTGCTTGCTTTCGTATTCCTTGCTTGTGGCACCTATGTCCGCTGGAGTGTCGCGTAGGATGCCAGTCTGGCCAGACTCCAAATTGATTCCATGGTCAAGACTTGGAGAGTCTGGCTTCTCGGAGACATCTGGTTCCAGACTTGACATGGTCATAATCTGCTGACGGAATCAGATGTTGATGTGTCCCTGTGATGAAAGACTCAGTACTCATTAGTGATGTGAGTTCCCATCATGGAATGATGGCACTGTAAAAGAATCAGAAGTCCGTCAGTTGGTGGACAGCCACCCATAATAAAAAGTGGGTCCGGACAAAGGAGCACTCCAAGGTTCCTCAAGCGCTGTTGCGAACCATTTCACCTGACCTGCTCACGATTCACCCCTGTCTCTTCTAACGTGTCCTTACGATGATATCTGATGCAGTAAGCGAAGCAATCCCGGAGTCCGAGCCCACAGTCATCAGACCGGCAGCGCCGGCCCCCCAATGAACCTTCATTCACAAGCATTTCAAGCCACTGGCAGTTGCCGCTAACGCAGTCAGCAAGTGCATTTTCCAAATCGGGATTCAACCGAGACATACCTGTTGGTGCCTGGGTGACTGGGTACTCAGGTAGTCCGGTAACTTCCGCGACCAGTGAAGTAAGCAGGACCCGCCACGAATGTGATAGCTTAGTTCTGTTTTGATTTCGCAACAGCCTGCTATTTAGTCTAAGAGGTTGAAACCCTTAAGTTACTAGCAAATCATATGATTTCTATTTTATAATATATGTAAGAGGTATATAACTCTTAAATAATCATTGAAAAAGATTGGATTTATAAACTAAAAGTAAGTATCTTTTACTTATAATAAAAGGATAAAATTAGTATTTATAGATAGATTATACTATAAGTACTTTTATAATTTAAAAGATAGCTTTTTATAATTATTATAATAATATGAACCTAAGTTAAATGAAAGAGAGTGAATTCCTAATAGTTCCTACTGAACACATAGCATGCGCGGCCGCTTGGGACAGTCTGTAGCTAGTGCCTCAACACACTGCCCCTTCCAGCCCCCATGCTCGAATCCCATCGTGAGTCTCGTGGCCAAGAAAGCTTCTAATGTACATGCATAAGTGAAACCTTCAAACCCCCGTATTCGGAGCTTGGCTTGGCCTGGTTTGACCCTAAGCTGGGACTGCGGGCGAGATCAATGGATCTTGGGCGTGTTGGAGTGAAGCGAATCCTTCGGCTGATCCAGGCCAAATGTGGAGTGCGGACCAGGTGGGCGCAGGTGGGCGCAAATGATTGACAGGCTCAAGTGGCCCTGGGTAACCATCCTTCGTGATGGAAAGGAATGTGGGCAGTTGCCTAAAAGTGATGATAATCTCACACCTGCTCGACGCGGAATAGAATTTTCCGGTATTTTGCATCCTCTTGCCCACTCCAATTTCCACGTTACCCTAGTGTAGTCACAGTCAGCAACCACGGCGTCACAACCTGGGAACACATTCCCGCTCTTATAATGCTTGTAATACAGTCTGAGCTCCCATTTTCATACCTAGGTAGTCAGCCAGTCCTGGGGGAGTAGCTGAGTAGCTAGCTACTAATGCAAAATATGTGGTTTCCCTTCTATTCCGTATACGTCCGAGGACATACTTGACGCCTTCACACGGTGATAAAGGTGTTATATACATTTTATTTGTATAGCGATTAAAAACGAAACTACCTGTGGGACGGTCAGAGGGGTTGTGAATCACGATCTGGACTTCTTGTCGACTACTTTTATTCAATTGAAAGGCCCATCTCCGTCTACGTGGCAGGAAATGGCAAGTAGACCGCAACCCAAGTGTATTTTACAACGTGCATGGATTGGATTAGACGGGACGTTTTGAACATACGTCTGAGGACAATCAAAAGCGTTCGAGATTCCACTTTATCCAATAGTTACTGATTGACTGTGAGTCACGTTCCTGGGACTCTACTCGGCTTCATTTGCCAACTGAATAACCCTTTTAATAGCACGGATGGAGCCAAGCACACCATCTGGGTCTTTTGCTCCGGGAATTTCGTGGCCGCCCTGGTGCACAAAGGTGGCTCTCTGGCTACTGTCACACATTTTGCTCAAGACTGGCCCGAAAGTAGGGTAAATCTCGTCATGCGCCCCCCAAATGTGAGCTGTTGGGATGCCGATCACCTCTCCGTCCTCTTCGAAGCTCATCAGCCGTGGCTCAACACCTTTCGCACCGAATACGTCTCCCGGAACACCCCCACAGAAAAATACGGCAAAGCGAAATGTGGGCTTCATGTGAGCCTGACGTGCGGATCTTCGCGAGTGGTGGGCCAAGAGCGAAGCTGCTAGCCCTGCGCCCTGGGAAAACGCCATCACCCCATCAAACGGCCCTTCTTCTTCCAGGAAATTTTCGAGGTCGTGAAGTGCCTTGGAGTAACTTTCAGGGGACGTCGGATCCCCGTATTGAAGATACTCTTCATTAGCACCCGCGACTGAACCAACACCTGTTCACATGAATTAGCACCACCACTAGATGGATGCATCACATCTACCACTTGCCTGGGGCCATTTGAGCTGGAACAGCACCGTCGATGTACTCGAATGTGTGGGTAGTTCCGAGGCCATGGCGGATAGCAGCTGAATTTGAATCAGCTTTGACAAAGTTGTTGTTTGGAAAGGTACTTGGTTGCATGAGAAAACAAATTTAACAATGGGAATTATTACCAGTCTGCATTTCAAAGATCTGTTTGCTTCAGGTTAGGAACGGCTTTTCTATGACTCTCACACTCATCCGCTATGATGTCAATCTCGGTATACTCACTCTGCTGTTGGTGCCCATGCCATGCAGGCAGAGGAAACGCATGGTGGATGATACGGTATTCTCACCGTGAAATAAGAACGCGGTCACTGAATGTCAGATTTGAACACGCAATGCACCAACTGGAGCGTTTACCACTTTATGAGACGCTTCATACGTTTTATATTTATGAGGATCAGAAACGAGACCACTCAATGCACCGACTGTGGAATGGGGCGATAAACCTTGATATGGGTCAGCTTCTGTCACTTTCGTGTCTTGTTCGGAGTACGTTTTATTCATCCAACACGCTTACCTAAATCGGGTACTATCTGTGGTAAATAGAGGTAGCATACAATCTCTTTCGGGTTAGGTCCTGTCCCTTGATTACACAGTACAGCAATGGTTGGACATCGTGCCACAGGACACAGAGGGAGGGTCTGCAGGGATTAGTATGTAGTCCCTGCACCGGTTGGTTGCGTACCAACTGCCACTGCCCTTGTTCGATGAAAACTTCCGGTTCTTCCAACTGTGGTTCTGCTCGTCTTCGCCTTCATCTTGCACATGAAGAGAGGCGCTTTGAATTTCGCATCACCTTGATCTAACACTTTGCCTCACCCCACCTCAATTCCCCCCCGATCGTTTCGCTCAAGACTTGAGGCGACCTCATACTTCGTGATGGCCTCCAAATTGCAGCTCAACAGGGGCTTCGCTCTTATCACCGGCGTTAGTAGTCGAACAAGTGCTTACCCCTACACTCGATAGTTATGCTGACTAAAGAATGTCATCTCGATGACAGGCGGCAGCTGGCATCGGCAAAGACGCAGCCTTTGCATTTGCCGAGGCCGGTGTCCAGGGTGTTGCCTTCGCTGACGTGAACGAACAAGGTGCCCAGGAGGCAGCGGAAGAGAGCCGCAAATATGCCACGAATGCCGAGTACAAGACCCTTGTTATCAAAGTTGACATGTCCGACGAAGTTGGCGTCCAGGAGATGGTTGATCGTGCCGCCAAAGAGTTCGGCCGGATCGATTATGCTGTAAACAGCGCTGGGGTGAGTAAAACCAAGATATGTAATGCATCTGGTATAATTCCTTGCTTTACACTCAGCCCCGCCTAGCTATCCTGCGTGGCGGGCGAAAAGGCTGCGGGACAAGTCTGGGCGGGAACGAGTTTTCCCAAATATTCAATGTCTGACCACTTTCATTACAGCTGGGTAACGTGTCAGGTGCCCTGACGCCGAACCTGAAGCTTGAGGCCTTCAATAAGACCATCGACGTCAACGTCAAGGGCGCTGTATACTTTGCACGCGCAGTCACAGCCACCATGGCTGCCCAGGATGAGCTCACCCACACAAGCAGCAGTCGTTACGGCAATACAACCCGCACGCTTGGCAGGGGATCTCTGGTGTTCCTTGGCTCAGTCAACTCATACATTACATCTCCTGGGATGCTGAACTATACTACGTCGAAGCACGCCATTGTCGGCATCACAAAGTCTGTCGGTCAGTGCAAGCCATCTTCGGCTCCCTATCCACCCTTCCAGTTGGCGAGCTAATAGTGATTTTTGTACGACTGAAAGCAATGGACTGTCTCAAATCCAAGATCCGTGTCAATGCGGTGTGTCCATCGTGGGTGGACACGCCGATGAACCATGCCACAATCCAGCGTGTGCCGCAGATGGAGCAGTTGATCAAGATGATATCACCCCTGGGGCGCGTGGCGTCCACTGAGGAGGTGGTGGACTACATCATTTTCCTTTGTAGCCCCAGCGCTACCTACATTAATGGCACCGGTCTCACCGTTGATGCCGGCATTACACTGGGTATTCAAGTCCCGGGCTACAACAAATAGCAACGAGAGCGTAGGGCTTTTGCACTCTAGTGTCGGGTTTCTGTCTTGCCGGAACCAGCCATGCCGGTGTATTTCCTCTTTGTGAACTACAAAGAGGCGTTGATCGATCATATGTACCTAGGCACTCACTGTAGGCCAAATTCCTGTTACAAGAAAAACTTTAGTGCCTGTTAAAAATGCTGCGTGGCAGGACCACCGATTCTCTTATTAGTGACGGCCTGGATAACTTGGGTTGCAGAGTTTGATGTCCTCGTACTTCCAAAATGATTCATTCAAAGATGCGGAAACGCTTACCAACGCGTCCAAGTGCCTTCATTCACAGCAAATTCGTAGCTGTGTCTTTGGGTATACATTACCTAGGTAATGTGTAAAGGGACCGCGCGACTTCGGAATGTGTACGAATTTAGAACAAAAACACACGTATTTGTACCATCTCCCAGCAGGGTGAAAGTTAAGACGCTAGAGGGAGAGGAAGTACAGGAAGAAAATGAATTTCGTCCATGCCGATCAGAATCGATTAATTTAAATTGATCGGCCCAACTCGTAGCCCTTGACGTGCATCGAATTGTGCGCCCAACATAGGGATTAGTTGACGAAGAAAGAGAGGAAAGGGGCTCTTGAGTTGGATGGAGTGCGCCGTTGCCAATGGACGCCTCCAACTGTCCTCCTCCACTCCGTCTAGATGTCTGTGATAGCACCCGTGGACGGACTGGACCCGCAGAGCCTCACCACACACTTCCAAGGTGCTGATCCAGCTGACTGCAAGTCAAGCAAATGATGTAAGCAGACACTGCACCACAAAAGTATTGACCTATGATCTGAGTTGCCATTCTCCGGAACCGCTGAACTGTTGCCTACTTGGTGTCTCCGAAATCCCCCAGGTGTTTTTTTTTAAAAAAGTTTTAACCTCTTAGTACCCAGACCCCAAGCACCTATACTATCTGAATCTAATATAGAATACATTTAGCAGATAGGAAGGGAAATATCCCTCTTCATTTACTTTTCAAAGCTTTTACTATTTATTTTTATTATTTATTTTTATTTCCTAGTCTTTATATATTTAAAAAATATCTATTATAATAAAGGTAGATTCAAGGCTTCTTAGAATTAAGAGCGGGGTATAAAATTATATTTCGTTCTTAACTTTAATATTTTTCTATCTCTTTCTAAAGGTTACTATCTTAGTTTTATTTTAATTCTATATATATTTAGGGATATAAAAGCGTCTTTATTTAATATTAATTATTAGTATAAAGTACTTAAATTTAAGTCTACTAGTTTAATAAAAGAGGTATTAATTTATATAAATTCTTTTAATAATATATAATTAAGTTTTAATTAAAAATTATTATAATAATAAAATAATTATATTATATAATAATAGTTATATAACTAACTTTAAAGTAATATATAAATATTTATAAGTATAGGTACTTATATCTTCTAAATAGTATATTATACTAACTAGGATTTATGTATAAACGGTTGCCTACAAGGGATTGAAAAAGGACCCTTGTGGTCCTGCTCTGGAGCCTGTAACATACTAGTACGTGGTATCTATCCCTGGCGCTACTGCGAACAGCCCACCACTACTGTGGAACAAAATAAGCACGCCCCGCCTTGTTAGGTCTTACTTCCATCGTCTCTTGGCCAAATACGACGACAGAAAGGCTACCGGCGATGAACCTGTTTGCGCGAGAAAACATGCATGTCAGACGGGTAGATGTCAAGAACCCTCATCTCCTGATTTCTAGGTGGTCGAGATTATCGCGCCTGAGACGCCAGAGTATTACGCCGTACCACTTTGAAATGTCCCCCGGTCTGTCCTACCGGGCTCTTTCTTCCGGGCCTTTTTCTTTTGGGGCAGTGTCCTCATTGCCCGCAGCCCCCCCCCCTAGTCGGATTTGATACCCCTTTTTTCACGGTGGCCTTCGCGACCAGAGACCACGCCGGGTGTTTGAGCATTTAAAACTGTGTGAGAGATTGCCTCCGGCTTTATAAGAGTACATACAGATTAAGACCAAAATTGGTTGCCGCTGTGCGAATCGAGTGACGTCCTAAGCTTCTTTTCCCCCTCCTGCGATTCTCCGCGGCACCATGTCTTCCGCCACGACTGCATCAGAAAAGCCTCTCTCCTTCATGGAGAAGCTTAACCCGCTTATCTCCGTCTACCGGCCGTCAGAAGTTTCGACTTCCAACACAAACACAACTCGTCAGCTACGACTCATCATCATCGCTAGTTGGACTGGTGCCAAAGATGCCCACATCGCGAAATATGTGGTCAAATATCAGTCCATGTATCCCGCGGCTCAGATCCTCTTACTTAAGAGTACCATGAGTTGCATGTTTCAACCATCTCAGATTAGCCCTGCCATGAAAGATGCTACCCCTATTATCCGTGCCGCTATGCAGCCAGTGGTATCATCATCATCGTCTTCGCCACCTCTCCTCATCCACATGTTGTCCAACGGTGGCTCCTCGAGTCTAGCAAACCTATACGAGCAGTATTCTGCCACAGCAGGACCAAATGGGAACGACAAGCGCCTCCCCCCACACGTTACCATCTATGATTCGTGCCCCGGCCTCTTCCGCCTTCCACGTGTTGTTGCCTTCACCAGCGTCGGCCTTTCCTCTCTCCAGCAACTCATCGCCGCGCCGTTCATGTACGCCTTGGCCGCTGTGTGGAGTGTGGCAATCACCCTATCCATTTTCCCCAACTCACTAGGCGACTGGTACAAGTCACACAACAACGACGCGGCCAACGCGGCTGAGGTACGACGGGTTTACATATATAGTCGCACTGACGCGTTGATTGATCTTCAAGACGTCGAGGCGCACGCTGCTGAGGCCGAGACCAAGGGGTTCTCCGTCGCATTGGAGAAGTACGAGGGTTCCGCGCACGTCGCGCACCTGCGGAAGGATGAAAGCCGTTACTGGGAGATCGTCAGGAGGACGGTCGAAGGATAAGATCTGGCGCTGAAGTGTTGCTTGGAAGGTTGTCCAAAGATGAGACAGTTATGGGAGATGGGTGGTCACAACATATGCCAGTTTGTCGTACAGGTCCCAGTGAGCTGTGTCAGAGAAAGGTATGCACTAGGCTGTGCTTCAATCGTTCTTGTTTCGACTGGTGTCTCGACCACAATATCCCTCACTGTGGGAAAGGGATGGTGAGGTATCAGTAACGGCGACCCCCATTGGAAAGAATGCTTAGGGGTAACTGGTTGAACAGACAGAGGTGGAAAAGAACCGAGTTTGCGGGCATGAAGATGCAAAGACCTTCCATGGAGATTGTGAGATCGTTGCTGCCTCTTCTTGTAGTCGCAACATCGAGGGTCTGTTGTCGGAGTTCGACAGTGAAAGGCGAATGTCACGGGCGACGAGACACGATACGCCATGAACTCGTCGCCGAGCTCGACCCAACGCTGGCTTATAACGTGGGCGGCCCAGATCTCGACCACCCCCCGATTCCGACCACCCACTTTTTGGTGCAAACACACTATTAAGACACCCACTTTTCAGCCCCCTCTATTAAATCTAAATAAAATACTATAACCCTAACCCTAGACTCTAGAAATACTATTTTATTTATATTATTATATAAAAATACTATATTAATTCTTTTAAGGTTAAAATATTTTATAAAGAATTTTTAAAGTTTAAACTTTAAAAATATTAAGAATTACTAGTATAATAATAGGTATTTATAATAAAGTTAATATTAACTTTTATTAGTTTTATATTAGTAATATAATTTATATAAAATTTTATTTTATATTAGAAATAATAAATAATATTATTTTAAAACCTTTTACTTATAATAATTTTTTAATAGAGATATAAATATATTTATATTCTTTCTAAGAAACTTTTATATAAAAAAGTAAAGAACTTAAAATTTAAAAATATTACTAATATATATTAAGTAAAATTTTATAAAGTTTAATAATAATAGTAATAATAAAAGTTTTTTAAAAGAAAGTAAACTTATAACTAATTTATTTAATTAAATATAATTAAAATAAGCTAATAGTTAAAATGTTAATACTAGTATATAAGACTCTATATATTTCTTAATATTTTAAATACTTTAACTTTAAAACTTTTTTTAAAAATACTATAGTATATAAAGTAATTATTTAAGATTTTTACATTATATTAGAATTAAAACCCTATCTTGATTATTAAGGGTTAGGGTTATTGGATTTTATTTGAATTTAATAGGGGGGGTAGAAAAGTGGGAGTTTGTGTGGAAAAGGTGGTCGAAATCGGGGGGTGGTCGGAATCTGGGCCGCCCACGTTATTCCAGAGTTGATATTTAGAAAAAGAAGAAGTTTCGGTCAATGAGAACAAATTCAAGAACACCCCCAGCTATACTTCAGTCTTTTGCTTTTCATGCAGTAATAACTAGCTGCCTAGCTGCCCAGTTACGTGGGGATCCTCAAATAAGATTTCGACCCGCGTCCATCATTATTTATCCCTGGGCATCTCATCCCTTGATCGAGACAGTCAACATTCCTGCGTTAGCTCTATCCACTGCCGGCGGGTGATGCTTTGTAGCGTGCCTCCACTACTTATCACACGTCTCATAATGGAGCGAGGTTTAAGAGCATGAATCGACGGACTCTCAAACCAGGAGAAGGAATACGAAATACCACCTGCGTCAATAAAGTGACGAGGAATATGAGGGCAAGCACAGGGAGAGTTCAATCCAAAGGTTTCTCTTCTTTCGCCGCAGCGAGGTGAGATATTAAATGTCCAGACCAAAGCGCACAGTATAGCTAGCTTGCAACGCCGTTGCCAAATACGCTGCTATCCACAAAAGCTACAAATAAAAGACATCCGTGCATGCCCCGATGTCAATATACCACCACTAAGAATGATTTATCCCATGTCCGGCTCAGGGTGCGACCGCGAGTGCAGCCCCTCGATCCGCCCGCTGAGCTCCTCAAACTGGCGCCGCCACTTCTTGACCTCGTCGGGCTTGGTGGTCACGCCGGGGACGCTGGCGCCGTCGTTGACGCAGGCGAGCATGGTTCCGTGCAGCGCGGCGACGATGCCGCCACCCGGCGCATCAGTGTCCAGCAGCTGTGCCGAGTCTGGCGCCAGGACCTGTGCGACGTAGGGGTTCTTGAAGGCCTTCTTGAACACCTCGAGCGAGGGGACCAGGATCATGATGATGCCGTCGAACTCGACCGGCTCGGACGAGGCGGGGGCGTTGGGCGGGGCGAGCTCGGGGCTCCATGATGGGATCACCTTGCCCGAGGCGCGGACCTGGGGGAGACGACGGTGAGTGGGTGTTTACCTCGGCTACAGCAGTTGGGTGGTCAGTACTCACCTGTTGGTACCGTCTGATGCCGGAACCCTCTGCGAATGGGATGAACTTGGGGGCGTGGACGGTCTGCCACTGGTCCCAGAACTCTTCTCTCGTGAGCTTTGGGTTGCGCTTCACGTATTGTAGCACTTGGATGAATCCCGTGTCTGGGGCCATGGCTATTGTATGCAAACGGCACGGGCTTTCCTTGGGACACCAGATGTTCTATTGGGTTGTTCTTGTAAATGGGAGAATGTGTCCAGCAGTATGCCCGGAAGCGAAAATCGAACTCTACGGGATAGCGGGAGGGGCTTTATGTGGTTATATGCCGACGGTCGGAAGGAGGGGTTTTTGGACATGGTGTGGAGAAAGGAGCTATGGAAGCTCTACCTATTTCTACTAACTCAATTGCATCATGCGACCCGGTGGCCCGACAGATCACCAAAGACGGGGGAAGCTTGGGGAGCTGAATCGCTACACGTGCTGCGTCAGAACGGGGATAGCCTTGCTAGTCTACCAGATATAGCACGGCACGGACCGTTGAGCTCTCTCAAACATGCTCCTCCTGCTGCTGCAGCAGTGCGGGGTGCAGATGCAGGGCAGGGCAGAGTTTCTCCGCTTCTTGTACGGAGTGGTCTTATCATTACTTCGAACAAATGTACGTGTACATAGCTCTGAGAAGCTCCGCTTGCAGCCGGCATATAACACCGGTTTGTTTCTAATCATGTCTCACTCTACGGGGGCGGAGGCGTGGGGTATCTCTTGGCGTTTCGTGTCGAGAATCAAGGTGGACATTGGCCTTTGAGCCTTGGAGAGAACCCAACAGGGTGAGTATGTCTGAGCGGTGAGTCGCGCTGAGGCATTTGTGGGAGATCAACAAACGCGCACTATGCTGTGACTTGGCTCCTTGGCATCACTAGATGTCTCAAATAGCCAAAGCTGCCATCGGAATCTCACCGCGAACTCGATAGACTCATTTCTTTGTTGCCAACAAAAGCACAACAAGCCATGGAATCTGGTACTTTGCCTCATTCACTCATATGCCAACTGAAGCTCCTCATACCATGCCCCAACCTCAAGGTCTTTCTCCCGAGGTCATTCTCATGTACGCCTGTAAATTGACCTCGATGGACCCACTGTCTAAAGAATTAGTCCAGATAGACCGAAACAACTAAGAAATGGAAGGTTGTAGTACAGTCACCCCCCTTTTAACTTTCAGTTTAAAAAGGTTTATGATCTAATCCACCAGAACTATAAGTGTTTTAGTCTCTACCTAGATAAATATTTAGGGTTCACAACTACAGTCTTAGTCTTAATTCGGCTTATTGACTAAACATAATCTGACTACCTAGTTTTTTCAACTTCGCTATCACGAATGTCGGGCGCCCCGTGGAACCACACAGTGAGGATACCGCGGGGCTTGAGGATCCTGCTCAACGCGCGGAAATCGGCCTCCGGGTCCATGAGCGCTTCGCCAGCAAATACGGCCGCGGCCAAGGAATTCGGGACGTTCTCAGGCGACCTTCTCAACTCAGGATAGTAAGAGCAGCATTTGGCTGTCGATGCTGCGTTGCGGCGCTTTGCATAGGTCCTGGTGGGTTGCTTGGAGGTCTGAGGGATGTCCTCCTAAAAGCGCGATGCGGGGACATGGGCGACCTGGTGCCTATTTAATGGGCCACATTGTAGGAGGATGACTGGCCATCACGGTAAGCGAAAGCCAGATCGTAGAGGTTCCAGGTTGACAGTCTTATTTGCGCAGGGCGGCCAGATACTGGTCTCGGCATTCCTCATCAAACTCAGTATCATTCCAAAGGTTGGCCGTGTCCTTGTTTCCAGCAGTCATAATGGCCGAAGCCCTGGAGATACCTACCTAGGTACAACTAGAAAGCACCTATCGCATTATAACTACTGTTATCGACAACGTATTCTTTCCAAGCGCTGGGTCTTGAGTGCTTACCACCGTATGAAGGCGCAATGTATGTCCTCGGACGTATACGGAATGGAAGCGAAACCACACAACTAGATAGATAGTATGAAATTTGATCAGCTAGCTGCGCCCAATGCTACTGGAAATTAGCGCATTCGTATTCGAAGTCCTCAACTCACGACTTGGAGCCGCTGGTTTCCAGGGCATTTTAGATGGTTTCGCTTCTATTCCGTATACGGCTAAGGACAGACATGGCGCCTTCATACGGTGGTAAACGCTCAAGACCCAGCATTCAAAAAGAAATGCAGGGCCAATAACAATGCAGAGAGAATACAGTAAGTGGGCATGTGGCCTTAGTCTGGTGTCGCACAGATGATGCTGGGAGGCATCGCTCCCGACGGCGCCGCTGACTAGAAGCGTCGACATAGTAAGTTGCCCAAGGGCTCATCTGCCATGGCAGTAGAGTCAAAACCCGCCGAAAGGACGGTCAGGATCAAACATAGTCGGAGGGATAAGAATCGAGGCTAGCGTGAAGTACATATGTATTAATGGCAGGGAGAACCGGGCCACACGGAGGGCTAAGCGGTATAGCTGACGAGATGGTGAGAGAGCTAGAGATGTTCGAAGGTTTAGAAAATTTAGTAGACACGCGATAGGGCCAGTTGATAATAGTGTATTTAGGCACATAGACCGTCAAGGGACTAAACGCTCATGATTGCGTAATGTATCGGTTGTTAATATTTATTATCCTGAAAATCCCCGGAACCAAGGGAACAACTTAGAACTCTTTCCCTAACTCCATTCCCAACTCTATTTCCAAGTCGCCACCAAAGCTCGCCAACAAAGAGAATATTTCACGACGCAGAGGAAAGAAGAACGGCATAGGAAAGAACAAGAAGCCGATTAATACTTGAGCAAGCAAATCGACCTTGTCGCCTATGATGTATTCCTACAATCTACAGGAGTCAAGCCCATTCTTCTCAAAGCTACCTGCGGAGCTTCGCTTGGAGATTTACGAGTTTATTTTCTGTTCCACCTGCTTATCTTTCGTCAAGCAAACAAGGGACAAAGCGAAAGACGGCAGCGCCCGCCTACTCCCAGACCCCAATGGCTTGAGCGCCCTCCGCGTCTGCCGTCGATTCAATGAGGAGATCGGAGACCGTTGGCTGGGCCAGGTCCTATTGAGCTTCCATGACCCGCTGACAGTGCTGAAGAAGCTCAGTGCCCTGGACCAGCAGACCCTCGGGAAGCTGCGCAACTTGCGCTTTTGGTGCTCAACCCCAATGGTGGAGAAAAAGCCAGGCGCAGGGATGCGATTCCGGTTGTCAAACTTCCTTGGGATGCTGAGCGGACTGAACCTTGATAGGCTTATCATTTCCGGCCCACACCGGAGAGAGTACCAATACCTCGAACTGGATGCCCTAATCAGGGGCAGTAATGGGTGGAAGGAACTCTACTACGTGTCTGCGAGCTCCGAAATGCTCGGCTTTGAGAAAACCGCGGTTGTCTCCCTCCTTTACTCCCGCCGCACCGTCCAGCGCGCACCGCAGCCATCGACATGGACTGAAGCAATTGCAGCCCGCGATGGACCCACGGCGTCTGTCACCATTTATCGGTGCACGGATGAGGTTTTGAAAGGTTCCATGATATACAACTCGCTCAATCGCCAGGTCTTCACTGATCAGGTTGCGAAGCCTGGGAGAGAGTCCGAATATGGGGTTGAGCGAGACACCGCTCTGATGGCACCCGGTGAAAGGAATAAAGAGATTTTGGTGGTAGTTAAGAGAGGCAAGAACGTTGACTCCACCGAGAAGGGCAACTTGCGAATTCTGAAAAGATACATTATAAATTATCACACTAGAGTAATGCCCGAGGAGGTAATGCACGGCAGCGAACCGGGCCCCTGCCTAGGTCCGACGACTGCGACCTGCTCAAGTACCTAGGTATGCCAAGGTGCTCATAGAACCATATGACGATGACTACTTGATGGGATCCGAGAACTAATACGACTGTCACATCGACTCTGACCCCAGTATTGAAGATGAACAAGACCCATATCGCGTTGCCCGTAATGAGGCGGCTGCGGATTGAACCGTTTGCAGCATGACTTGCAACCTCTACAACTAGAAGACAGACCTCTCAACAGCGACGAGGGAGCGGGAACCAAAGTTCATGAGGATGACTGCTCCATCAAGGTGGACACCTACCGGCATGTCGATGAATACGAGTGGGCTGATTGCTCTCCTTTGTGGCATATCCATTTCGATCGGGATATGGAACTTCTACTTCCTAAACTCATCTGCTGGTACCAGGAGTATTAAGATGGCGATGAGGCTCAGGCTCTACAGCATGAGAACTTAAAGTTAAAACTAAATAGTATAGATTTGATAAGTAAGTCTGCTTAAATATAACTAAAAGGAAGAAAGATTACCCTTTAGTACTTAGTGTAGTGAGACGGATCTATAGACTACTACACTATAAACACCCCGGCCAAAAGACTATAATTCTAAGTTACCTAAACTTAGAATCTAGTAGTTATTAACTTATATCGTTACAACCCCCCTTTAAGGCCTTCTAGAGCTTTAGATGAATAGGGGGCTAATTATACTTATTTCCGTTCAATATATAGCTAATAGGAGGCCTAAAATCTAACAATATAACACTAATTTTACAAGGCTATAAATACTTACTTCTTAACTATTTATTAAATAGAGGCTTCTTACCCTAAGTATTATAGGGACTTTTCTTAGATTAATTAGGAACTAACCGTAAAGATTTTCAAATATAGGGGCTCAAACCTACACCCTTTAACTTAGAATTAAGATAGATCTATAAACTACTACACTATAAATACCCTAATTAAAAGACTATAATTCTAAGTTACCTAAACTTAGAATCTAATAGTTATTAACTCATACTATTATATATAAGAGGTAATAATATAGAGTTCAATAAATAAAGAAGCTTATAAGAACTATTATAAGGTATCACTATAATGTAAACACTATTAGTTTATATTAAATATTATTCCTATGAATGAGGGTTCTGGCACCCACTAATACTTAGGTTAGGTGAAGGCATAGAGTCGAAATGGCACTAATAAGATGCCTCGTGTGTTCGTTCCGCATGCAACGGAAGGCGCGACTGCTAGCCACACGCCTTCTCGTCCGGCCAAAAGACCATAATAACCAATCTGCCTATTGGTTATTCCTAGCAGTATATAAGCACCGTACCGTCACTCCGCACATATTCCACCACACTCTAGCCATGAGTTTTGACACGAAGCCCAGCGATGCCTCGTCAATCAGGCTCAAACCCACCACCCCATATAATACCCAAGTTACCTACTTAAGTACTTGAGTACCTAGGTAGGTACACCCATTCTTGCCGGCCTGCACTACTGCAGGTCAACTGTTCTTCCCAGAACGTGCCCGCTACCATGGCACGCCTCCTGCGCAATCTAAAATCTTACCTCTAGCATCATGTTTCCACACACGGACCAACAGGGACTCCCTGTTAATCCTCCTGACGGGGAACTGGAAGCCTTTGAGCAGCTGCTCCGACTTTCCGACTCGCCTTCAGCATTTCCAAGAGACGCGATTATCGTGTCCATTGATCTCCAGGGCTAGAAGCACCCGGTGGCGCGAAGGGTACTCTTCGAGTGAATAGAAAACAGGTCAAAGGCGTGAGAGAGGTTGGATTTGCGGTGCTCGATACTTGGCATATCTTCACTTCGGCCCACGACTCTCAACCAACATTGACTCCGACCGACACCGGAAACGAGAAAAGCACCAAGTTCGCGCCTCGGCAGCATCCCTTGATTTCAACGCAGCAGTTTTCCACGTCTCACGCCTCTGAAGACTTCGAAGACTGCGACGTCACCGACTTTCGAGAGTGTATCTTTGCCAAAACCCGCCGCGTTTCAAGAGAGGACTTGGTGGATACCATCACCCGCTGCCTCCGACTCCAAGAAGGAGACCCCGATCATCTCTCCGGAAGCAACAGCGTCGGTGGACCGGCGTTTGGTCGACGCCCCGTCGTGATCGTGGGACAGTCCCCGCAGCATGACCTCGAAATCATCCGGCGGCTGGGCGTTGAGATGAGTTCCACAGCGCCAGTGGCCGCCGTTCTTGACACGCACCGACTCGGCAAATTCATCCTCGGCCCAGGCTCGCCGGCAACAAAACACCACCTGCCCATACAGAAGTTTGGTCTTAAAGACATCCTGACGGAGCTCGGAGTGGCTCATAGCTGGCAGCACCTTCACAATGCGGGGAACGATGCCACGTACACACTCTACGCTTTGCTCAAGTTGGGTATGCGATGGGCCGAGTCTACTGACGAGGCAAGGGAGGGGCAGGTGTCAAGATGTCTGCAGCAGCTGCGTGAGTTCACGGAAGCCGAGATGAATGCGCCGAGGTGGACGCCGGTTAGGAGGGCGTTGGGTGCACATCAGATCGAAAGCATCTCGGGCGACGGAGTACGAGCTGCAGGGGAATAGGTACCTGCGTTCGCTTCTGTTCCGTGTACGCTCGAAGACATTCACGGCGCCTTAGAGCTCAAAGACCCAGCGTTTAAAACATACCCTAGGTCGATAACAGTGGTAAGGGCAGTACTTCAAGTTGATCAAGAAACCTTGGAAGCTAGCAGATTCAGCAAGACTTTGGAAATCACAAGGTGTCTCAAGGCAACTTATTAAATGATGAATAGGATACGAAAAGGCCACAGGCAGTGTGACGGTACTTCAAGCCCGAAAATTGCGGCCTGATCTATGGTGCCCATCTATGTAGTAGCTTAGCTATTGATCGGATAATGCAGAACTCGTTGATGATTCTAAATATTTTAAGACCGGTTTGTCATTTACTGCCCAGCGGTGATGTATTTAGCGTCTGAATCCCTCTGACGACCTCTCGCAGAGTAATTCTTGAAACGCGTGATCTATGATGGCGTGATGATTCTCACCCGGGCCCTGCCTTGGCTTCACTGTTAAGAGGTTCATGGAAAGGTGACATTAATCAGGGACTTTGTCGCTGACTCGGCTCACCTAATGCGGCTCAAACTATTTAATGAATGAGGCGCAAGGAACAAATTCTATGGCCAGAGGATGCAGTTGGCGCTTATGAGACCAACCAACAATAGATTCTCGGCAAGCCAACCCTGAGGCCCCCCGCTCAGGGGTCTACATTTAATGCGTATGTTGGTTGAATTTACCTCGTGTGATGGGCGGTGGGTGTACGTGGTTATGAATATATAAGGCCTTTCCTGCCTCGATTCTGACATTGAGCTGCGAGAAAGAAAACACCTCCCAACCAAGCCCCGCCCCATGCTTTTTCTGAACGAATTCATCACCTCACACTTCCGCGCAGACCGTAGTTTTGACAAACAGAGGATGGCGTCCGTAAGGGAGAACATGCTGCAGCTGGTGCACAAGTACCTGAGCGTCATGAACGAGCAGGGCCCCGACGGCCTCAGGACCGTCATGGCCCCCGACTTCAGGCTCAAGATCGCCCCCAAGACCCTGGGCCTCCCGCCGCCGGGCAGCCTCGACGCCTACATTGACCTCCTGAAGGGCAGCCAGAAGGCCATGGGCAGCAAGAACTCCAAGATGTTCTTGGTGGACGGGTTCGAGCCGTGAGTAACCCCCACACAAAACACTGCCTTTCCTGTCCTTGGCGCCTACCAGACTTGTACTTGGGAGCTGGCCTGTCTCGTCTGTCAGGTGTAGGACAAGTGCAGCAGCTCAGCCACGAACGAAACCCTCTCTTCAGCTCGAAGAGAAAAAAAATACTAAAACTCAAACTGTGCAGCGTCGTCGACGAAGCAGGCCACCGCGTGGTACTGCACCTGCAGTCAACCGCGGACTCGAACTTCGGACCAGTCGAGAACGAGTTCATGGTCATCCTCAAGACGACCGAAGACGGCACCAAGATCAAGGAGCAGCACGAGTTCATGGACAGCGCCGCGTTCGCCGCGCTCATGGGCAAGATGCAGGGTCAGCAGGCGTAGGTAGGGCCGATTGGCGCAGGCGGCAGGGCAGGGCACGCGGCAGGGTCCGAAAGGGTGTCCGCAGTGTAGTGTAATATTACGTTGCATGCAAGTCGATGATCGGGCCCCAACCCTATGCATGGGACTCGCAGGATCTCTTGGCCCTTTGTGGATGGGTGGGTGTGTCGTAAGGCTCCTTCACCTCTCCTTGGCCCCTCTGTCGACCGAGCCCCCAGGCAAACTACTGCAGCTCCTCCGCATTGCCCGGCGAACCGGGTGAAGGTGAGTTAATCGTATTACGGGGCGGGATGAACAGCGGATAGGGTGGGTAATGCGTACCTACTCTCCTCACAGCCCGCCGCGTGACATCTGGAGAGATTGTGGCACATGGCGACCCCGCGGCATAGCAGGTAATCCTGCATAAAACCGCTGGCCGTTTGATAGAATGCAGCAATGATCGATTGTCAGTCCCATATCAATGACAATAAGAGATCCTTTTCAGCGAGACCAGAATCACCTGTAGTTACAGACAAACACAAAACCACTGGCATAGAGGCGGTGATGAAAGAACGTAATCAAGATATCTTTCTCCCAGTCATGCGATTGGGGGGCATGTCACACAACATGCCAGGCAGCACGGCATGTCGGAAGTGCATTTTGGCGAGCCCTGCATCCGCCAGTCTGGCTGGCCCTTCCGCATGAGCCTGAACGCAATGGGCCCTGACATTGTAGATTTTCATCCTCGGGCGCAAGGGCATTTCCTCGGTCCGCCCTCTGAAAGGTTCGCATCCGGATTCCTGTGTTCGCTTCTCCTTGCAAAGGGCTACGATGACGTTAGGCTGGCAATGCCCTTCCGTGTCCCGGACTGGATTTAAATGAGAAGTTTTACCACGGTCTCGTTGAACTCCTTGGGCCCTTCTTGACTTGAGCATGATCCAGGCATACATCTGCATCATGTTCTCAAGCTTCAACAACCAGGTCATACGCACCGCTACAATGACGGCCCCAGGTGCGCTCCCGGGCGGGACGCACACTGACCACCGGGTCGAGCTCGAAGCGGTATATTGGGGCCTCTCGGGGCTCTCCACGATATTCATCGCGCTGCGGGTATGGCATCGAGTCTCAAGGCGCATGCTGGGGGTCGACGACTGGCTGATGGTGGCATGCTGGGTCCGTACAACGCCTCCCATCTCTCACATCAGTATCCGCCACTGCGCTCAAATCATTGATGCTGACTCCCCACGCAGTCAAGTTTCATAGCCAGCGGCGTCCTGCTCACAGTGATCGCCGAGACAGGAGGGACAAGGCACAAGTCCACCCTCACAGCCCCAGAGCTACAACTCCAGGCGAAGCTCCAGACCGCCACCCTCACGGTCTGGACCACAACCGCCCTCCTCGGCAAGATGGCCATCGGGTTCGCCATCCTGCGCCTGCTGAGGGGGACGACCAAGTGGCACACCTGGCCGGTGCACATCGTGATCTACCTGACGGTCCTCACCAGCGCCCTCGAGATCCTCCTCACCCTCTTCCGGTGCGGGAACCCGCGGAACCTGTGGGACCTACACGACGGCGGGCAGCCGGCGCCGCAGCACGCGTGCCTGAAAGAGGGCGCGGTGTCCGGCTTCCGCCACTTCGCGGCCGCGTGGCACGTCTTCGTGTGCTTCTTCCTGGCGTGCTTCCCCATGTGGATCATCTGGGCGCTCAGGATAACGTCGCCGCGGCGCAAGCACACCATCATGACACTGCTCGGGCTGCCGGCCATCACGGGCCTCGCGGCGCTGGCCAAGGTGGCCGTCGCGCGGGCGACAGGTCTCGGCCAGGGGGCTGCACCGGAGAGGGACTCGACGTGGGATATCTACGCCCCCGCGGCGTGCACCGCCGCCGAGGCGATGCTGCTCATCGTGTGCGGGTCCGTCCCCGTCATGGTCCCCGTGTGGGACAACCTCGTCCGGTCGTGCCGGCAGGGCTACGGCTCTGCGAGCGGGATGGTGTCGGGCGGGGGGGCAGGGGCCGCCACTCGAAGGGGGGCGAGCTGCCGCAGGCGAGGCAGGGCGTCGAGGACGCTGGTCGTCGTGAGGGTTCTGATCTCGAGGAATCACGACTGGTTGGGCGGTGCTGCGAGGGTATTGCCGAGTTGCCGTCGGTCGTGCATGCGCGAGAGTCCCTTAGATGCTCGCTGGCGTCGGAACGGGGCGTGGGAGGTGGTTTGCCGACTCGGTGGTACCGCGGTGAGAAGCGTTGGGGGGGAGTGGAGGTCGAAGGGTTTTCCGAGGGTCATTGCAGTGACGCCGAGTCTGTCGTGTTATATACCTAGGTAAATAAGGCTAGAACTGAGTTCAAATGGTGACCTAGTCATATATAAACTGAAGTATTAGAAACTACCTCACTCCGTCTTTCGCACTTGTATATCTCAGGATCCTTGTCGTGCGCCGGTCATCACCTAAACTGAACAAGTGCATCCTCTTGAGATGCTTCGGAACCATAGATGGGACCAGAAGGTCGAACCGGGGACGGATCTTGATAGGCAGAGCCGGTGGACCGTACTGCACGTTCTGCACTGTCTGGTGTGGTGAAATTACTCCAAGACTGAGACGAGAAGATTGCATATTCGACCGCTATCCCAAGTTGATAGTATACACTGCCCAGATGTGATATACAAGGGGGGTACCGGCGAGTCTAGTGTAGGTAGGATACCGGAATCTAAACCCCCGCTGCGTCCTGGAAATGCAACAACATATTACACAGCCCATTCCATCTCGGAGCGAGCAGGAACGGCGCATAGACATCATCTGGCCTATCCTCATGCCTTCTGGTTGGCCCCCGTCGCATCAAAGGCGCTCTCCGGCACACCGCGCTCCTCGCTGATGGGCCCGACGGCAACATCCTTGTCCTGGGGCTTGTCCTTGGGCTTCTCGTCCGCAGATGGCTCCGACTTGGCCGGGGCGGCGAACTTGTCGTCGTCAGAGGCCGATGGGGTAGCGGCCACCTTGGGCTCGGTCTCGGTCTCGGGAGCTGCTGGGGCTGGGGCTGGCGCATCCTCGGCAGCCGCGGCGGGGGCAGGTGTGTCGAGGGCGAGCTGGTCGGCCTCGTGCTCGGCGGCCTCCTCGTCGGCGATCTCGGCGCCGTAGATGTCGGGGTACTTGCGGAAGCAGTCCTGCATGCCCCTGTCGTGGCGGTGGTTCCACGGTCAGCAATCATGTACACCCATTGGGGAACCAAAGTATATCTCTACACAGTGTTTGTCACCAGACGTACTGGAACTTCTCAACACACTCGATGCCCTTGGGCTCCTGGTCCGAGTAGACGAAGCAGCTGAAGGCGGCCTTGAACTCCTCGCCGCAGGGCCCGTGGGCCATGCCGCCCAGGCACGGGCAGTCCCAGTTGATCTCGCCCGTCTCGGGGTTGAAGGCGCCCTGCTGGCCCGCCTCCTCCTCGAGCTGCTCTGGTGTCTTCTCGGCCTCCTCGGACGGCGGCGCTGCGGCGGCGGAGGCAGGGTTGTCACCGGTGGGGGGTGGCGTCTGTTGTGATGTCGCGCTGCTCGCCGCCTCGGAGTCGCGGGCCTTGCGCTTCTGGTCTAGTTGTTTGCGCTTCTCCTCGACGATGGCGTCGACGGTCTGGAGTTCTGACTCGGCGAACTGGGGGGGCTCGTTGGACAGTTGGGCTGTAGGCTGGATGTCAGCGGGCCTTGGGGCAGTTCGGATGAGGCGGGTCGTGGTGGAGAGGGATAGGCAGAGGCAGAGGCAGAGAGAGAAGGGGACAAAAGACAGATCAAGCTCACGTACAAGGCATCTCGTCTGCGAACATGGGGCTTGTGTTGTACCAGTACAGGGCGCCCACCGCCAGGCCCCATCTTGCCGCCGTGCCCTTCCATGTGTACCTCTTGTCTGCGGGGGCTGTGCTTGCGAATCGTCGGCCGGCGGAGGTGATGCAGGAGGAGGAGGAGGGCTGTCGCAACGCACGAGGCGTCGACCGCACTGCTGCGCGGAACATTGTGGAGGTCGTGGTGGGGGGTGAAGGGTGGCCAATGGTAGTAGTTGAGGATCAAGATGGCGAGGACGAGCAGGCGATGAGGTGGTGGCTGACCAGAGCTTCCGCAACTCAAAGTTCAAGTCGACGAGTCGCCGTCACTAATTGGTAATCCGCCCAGAGGAAGCTCGACGACCCAAAAATTCTGGAAGATCGACGACACGCGCAGTTACGTACCTGACAGGGATCCTTGGTCTAACCGTCCCGCCCGGTGATTGGTCTGTTCGGCAGCCCCACATCCCTGCCAGGAGCTGCCTAGGTACCTAGGTACCTAGGTACTTCTTATTGGTCCCCTCGCAGTTCTCCCTCAGGCAGCACTTCAATTTGGACAACCTTCATGGAAGTTATATGCATCCAGTTTTTGACTTTAGCTATCTAGACTGACTAGGTATTATCGAATTTCTGCTTTTCTGTAACTAGCATCGTGGATAGACAGCCTTATACCTCGATAAAATGCCACGATGGACTCCCACACCATCTCGACGACCACTGAAAGCAGTCCCACGATACCTGCAAAATGCATCAGTCTTCCTGCCGAAGTATGGCTGCTCATCTTCTCCGTTGGCAGACTCGACAGACACGGTGACTTCTGGAGCACCTATGACCACCCCACCATGGCCAAGATCTGCCGCTGCTGCACCCTCTTCCGCGACCTGATCCGCCCCAGGCTCTACTGCAACTTCGAGTCCATCATGTTCACAGGCGTGTGGCATCGCTTCAGTGTTGAAAAGTTCGCCCGGACAGTTTGTGAGAATCCTCGCCTGGCCGGTATGGTACGGAGGGTGGACATCCGGGGGTTGTGCAGGATGGACGAGCTCTTTGGGCCGGCCCGTGTGCTGTCGGCCGGCGACCCTGACCACGACTTGGCCTTGATACTTGTGCAGAAGGCCGCCGAATTGGGAATAGGACTCCAACCCTACCTGTCGTACAGGGACGACAGTATGCGGGACTATGTGGGTTTTGATCTCACCGCACTCGTCTTGGCCCAGCTCCCAATGCTGCACACAATACGCCTGCACTGGTACTATGGTCCCCCCCCAGATACCGTTCGTGTGAACCCCAGCCTCGCTGGCATGCCAAAGCCTACCTCTGGATGGCCCTGGACTTCTTCCAGTAAGTTGGCTCTCGTGAAATCCACGCATTCTCGCTTCTCGAGACTCTGCCACCATGGATCTCAAGGATAAGGCGCTAGGCAAGCTGGGCCCAACCCTGACCTCGCGCGCGCGCCGTCTCCACGACGCGAATGGCTAATGAGCTGTTGTCAATCTAGTCCGGAATATGGCACTGATGTACTGCGGCCGCCCCGAGCCAGTCTATGACCATGGTCCTGCAGGGAGACCACGGCCACACCCTCCTGGAGACGGCAGCTTTGGTTCAGCACTATCACTCCTCGACAGTGGAAGCAGCCTGACGAGGCTGTCCCTCGTCCACATCAATGGCCCACAGCCTATATTCCCGCTCAGCAACCTGCTTGAAGTCACCCTGCGAGGCTGTCGATCCTATGACTTTGGGCTCGTCAACCTGCTCAAGCGTTGCAGCCGTCTCCGCAAGTTTGTCTACGGGGCCAGCACGTGGGAAGCCCACCACCTGCGGCCCTCACCACGCGACGTCATCAAAGCCCTCGAGCCAGCCCAGGAGACCCTGGAGACCCTCGCGATAGACTTTCACGGGGGTGGTCAGGTCTGGGACCGAGCCCGGATCCAATCCCTGAAACAGTTCACTGCCCTCAAGACCTTGTACATCGACATGAATACCCTCTGGGACTCAGATGCCGCGCGCGACATGCACCATCTGCCAAATCAAGACGTTTTACTCACAACCGTGCTCCCCGATTCGGTTGAGGACCTCGCCTTGTTCTGCTTTGATGCTTGTGAGCTTCTTGAGCTCAGGATCGAGGCCCACCTCAGGAGATTGGCAATCGACAGGCGGGAGAAGGGGGCTTTTCCGTGTCTAGGGACACTACGTGGAAAGGGATTGTCACCGCACATGTACCGTTGGCAGGATGAGGATCATAACCGGGTCGCCGTTTTCGACGAAGCGATAGATCTGCTGAGGGATGACGGTGTGGATGTCATCCTTAACGACCCAGGCTGCTGGGGCCCAGAGTTTTCTGATATCATGACATTTCGCTGAGAGAGCAAAACAAACAGACCATCTTCAGCGGTTGAAATACTAGCATCAACAGCGACAGCGACTTGTCTGCGAAAGTTTTGGACACTCCACTCCAAGAGGATTTCAAGTCAAATGCTACTTGGATGAGAACAACTTATTGAAGTACCTGTAATTACACAACGATGAAAGACTGAGCAATTAGCAAATATTACTTAGAACTATTTCGACTAAAATCTGAGGATTCGGAGAAAGCCAGGTGCCGCTTCATTATGGCGGGGTTGTGATTTTCTACATGCCGTGAATCCATCTCTAGAGATATATATATTTATTAAAACTATGCTTAGGTGATAACTACTTTAAAACGGTTTTTTAATAACGAGCCGGATTATAGATACGTTAGGTTAATATTTATTATTAAAGTAAGAAATTATATATAAAAATATAAAAATACTATATTATAGATTTAACTAATAATTTTATAGTTAAATAAAATATAATTATACTTAAATTTTAATATAATTATAAAGATATTATATTATATTAAAAGATTATTTAAATTATTATTAAAATTTAAAATTATAATAACTTTTTTTAATATAAAGTTAAAAAAATATATTTATAATCTTTTAATTAATTTATATATAATTATTTTATTATGTTATAACTTAATTTAATTTTTAAGTTTATATAATACTTTTTTATTAATAAAGTTAAGAGTTTAATTTAAGCTAATATTTATATACTTAGTAAGTTAATCTACATATTTAATATTTTCTTTCTACACACTTAGTACCTATTTTTATATATAGAGCCTATAAAAAACTATATACCTAATTAAATTTCTTTAAACTTTTAATATTTAAAATATAAGCCTTTTTAGACCCCTTTTAACACCCCTTTTAGCACTCTTTTACCTTTACCTTCTAGTACTCCTTCTAGCACCCCTTTTAAACCTTCTAGTTTATATATATTTAAGTACTAACTAAATATTTAAATACTAATTAAATATTAAAAGGCTAGAAGTTTAAAAGGTTAGAAGGTTAAAAGGAGTATTAAAAGGTTAAAAAGAGTATAATCTTTATTTTTACCTTCTTACTTTCTAACTTTTTAATATTTAGTTAATATTTAAATACTTAATGAATATCTAAATATATATAGGTTAGAAGGTTTAAAAGGGATGTTAAAAAGGGTGTTAAAAAGAGTGTTAAAAGGGGTTTAAAAAAGGTTTAAAAAAGGTTTATATTGAAAATATTAAAAATTAAAGAAAACGTTTATATTATTAAAGTTATTTATTATTAACTTAAAAAGTATTTATAAAAAATATAAAGGAGTTATTAAAAGAAGTAAATATTAAGTATATAAAAAGAAATTATTAAATATATGAATTAATTTATTAAATATATAAATATTAATTTATTTAAAAGTTTAATTCTTTAACTTTATATTTAAAGCTTTTATAAATTTTATTTTACTTTAAATTAAATTTTAAATCTCTTAATTATTTTAAAATATATTAACTATTTTAAATAATAATAACTACTTTTAAAGTAAAGATTTACTTTTAAATAATAGAAATTTATATATTTAAAATTAAAAGAAAAATACTCTCTCTACTATTTAATTAATTAAAAAATGGAATCTTAAAGTCCTTATAAGTTTAATAAATAAATCCTTTTTATATTTTAAAACTATAAATAAAGTAGGTTAATCCTTTAGAAACTTAGGTTATACTTACTAACCTTACTTATAACTCTTTATTATACTTTATACTTTAAAGTTTACTCTTTTCACTCTAACTAACCCTTATATAAAAAAATTATAAACTTAAAGTAATATTATATATAAAAATAAAGTATAATTAGTTTATTTAATTATATTTTAATTTAATAGTATAATAAGTTAAATAATTATTTTTAAATAGTTTTACTTATAAAGTTAAATATTAATTAAGCTTATTTAATAAATATTTATTTAAATAAAGTTAAAACTTTAATTAAAAATAATAACTTTATCTTTATTTGTTTTAATTAACTTATATTTATATTTAAACTATATAATTATTTTATATTTAGTATTTAATAGTATTAAAATTAAGTACCTTATAGTTTTTAATAATTTTAACTTTTAATATATTTATTTAAATTAATATAACTTAATATATTAATATAAAATTTTTTTAATAATGAATAATATTATAAATAATTATAAAGTTATTATAAAAACTTTATATAATAAATTTAATTAAAATAGTTTTAAGAAATATTATATTATATTTTTTTAAACTTTTAACTATTTACCTTTAATTTAATAATAGAATTAAAAAATATAAATAGATAATATACTTATAATAAATTAAAAATTTTAAGATTTATTTATTATTAAAATTTATTATAATTTTAAAATAATTTTAATAATATTATTATAAATTAAATATTTTTTAAAAATATTAAAAGAATATATTTAAAAACTTAAACTTTTCTATATTATTAGTTTTATAGAATATAGACTATTAAAGTCTTTTTTATTCTCTTTTTCCATTAAAATAGATATATTTAGTTAAGTATAATATTTATATTATTAAGCTATGTGGGGGTTTTGGCTGTAGGTTTGTGTGTGTGGGTGCCTGGGGGCCCCAACAGGCTGCCTGCTAAGTCATCTATCTAGTGGTGGCCCAGTCGCCCACCCACTTAAGGATCTTAGCCTTCCTTTTGCAATCCCCTCAAACTTCCCCCTTACATAGAAGGTAGTGCCAACTTAACTGCAATCGACGTATTGAGGATAGTTGTCTTGTCCCTATTTCCCTTCTCGTGACATTGGCACTCACTGCGCCAACACTTGGTGAAGAACGGAGACCCACTGGTAATCTTAGCAGTATAAACAGTCACCAGAAACACCAACACTCAGAGCGACTCACTCCGTTTTCCTCTTCCTTCCTTTCTATCCAGGCCACCCTCTTGAAAAGTTCGGAGCCAACTGCCCCCTTCATCTCAAGTGTCAACTCTCCTGATCCGCAAAACTAATCCAATTAACATCTTGCTGTCTGCTCTCGTCAATTCATTCAAGATGTCCACCGAGGCTGACATCGCTGCCTATGTGGCCGAACTCAATGCGTCCGCAGCCTATACCCGTAGTCGCTGGAACGAGGGCGAGTCTCGTTTCTGGTTTTGGTCTCCCCCAAAAGACTTGGACAAACCCCGACTTCCGTATATTCCTGGCTTTGCTGTGCAGATCCGCCGTCATCTGCCACCGCCGCCTTTTGGCGGCCGTGACTACGGCATGGGAACGAGAGAAGTTCTGTCTCAAAGCTACCTCCTTGGAGCGACGCAGAGTGAGATGGTCATCGACCATCCCAGCGCTGACACTCCTCCGCCAGCCCAGTCCGAGACAGCTCATCTTACCGTCGTGGCACCCATTGCCATCGGCGGCGTTCGAGGAGCGCAGCTCGTTGCCTGCGAGATATCCCCTTGGAGTCATGGCGACAAGCCGCTGTATGCCGTTGCCAAGATATTCGATCCAATGTATTACAACTGTGACTATTACAACAGCCGCGAGCCTCACGATACGGTGTGGCAAGCAGATTCAGACTACAGCCGGGAAGCCGCTGCTTACGAACACCTCCAAAAGAACTTGACAGATTCTGCCCCCAAGTATTTTGGCAGCTGGACCTTTGATCTTCCCATCACAAGCAGGGGAGTCCCCAGGTCCAGGCCCGTCCGCATGATTCTGATCGAGCGACTCGACGGGGTGACTATGCGCAGCATGCGGGTCCGAAATGATCCGGAGGAGCCCGACGACGCTTTTCATTATCCAGAGGAGTACCGGCTCGAGGTACTGGCTATCGCCATGGACCAATACGCTCGAATGGAACATTCAGGACTCGATCACATTGACTTCGCAGACCGGAATGTAATGCTTGTCACCAGTACCAAACCATCTGCACAGGTTCCGATCATATCTGGCCTACCACTACCGCGTGTAGTGCTTGTGGATTACCATGCGTCTGTTGTACACGACCTTGCTGCTAAGGACAGACGTCCACAACGCCGCACAGCTCTTCCAATCAATCCGATGCAGCGGTGGCGGGACATGCCTATGAATGAGTTCATTGGCTGGGTGCCTGCTGAGTGGCACAGCACACCAAGATTGAAGAGCCAGTGGCTCGAAAAGAGGTTTGGTGGGCCGGAGCAAAGAAAGCTCTATACGATGGACGAGGCCACAACTAAGGCTACGACGACTTCAAGGCCCCAAAGCAGGGGAAGTGGGACGGATAATGGCCAACAAGTGCCCAATGACCCTCCAATCCTCCCGAGATGTATCCCATGGAATCCTGTGTCCGAAGAAATGAAGGCACTGAAAGCCGAATTGAAGGCAAAGCGGGAGAAAGAAACACCGGGAGCGCAGAAGGCACTGCCTGTTCGGAACGGCAATCATAAGTAATCGAAGTGAGCAAGAAGTTCAAATGTTACAAGGCAATGTGTTGGTAGATCTCAGCAGGGAGATTCCATGGTTGATCTTCATCAAGTGTCCAGTCAACTTTAGCAGGTGAGCAGCAGGCTTGCGCAATATCCACAGATATATATAGTTATCTAGGCTTTAGCTATATTATATTTTTTATTTAGTTATTTATTTATTAATTATTTTCTTAACTTTTAAACTAACTATTAACTTATACTTTAAGTATAAAGTTAATAATTACTTAATATATACTTTTAAATTTATTTATATATAAAGTTATTAACTTTTTTTATAAAACTCCCTCTTTTATTATATTTCTTATATATTATATATAAGTAAATAGTTTTTTAATAATAAAGTAATATATTTAAATAGGAAAGATTTAATTTTTAAATATTTAAACTTTTAATTTTTATATAATATTTATTGAATATATAATAAATAAACTTTATTTAACTTTTAAAAGGTTTTAATTTTTATAAAATTTATATAAAAGGTTTTTTAAATAAATTCATTATTATAATATTATTATTTTATAAATAACTATATATTTAAATTAAAAATTATAATATATTTAATTTATTTTATTAAAGGAAATTAAAATAACTATTAAATATATTAATATAGAAAAGTTAGTTTATTAAGTTTTATATTATAAGATTTTTTCTTATAAAGGTTATTTTAAGAAGTTATTTTAATCTTACTATATAACTACTTTATTAACTTATTATAATAAATTAACTTTTAATGTAACCTTGTAATATATAATAAAAAAATAAATTTTAAGAGCTTTAATATTAGTAGAATAGGTAAAGAAGTGTTTTTTTAAGTATAATAAAGCCCTATATATTAAAATTAGGCTAAAAATTAACTTAAAGTTGGCTCGATTTAATTTTAATATATATTAAATGCCCACCTAATATGTAAATACTATTATTCCTAATAATATAGTAGTTAGAATCTTCTTAATTAAATTAAAGGTTATTAATTTAATTTTAGGTATTATTATATTTTTTTTTTATTTATTATTATAGTTAGCTTTAAAGTCTTTATTATAATAGTTGTTTTTTACTTTATTATTTTTTACTCTCTTATTATTAGCTTTATTAAACCCTACTTTATAGTAGGTCTTATTCTTGTTTAATTAATAGGAGATATAGAATTTATTAGTTTTTAAGGGTTTTAGCGCTACTTTAGGTTTTATTTAATCCTTTAATTAGTTAGAGGAGAGTTATAGATCTATATAGGTAGAGTTAGAGTTAAAATATTCTAAGTTTAATAAGTTTTCCTAATTGAACTATTTATTAAATAATAAAAAATAGGCCTCTTTAAATATTCTTTTACTTTAAAGGTTATTATTACTTTAATTATATAATAAAGCTTTATAAAAGAAGGTTTTATTAAAAAATAGTTAAAGAAGTAGGTTAGGTTTTAACTTAAAGTTTTTAGTAATAGAAAGGTATTAAATAGGGTAGGTTTTTATAACTTTAAAGGTATTAACTATTTAAATATTATAAAACCTTAATAAGTAAGATTTATAAATATAGAAAAAAATATATATTATAAGCTTATTATAGCTTTTAAAAAAATAATAATAGTTTTAATAGTTTACTTTCTTTTAATAGAAGGTATTTTAGTGTTTATAAAGGAAGGAAAACTAGCTATTTTAGGATATAAAGGGTGTTAACCCTTATTTAATTTTAGTAGATATATTATAGATATTTTAATATATTTAAGTTTAAAGAATAACTTACCTTTTAGGCTATAAATAAATATATTTTAAAAGACTTATTAAAAAGTAGATATTATTATTATATTATAATTATTATTTAATATAATTTTATAATATATAGTAAAAGAATAAATTTTAGAAGCTTTAATATTAGTAGAATAGGTAGGGAAGTACTCTTTTTAAGTATAGTAGAGCCCTATATACTAAAACTAGGTTAAAAATTAGTTTAAAATTAGCTTAATTTAATTTTAGTATATATTAACTTTTAAATTATTTATAAAGATATTATATTCTCTTTCTATTATTATTAATATTATATTTCTTTAAATATTAAATCTTAAGTATTTACTATTCTATAAAAATACTATATATATTTTATATATATAGGGATTAAAAACAAAACCACATATAGGTATCTATAAGGCTTAGGGTGTGAATCATCTTCAACAGACAACTTACTTTATTCATCAATCAACTTTGAAACTTTTCTACACTTTTTGAACCTCAACATTTGTACGTTAACGTAGTCCTGGCATTTGTTAGTTGGCCAACTTGGACCAAACTCTAAAGTTAAAATTCAATGAGGTTTGGTCTAAAGGCATTACTGAGACATGGATCTTTGATTGTATGTTCCTACTATATGTTGCCTTCATGAGTGTTTGGCCATGCCCAGACAGACGGCCACACCAAGCACTAAAAGATTCTATGCTGTCTTGTGATAAGACATGGAGAAGGTGGGTGCTAGATAGTTGGCGACGATGACGAGTCGAACTCCATTTTGAAGAGCAGCAAGAGATGTTACTCGTCGAATTAGCTCCAATTCCAGGGCCTTGTATTGACACGGCACCCGTGACTGGACGAAAGGTACACTCCTCCGTACTATCTACTGAAATAATCGCCTCTGGCACCCCTCATTCACAAACCACCCTTGCTTTGTCTGCCCCGCGGCGTTCTCGGCGTGCGCGGCTGGCCTCCCCTTTGACCACCTCTCGGCCTCCTCGTCAGGTTGGTATTTCCTCCCGTTTGACCGCCTCTTCCCGTTTGACCGCCTCCTCCCGCTTGACCGCCTCTTCCCGTTTGACCACCTCTCGGCCTCCTCGCCAGGTTGCGATTTCCTTGCCCACCACGCCCAGCACGCGCACCACCGCCGCCTCGCTGACTGCCTGGTCGAGGGCGCTTCCGTTTCGGCAGCGGTGAGAGGAAATCGCCGTCGTCATCATCGTCATCATCATCGTCGTCATCATCCTGAAGGCGCCGGGAGTTGTTCGGCCAAAACTGGGTCCTCACACGCTTGCGTGGCGACAGGCGGCTGGGCGACGGCGTGGACAGATTTGTGTTGGATGGGGTAGGCGGCACGATGGCCGTGTCGCCGGCGGCCGCGGCGGGGCCGGCATAGTCTGCCGAGTCTATCCTGCGGCCCAGGTAGAAGAAGGAGTCCCCCGGCCCGCTGAGGAGCATGAAGCCGTTGCGCTCGTACGCGCGCGCTATTATCTGGAGCCGCTGCCGGGAGGTCAGGCTGTCGTTACTCTGCCCCCACGGTGGGCTGAGCTCGCCTGCCTCGAGGAAGGCGCTGAGCGGGCGGGTCACGTTGTATGCTTTGGTGCTGGGCGTCAGCTAGCTTTGACCTGCGGCGGGATACTCACTCGTGGCATTTGCGTTTTGAAGTAACCGGTTCATGTGTGGATGGGTGGATGGATATGACTTACGTTCCGGTAGTGAACCGCCTGTCATTAATCTCCAAAACAACTCAAAGCCTTGGTCGATGATTCGCTGTCCTCTGAACTGGAGCGCGACTGGTTTCAGAATAATGCACAGAAATACGATGGCGATACTGGGGGATCAAGGAGAGACCGTTCCGGGGAGCAGTTGATGTGGAGGGGAGGGGAGGGGGTGTAAATAGGCACAGAGGGCCACACGAACTTGTTGGTCGATCCATATCAACGGTATGTAGATAATATCAGTGTCTTCATTAGCTCGCGCCCAAGCTCCCCCCCAATTACCCCGGTACTGCACGTCGGGGAGCAGATTGCCGTTGTCATCCCGCTCAGCCATCTCCCAATTGCCGAAAAACTCCCCAAAAAGCCGCAGGAAATAATTGCGGTGGTCCTCGATGTCGTTCCGGTTATCGCGCCAGCGTGTGTACCTCTCGCCATAGTCGTCCAGATATATCTCCTCCCAGAAGCGCCTGCCCTCGATTCGGCGCCGGTCCATGTACCAGGCCTGGATGAACCCGATGAACACCTCTGGCCTGCCGTGTTGTGTCAGGAACATCTCCCCGAAATATCCAATCCGCCCTGCCCGCGTTGGGTCCGCCCTGACCTGCATCGACATGCGGAGGGTAGCCCTCTCCCCGGTCCGGTGGAGTCTTATGTCTGATGTACCTCGTGCCTCTGCCAGGAGCGATGCGCCTGGGCCCCTCAACGCATCTGGTCTGGCCCAGGTGTCGGGCAGGTCACTATCTACAGCGACATACGGGCCATGCAGGGGCTGAGCGGGCGGAATGGGCGGGATGGGCTCAGCGAGAGGATCCGAAACAACATGCTGTTCCGGCAAGCCTCGACATGTAGCCGGACAGTAGCAGCTCTTAAAATCGTTCTTCAGCCTCCGGAGTTGATCCTGTAGACGCCGTTGGCGAAGAAATAGAGACCAGTTTTCCAGACCGGGTTCATTCCACCCCGACTCAGAGGAGGACATGCCTCGAGAACGTAACCCTGCAACTCTATGAATATCCGGGCGATGCTAACAATTAGAGTTGTTAGTATAATTGCGGCTCTTCGCGATTCCGAAGTTTGTTGTCTGCCAAATGAGTTTGGAAGATCGCGGCAAAAAGGAAATGTGTGGCACTCCCTGTATGTACAATTCCACATATCAGGTCTAATTCAGGAAGCGCTTTGACAAATTAATAGGTATACATTATGCTTGAATGAAGCACAAGGGCGTAAACCTGTGGCTCTTTGTGTGCCCCGTTTCCGCTGCTTGCGGATTGAGGATGGACAAAGCAAAGACACACCGAACATGCCGGCCTACGGGAAAATGTAGAACGGAGCAATACAACATTTAAGACTTGTAAAAGATTCATTCGAAGCCCTTAACCCGTAATTGCAGGGTATATATCGCGTGGAGGTTGTGGATTCACGCGCCGCAGCTGAGCCAGACTTGGACGTTCTGGATTTGCACCCAGTCTACCCTAGGGTAGGATCAAATCAAGTGTAGACACTAAATAATATCCTTGTAAAATATTCATGAGCTCCCAGTAGGCTTGTGAGAAAGTGCTTGTTATGGAGTATTCTCTCCCACGTATTCTGGTCTTGGTTCCTTCATGTAGTCGTCTGGCAGCGAATCCGGGACTGGTTCCTACATGACCACCAGCGTCGTTAGTGACCTGCCACTTGAAGCTTCCAAACTCCGGGCTCAGAGGTATTCTTACCTGGTTCTCAACAGCCCATCTGCTTATGTCGTCAAAGTTCTTGCACTTATGCTTCGTGTTGAAGTCTGGGAAAGCCGAGGGACTTTCCTGATCATACCAAACCTGACCGAGGACTCCAGTGTCAGGATTACACATCAACGTCTGACGGATCGTGTCGAGACAATGTGCTGAAATTGAAAATTAGTCTGGGCATTGGAGACTTGGCCACAAGGAACTTACAGATGTGCTTCTCGACGATCATGTCTTCGTTAACGAAAGCACCAGTCCCCAGCCTCTTGTAATAGTCGTAGTTGTAATACAGGCCCTGGCGAACCAAGTTCTGTGAATCCGTTAGTCTTTGAGACGAGTTTCGCCCCGCTCTTGGAAATTGACAGATACGTACCAGACAGTGCAAGTGGTGCATGCCTTCAACGTTCACAAAGAAGCCACCGCCGTACTTATCCGCCCGTTGCACATGAGCATCAGTCAACCCGCTTTTCAGACCCTCCTCTTTGGAGATAACACCAGCGCGAGCTACAGGGAGCGTCAGGTCAGCCACCAGCGTGTAAGTGTTGGACAGAAGTGGCATATCATACAGTTGACCCCGAGTGCTTCCCAGGCGTCGTCAACTGCTGGGGAGGCCCTCTGCCTATAGATGGTCTCCGCCAGAAATGAGCCATTGTAGTTGACAAAGTCATATTTGATCCCTACTTCCTTGAGGACAGGAGCTTTCACGGAAAAATTAGATTCAACATTGACTTAGCAGAAGGTAACATATCCGTTTTCGAGACCAACTCACAGTATTGCGTCGTGTATGAGGCGCAAACAGCATCAAGGTCCCGCTTGCCATAGTAGAAGCCTAAGCAACCACTAGCGATGTTGAATGACAGGGCCAAGACAACGGCAACAGAAACAAACTTCCATGAGAATGCCGTGGGAGGGGCTCTGGACGAGTCATGGGGCGGCAACGAGTTTTCGAGGTCGATCTCAGAGCAGTCGCTGTATCTGGGATTTTTTAGGGGCTGCGACTCGTTTGGATAGTCCTCACCCATCACGGGCGTATATTCTCGACCCTTCCGGTCCATGATGACGGTGGTGGAACTGAAGAGTCGCGAGGGTCTCAGATCTGAGGAGAAGTTTCAATACACTGCTTGTGATATAATCTCGGGGAGAGTGATCCTGGCCGAAGCTGGATGAGGGCAGCCAGCTAGCCTCTCAGAGGCGCCTGAGGAGACAGAGATGCAACTTGTTGATGAAGGACAAGTATAACCCTTCCGAGTCGTGCCGTGGCTGGAGTCGGTCCTCAAAGTTCGAGAGGTGCAGTCAGATGCCTCAGTGCTCCAGGTTGTGAGGTCTTCTAGTCGATACGAGAAGAGAATCACCCCCAGGCAGAAGTGTCACCCCACCAGCCGCACGCCAAGCCTGAGGTCTCAGTCGTGATGGAACAAAGGGATGAGCAACAGCGATTGCATCATGTGTTACGGCTAGTGAGCTCCGACCAATGGAAAGCTCGATTTCCTGTAGAGGCCGGCAAGCTTCTGGAGCAAGCTCTTAGGCTCTTGATGGCACCTGGGCACGGCCTTTAGGCGGCGCTGAGCATCGTAAGATCGGCCTGATTTTTAGACCTTGACAATGCCTGTGTCCTTGCACCATGTTCCTAACAGATGCACTGACAATGATGCACACACATCTTGCTTGAACCGGCGATTGCAGATTTAGTAGGCTTCAAAGTCGCGATACGAGAACAATCACGCTTCCCAATCAACTATCGACCAATTTCGTGTTGTCAGTACAGCTAGATCCGAGATGGAGGGGACGGGGAAGACGGCTGCTAATTCAAAGAAACAAACTACAGCAGCTGGAAAGGCATGTGACCAGTTCAGCAATACGAGCTGTACTCAATAGACAGTATTCCAGCCAATTGCACAATCGGAGCAGAGCTTCGTGGTTGCAAGACTACCACTGGCGTTGAGCGATATTGGTGGCCGCATGCAAGGCTTCGGAAGTTCATCGCATCTTTCACGGGATGGGATGGATGTCCATGTCAGCTATGGCGCCACGACTCCCGGAAACGTGTTAGAGCTACCCGGGCGATGCTAAGAGGCGAGAGTTCCAATTGCTAATGGATTCCTCAGGGTTGAGCTCCAAAAGAACCTAGCCGTGAATAGTTGGCATCTGAGCGGAGAGGTGTAGCGCCATTTCTAGCTTTTGGAGACCGCAGGAAACGCCTCTACGACACAAAGACAATATAAGTGGACAGACAGACGACCCATTCAACAAGGTTCACCTTTAGGGTGTCTGCTGTGTGTGAGCTAGGCTCGGAGGGTGGAAAACGCTCGGCATTGACATGAGTTCCTGACAGTACCTCACCCATTGTCATGTTCAGCTCTGACCCTTTGCTAAGCTTGGTAAGACCGAGCAATACTGGCATGCCATACATCACCACCAGTTGGAATCTAGGCTAGATGAGGCGACGGGACTGTTCTATTGCTGTATCGAACACGACCTCACTACCATCCCAATGAGGATCATCGATTCTCCCCATGTGATATCGTATCCTGAGTGGACTCCGACCCCAAGTAGACAAAGAAAGCTTGGTAAACTTGTCATATGACGCGATGGCCGAGCGATAGATGTGATCCGAACCAAGCACTCCTCGTGTCAGCCCTCGATTGTTGAGCACCAAACAGTTGGGCGAGCTTTGACCGGCTAAAAGTGAGGGGGTTAATGGGATGTGTCCGTGGGATCTGAGACCTATATAAGATTTCACTCAAGCCCACTTCCACAGACCGAGCTCAAGAAGCCAGAAGAACCAACGAGTAGCTTTACACTTTGACACAAGCATCAGCCAACAGCCAGATATCTCGCCATGAAGCTTTCCAATCTTATCCTCACCATCCTGCCCCTGGCCCTCGCGGCCCCGATCGCGGAGCCCGAGGCCGCATCCGAGATCGAGGCTCGCCAAGGGTACAAGAACTACGGCACATACGGCGACAAGAATGGTGGCTACGGAAGCTAGTAAGTCTCTCCTCCTCTTCCACCCTCTGCTCTCCCAACATATCATGAGCTCCTCCTGAGACCTCACCTGCTGATACACATACCCACAGTGGAAGTTACGGAGGCCCTCCTCCCAAGCCTCCACCACCACCTCCCCCTCCACCACCGCCACCACCCGCACCAAAGCCTGCGCCTCCCCCACCGCCCCCACCGCCACCTCCTCCTCCTCCCAAGCCTGTCCCGCCGCCTCCTCCGCCACCGCCCCCACCAAAGCCCCCAGGATACGGCTCCTACGGCGACAAGAACGGAGGCTACGGCAAGTACGGCAGCTATGGCTCATACGACAAGAAGGGAGACTACGGAAAATATAGCAACTATGGCTCGTACAAGAAGGACCTGACCGATGTCCTTGCTGCCGCCGCACAGGTCCTGGAGTGATTCCGAACACACCATCCTGGACCTATCTAATGCTACCAGAGACAAAAAAAGAAAGAAAGCCCTTCACGGGCACACATTTGGCCATTGTACGAGATGAGAGCAGGAACTCCCGGTGTGGGGTGTATATGATTCAAAAAAGCCAAATGTTTCAAACATTAAGACATAATTTTAATTAGTTCGAGATGGCTGTCGTAGGCAACTAGATCCAGTTCCCAATAGCGGCCACTCCAATCACCAGAGCTCAGCAAGCAAGCAAAATAAATATAGTCACTCATTAAAGCAATCCCACTCTTCCCGAGGACGGACAAAGGTGTGATCATGACATATATGCCTAAATTTATAAGCATGTGTCAGATACGATACCAGCAAGCCACGGGCAGCCTAAGCGATGAATTTATCACTTTTGTCAACCAACAGTTCCATTACTTTCAATTTCTTCAGTACTATTTTAAAGATACTATTTCTTTACTCTAATTAATAATATGATTATCTAACCTATTTAGATATTTAACCTACTGCATGTATTACAACTATTTTTAAACATTAGTTAGATGTTTTACTTAGGGACAAAAATGCGCCTTCTTCAATGTTCTTTCATAGCAACCTTCGGTTGTGTCACGATTCCGAGCAGGGCATATCGAATAGAGCAAATTGACTGGTTATTCAACTATGAATAGTGAGCGTGGGAAGCCCATTCCTATAGACAATGGAGCGTTACAATGGGTGGACCTGATTAGTCACCCACAGCTCGATAGGTTGACCAATCATCTTGTCATAAAGAACACACAAACTTAGAGGCTACATTTGATGATCTTGGCAGAACAAGCCGCTCACGGTATTTTATTTGTGGTTCCCCATGTACATAATCGCCGTGACACTGCAAATACAGAAGAAAAACACCGTGGCTAATCACGCCGAGTAATGATTCAGGGAGCTTTTAACCTGACTACATACAGGTTAAAAGATGCCACGCAAATAATGCTAGAGGCCCGTGTGGAAAGTCCAACTAAACCACCGAGCCGCCTATTCATGTTGTTTATGGGGCAATTTATGACACCATACATCTCCCGAGCCATGCGATACATGTTTGCCTCACTTGGCATCTCCATCGGACTTCCGCGCGTAGTACCTTCTGGAAAAAATGTCCTCGTGAATGCTACTCCCCCCATGCACTCCATACTCATTTCAAACTTTACCTTATTGTCCCAGCCATCGAAGTTGAGTGGTTCCCCACCCTCAGGGCCTGTTCAACACTGCCAGTGGGAGGTCAGCAAGCAGATTCAGATCCAAAAAGAACAACCACGAAAAGAAAAACAGGCCAAGCAGGTTAAGTTGTGTACCTTTCCTATCCGCATAAGCGAGATCCCCATGTTCGATGCGCTCAGCCTCGATGTAAGCCTCAAGGATGCGGTCACCCTCCTCAAAATCATCAGGATCGTGCTTCAGTCCATGGGAATAGTGGAAGTTGGAATAAGAACCCCAATGGTCCTTGGCGAACCTATACTTGGTCGGGGCCTTATAGGTAGGCTGCGAAGCTGCGGTATCGGCCGGTGCACTCTTTCCAGCGGATGGGCCGGCACCTGCCCGAGTGTCGTTGGGTGCTGAGCCAGAGGCTTTCTGGTTGGACTGTGTGTCAGACATGTTGGGGTGTTTGCGGTGGATGGGGATGAGCTTTGGTTCTTGCACGAGTGGGGGTGAGTCGTAAGGAAGGAGGGAAGGATCGTTGTTTAGGAAGACTTGACCTTTGGACGGGATGATCGGATAACGAATAAGTATCCTGGAGAAGAGGGGTAGATAGATGCCTAGGTACATTACTCGCGACAATATTCACTTTCTTATAATGTTATTCCGAAGTTTATTCAATTATTTTACTTATCCCTATAGTTAGTATAACGTTATTAAGTTAGTAGAGTATTATATAATTTACTTATCATATAAGCTTATAATTCTATATAAGTTTAATTAATAATAGTAAAGTAAATAATTATATAAAATAATTATTAATATTACTTTTATTAAATAAATTATATTATATTTAAATTTATAATTAACTATTAGAAATAATTAAAAGTTATAAAACTATTAAATTAAAGTTTAAAAGATTAATTATATAATATTAAGTCATATTTAAATAATATATTAAAATAATTATTGATATTATTTACTTTTATATATTAAACTTTAAAATTCTTTTATTATATAAATTACTATATATTTTAAATTTATATTTAACTAAATTATTTAATATTATAATATTAATAAGTTAAGAAAATTATAATTATTTGATAACTTTTAAAATATATAAGTATTAATATATTATATAATAATATAAGTAATATTTAAAAAAGTAAATTATAAATATAATTAATATAAATTAATATCTATATATTTAATAAATTAATATATATCTTTAATATTTTCTTTCTATATACTTAATACTTATTTTTCTTAATAACTCCTTTATATTTATAAGTAGTTTCTAAATTAATATTAAAAACTTTATAAAATAATTTTCTTCTTTAAATTTTAATATTTAAATTATAAACCTCTTTTATAACCTTATTACCTTCACTTTTTAATAACTTTTTTAATATATTTTCTAACTTTTTAACACCTTTTTAAAAATATATATTTTTAAGTGTATTTAAATATTAACTTAATATTAAAAAAAACTAAAAAATAAAAAGGTAAAAATAAAAACTATACTTTATTTAACTTTTTAACACCCTTTTTAATTTTCTAACCTTTTAAACTTTTAACTTTTAATATTTAATTAATATTTAAATACTTAATTAATACTTAAATATACTTAAAGATATATAAGTTAAAGGGGGTGTTAAATAGTTAGAAGGCTTATTAAAAAAGTTATTTAAAAATAAAAGTAAAAAAATATTAAAATAAGTGTTAAAAGAGGTTTAAAAAGAGCTTATACTTTAAATACTAAAAATTTAAAGAATCTTAATTAAATATATAATTTTCTATAAACTCTATATAAAAATAAATACTAAATATATAGAAAGAAAATACTAGGTGTATAGACTAACTTACTGGGTGTATAGACGCTGGCTCGGCTGATGTGTGACGGATGTATGTGTGTACAAGGCACAATTCGCCGAGAAAGGGTGCACTGCAGTAACACATAGACTGGGGGTGGGACACAGTCTACCTCCTGCCTGCGCAACTTGAAAAGTCCACTGCATATCATCATAAATGTATGCGGCACAATAGCGTCACCAAGAACTATCACTTACCCCTTGCCTAGGCTGAAGTGACGCCGCCACAGCAACTTAGTCATGAGCCCGACGGATCGTCAACGTCGACTCATTCAAACAATCCCCACTATAGATAGATAACCAACTGACCCCTCATCTCGGGCCCAGAATCCCCTCTCGCCACAGCCCATCCCGCCCAGCGCCTACCCACCTGCCCTCCCTGCTGCAACAATCACATCCCGCCCGTGCATTCATGCACGAGACCCCCCGCACCATCCATGGCCGCCGACCCGATAGAGTGGTACCCGGCCCGCATCCTGCAGGAGGCCCGGGCCGAAGAAGGAGGGGAGGAGCAGCCTGGCAGTAGTCCTCCCAACCCGTTCGCCCTCATCATCCTCAACCAGCCGCTGCGGGACGTGGCCACGCTCAAGAAGCTATGGAGGAACTGTGAGTAATTTTCAGAACCCCCACCCTGCGCCCTGCTGACACCACCACCACCAGCATCCCTGCGCGTCGCGGCAGACGGCGGCGCAAACCGCCTCCTGGACGTGGTCGAGAGTGAGCAAGGTGACGGCGGGCTCTTCGTAAGAATACCAACCAACCCCTGCAAGAATCCACACCTGAGGTCTCCTAACAAAAGAAAAAAAAATACAGGACAATCTAGACGCCATAATAGGCGACCTGGACTCGCTCACGCCCCAGGCGAGGCAGCACTTCACCACCACCACCACCACCGCCCACCCGGCAAAGGTGATCCACGACCCGGAGCAGGACTCGACGGACTTTGGCAAGGCGGTCAGGTGGGTCCGGGCGTCCACCAACACCGCCGACACCACAGCCCCGCCGGTGGACATCGTGGCCCTGGGCGGGCTGGGCGGCCGCGTCGACCAGGGCCTGAGCCAGCTGCACCACCTGTACCTGTTCCAGGGGTCGCCGTGCTACGCCGAGGGGAGGCTGTTCCTCGTCAGCGGGGAGTCGGTGACGTTCCTGCTGAAGGGCGGCAGCAGGACACACCGCATCCACGTGCGGGAGAAGGGGCAGGAGGAGGGGGATGTGGGTGTGTTTGACAAGTACGCCGGCGTCGTGCCCGTCGGGGGGCCGAGCGTCATCACGCTCAGGGGGTTCGAGTGGGACGTCGAGGGGTGGGCGACCGAGTTTGGGGGCCGGATGAGCACGAGCAACCACGTGCTGCCCGGCAGCGAGGTGGTCGAGGTCGAGACCACGCGGGATGTGCTGTTTACGATTGCGCTGAGGAGGTGATGCGGCCGTCCTGTGGTGAAAGGGCTGGCCTGTTAGCCATGGGGCCGAGGTGGTCTACGGTTCAGATGCTCTCGGAGGGAGGGCGGAGACAGTGTCCCAGAGAGTTAAAGGGTCCTTTCATTCCCCCATAGATAACGACGACGCCAAACAGCTCTTCACGCCCGCCCAAAACGCCATGCTGATGCAGGTCTCAAAACAAGATACGACCAAGATAAACCCCCCCCCCTCCACCCAGACCTCACCGCAGGAAGTGCAGGCACAGCCAGCAGAACAAGAAGAAGACCACCACGCCGGCCCAGAAGATCCACCTGTCCTCCCGCGCGCGCCGCTCAATCATCCGGATCGTGTCCCCGGACACGCCCAGCGTGTTGGCGACCGAGTACAGCCGCCGCTGCGTGCCCTTGAGCATCTCGCGCTGCGCCCCGAGGTCCCCCAGCACCGCCTGGCCGCGCGCGATGTACTCGTCCAGCGCCGAGTTGGTGCTGGCGAAGAAGTCCTGCTCCCGCAGCGCGTGGTCCTCACGGGTGACATCGTTGCTGCCCAGCCCGTATCCCCCACCCCCGCCGCCGGTGCTCGTGTTGCGCGCGTGACCTCCCCCTCCCCCTCCCCCGTACCCCCCGTACGAGCTGGACGTCCCGCCGCCGCCGGAGGAGGCGTACGGGTTCTCGGGCGTGGCGGCGTAGGGCCGGCGGCCCAGCAGCTCGCCGCGGTCGCGGGCGTGCAGGCCCTCGTCGCGCGCGGCCTTGAGGGCCTCGAACTCGCGGCGGTAGGCCGCCAGCTCGGCGCGGAAGTTGCGCACGCGCTCGGACGCCTTCTCCTGTTTCGCCGGGTTGAGCTCCTGCCGCGCGAGGGAGTTGTACTCGTCGATGGTGCGCTGGAAGGCGGTCAGCGAGGCGCTGAGGGAGCCCAGGGCCGCGGGGCTTATGGCTGTGGCTGCTGCGGCGGATGTTGTCTGTGGCGGGGCGCCATCTGTTGTTGTCGCTGTTGGGGTCGAGGACTGGAGGCTGGCTAGGTCTTTGCGGATCGAGGTGCTCTGCTTGAGAGCGCCGTTGAAGATTGTGTTCTGTTGCTGTTGTCAGCTGCGGGGAGGCTGTGGGCTGGGGCCGACGGGGGAGAGGAGCTCGCTCACCATGTTGGCGCTGGTTGTGCTATGCTGTCATGTCATTGGGAAAGGAACGTGGGTGGAGGATGACCTGGTGCTGGATGGGATTTATGCTTGCTGCTTGCTGCCTGCGTTGCCACTAGGCCAAGTTGGCGACGGACGATCTGGCATTTCAAACTGCCAGCGTAGCTGCCGCCCTAAAGCTTGACCGCCTGCCTAGAGCGTCAGCCGACCTCGGCAGGTCTTGCTGGGATTCCCACGTGGCAGGGGTACCCCAGGAGACAATGTACCTAGGTACTTGCGCATTCTTGCAGCCCGCACCAACGACGACGTTTGACAGTCTTGTCTTGATTATTAGTACTTCACTTGTTTCCCGTCATCACACTTGCCCGTTGATTCTTCAATCATCTAGATCCCTTTTAGTCCAACATGAAAACGGTCTCCGGATTGACTCATTGGGCAAAGGTGTGGTGGGACGGTGTTTGAGCCTGCGTGGCTCTGTCTTGGGCAAGTATCTGCATTTGGAATTGTAGTGAGGCAGACATGAGTATTGCCCGCATTTGTCCAATGTCGCTACAGTACGATGTGTCTACATAGGGTAGACCATAACCGCCGACGGCGCAAGACGTGGGCGGGCCAAAACAAAGCACGCCTCTGCACGACTCGGGCAGCAAAGCCAGCCCTGCTGCACCATCGTGCAAGTAAATCAAATCAATACTAGCAAGAGTGGCATTCCACCAGCGAGAAAGGCCCTCCCACAATTCTCCGACCAACAACTTGGGGTCCTTTTAAAAAGAAAATGCAAAAGTGAAGTCTCCCCTCTCGGATTTGAACCGAGGACCTATAGATAATCTTGCACACTATTACAGTCTACCGCTCTGCCAGCTGAGCTAAGGAGAGGACATGAAGTACGTAAGCAAAGGTTGTTGCTATAACCCGGCGTCATGCACAACCATTGCCAAAACGGCCTTGCAGCAGTGAATAGCAAGCAGTTCATGTGCAGTGTTAGTTAGTTACACCTGTCATGGACTTGACGGTCCGTCATTGATGGTTTGTACACAATGCATTGCGTCGACATCAACAATGTGCATTTCCGACTGGTTGAAGTGGATTCATTGTACCATCCCGTTCCCTATTATTGCATGTGTCCACCTCAAGCCGCCCGAACAAAAAGATCTTTTAATGTTTGTCAATCTAAGGGGTTTTCAGTCACAGTACCCGCTCTAGGACAAACTGACAATCGCCAACATCATTATGGGCCGCCAAACAGGAATCACCATGTATTTAAATACAGAGACAGCCCATCTTGCAAATCAGACCTCCCAGCTTCATTTGCCCATCACACAACTAAGCAATCGAAGCCATCACAGCCTGATCTCTTCGAGCACCAACATCGTGACCCCTTCAAAAAATAATAAAAACCCCCAGCACCAGTAATCATGGCCAACCCAAAGCCCAACCAGGGAGCCGCCCAGCCGCCCCGTAAGCGGGAACTCCGATCCTTCGAGAACGTGAGGGCCCTGGCAGAAGCACTGACCAAAGCCCTGACAATGACAGCTGATGAGCCCCCCAACCCACAGACAACAACAACCCACACACCCACCCCGGGCCTCAAGCAGCTGCTACCCCCGGCCACCATCGAGCCCAGCCCCGAGCAGCCCGGCAAGTTCTTCTTCTACGGCTCGCTGATGGACCCGGACGTCCTCTACGCCATCACAAGATCCTCGGCCGAGCCCGTGCTGCACAAGGCCACCATCCGCGGCCACAAGATGAAGAAGTGGGGCTCGTACCCGGCGCTGATCCCCGGCGGCGCGGGGGATGTGGTCGACGGGGTGTACTGGGAGGCCGAGGACGCCGGGCAGTCTGCGCTGCTGCAGCATTACGAGACGAACATGTACCGGCCTGTTGCTTGTACGATCCGCGTTGAGAAGGGGGACGGGGGTGTTGTCGTTGAGGACGGGCTTGTTTTTGTGTGGGCCGGCAACGCGGGGAGCGAGGAGCTTGAGGAGGGGGGGTTCTCGCTTGAGGAGTATCGGTTGCACCACAAGCCGTATATGTTTGTGCCCAAGCCCTGGGAATTATAGAGTTACGAGATGCTGGACTCCTATTAATACTTGCTTCCTGCCATGTAGATGTAGCGGCGTTTGGTAGTAGCGGAGTTTGGTACCTAGACTCTGATTCACCAAATTGTCAATAATAATAATACTCCCAACCCTAAACCAAGCTCAATAGTGAGGACTACACTGTACGAAGGCGCCACATACGTTTTATTTGTATGAGGATTAGAAAACAAACCACTAGTGAGCTCTACAATTTCGAACGAGCTGCATCTGACGTGATATAAAAATAGATCAAGGTGTACACAATGGACCCCACTCCCGGCGGCTGCATGTGGCACGCCCTGAAAGCTTAACCGCCAAGGGACCTGTTGGTGCAGGGGTTGACTGTATCTCCCAATTACAAAAGCTTTAAAGGCCAACTGGGTTCTGCGGAAATTCAAACTACTTTATGATGAGAGAGGTTGCGGAGCGTTTAAGCTTTGAGACCCCCCTTCTCGTGCATTTTGGGTTCGTCTCAAAGCTGCAAGCTCGAGAACCAGTGCTCCGACTGAACCTTCAATCGCCAGATGTGAGCCCACGTTCTACGAATCGAATATTTTGAAACTTCCTTCATTAGTTACCAGGTGTCTTTATTCTACAGCCCTACTTGGTTCATCACCGATTAAGCTATAGATCGATAGACAGGCTTGACACAGCCCAGCCACGGCTGGAGTTGGTCCCCGAACGACGATCCAAAGAACCCCGGGCCGGTTCACCCCCGGGGACATGTCGCCAAACACCTCGCAGCGCAGCCAGCGCTACTCACACCGAGCTCTCGTAGCACTGGCAATCACTATCACATGGAGCACCGTCTGGTTCTGGAGAAGCGACATTACCTCCAACGTGTACAACAGTGCTCCAGACCACCCAGCGCCGCCGGTGCTCACAAGCCCGGACCATCCGGACACGCCGCAGAACGAAGGCGGCGAACAAGACCCGCCAGCCGAGCCAACAACAGCGACGGGCACGGAGCAGCCGCCGTCGCCACCGCCGCCGTCGCCGGCAAGCGCTGATTTCCTCCCGCCTGAATACCTCACCCTCCCGGAGGACCAGCAGCAATGCGAGGACATATTCGGCAACTCGTACATCCGCAACATCGCGGGCACCGTACAGGAGAGCTGCGCCGCCGGGTCCCCGTCAGAACTCCACTGCTTCTTCGGGCAGAGGCTGCGGAACAGGTGGGTGCCGTGGGAGAGGGACCCGCTCTGCCTCGCGCAGGGCGTCAGGTTCGCCCCCAGCAGTGGGGCGTCGGCGTTCTCGCCGGGCTACAGCGGCGCCGAGTTCGAGATGCAGTGCGAGGCGCAGAACTTTGACCGGGACCTGATGGGTGACTACTGGGGCGGCACTGGGGTGGGGAACACTTTCAAGACGTGGAAGTTCATGAGTGAGCAACAGGATGGTAGTAGTACTGGTATGAGTGGGTGCAGCAAGGAAAACAGCACAGACGACTGGATCGTCCTCGTGCGCCGCGAGATCAGCGACCAGCACAACATCTGGCACCAGCTGATGCAAATCTCCCAAGCCCGGCACACAATCGACGCGCTGCGGACCGCCATAAACCCCGACACCGGCCGGCCGTGGCTGTCCGCCGCGGACGCCGCCCGCGTGCAGGTCGTCCTCGACGACGACCGCCACCACGCCCTCGAGGACCTGTGGCGCATCGCGGGGGGAGGCGGCGCCCCCATCCGGGCGAGCGACCTGGCCCCGGGGACGTGCTACGGCAACGTGATCGTCCCGATGCCCGGGTCCAGCAGCCCCTTCTGGTCCGCGCTCATCGGGGACCTGAGGCAGGACTGCCGCGGGCGGCAGACGCTGCTCGACACGTTCGTGGCGCGCGTCCTGGCCCACTACGGCGTCGAGCCGCGGGCCCCCAGCGAGATTCACGAGTATCCCACCATCACCATCGTCGACCGCGCCGAGAACCGGAAATTCATCAACCTGGACGCCAGGGTGGACGCCCTGCGGGTGCGCCACCCGTCCTCGCGCATCAGCGTCGTCGACTTCGCGGCCCTCACCTTCGCGGAGCAGCTCCGCCTGGTCCAGGACACGGACGTGCTCGTCGGCCACCACGGCGCGGCGATGACGCACACGCTCTTCATGGCGCCGGGTGCCGCGGCCGTCGAGGTCCTGCCGCCGTATTTCCTGCAGCGGGGGTTCCGCGCGCTGGGGCGCATGCGCGGGCTGGCGTACTTCACGGGGCGGGGGATGTGGGAGGAGGAGTACAGGAACGTCACGCGCGGGGAGCCGCTGCCTGAGGGGTGGAGCCCGCCGCGGGAGCACGAGGGGTGGAAGGAGAGGGAGTGGGCTTATATGCTTGATGAGGACTTTTTGGGTTTGGTTGATGCGGCGGTGAGGAGCCAGTTGAATAGGCTTAATGATGATGAGAGGGCTGTGTAGACATCAAATTGAAATAGATGGGAGAGAATGAGCGATTGTTATAAAAACTGTTTGCTTTTTTTAAGTGCTGGATCTTAAGCGTTTACCACCGCATGAAGGCGCCATGTATATCCTAGGACGTATGCGGAATAGAAACGAAACCAGTTAAGAAGTACATAGACTCCAACTAGTTGAAAAGCCACTTTCTGGAAGTCTGCCCACTGTAGACGTACAGATATTCCGACGTAAATGGTCCAACAAGAAGGTTTACTGGTGTCGCTATATTTCAGTACCTATACACTTATTTACATTCTAAAGTGCTAAAAGTACACTAATAATATATAAATGTTGTACACCACTAAACTCCCTATATAACTATTATTAGGATAATATATTATATTTACTTTATAAATATAAATCTAATATAGTTAGGAGAAATATTAAATAAAAAAAAGTATTTCTAATACTCTAAAACTTTTTTCTATATTAGATTTAAAGTTCTAATTATAAAGTAATTAGTACTTAAAATATATAATTTAAGTATTTTCTTCTATTCTATATTAAATATATAATATTTATAAACTTTCTATATACTAAAATACTCCTTTTAATTAAGACTATTAAATAATATTATTTTTATTAAATTATAACTATTAGTTATTAAGTAATCTATATTTTTAATAATATTTTAAATTTATAATAGGTATATTTAATACTTTAATTAAAAGTATTTTATTTATATATAGGTTTTATATTATTTATACTACTTTTTTAAAATATTTAGATAATGGTAGATATTTTAAGTAGAACTTTTAACTTAAATTTCTCTATAACTAAACCTTTTAAAATAATATAGAAAGAAGTTTTAGAGTACTAGAAATACTCTTTTCCTTTTAATACTATTTATTAGTTTATAAGACTTAAATTCGTTAAGTTGACTATTTATATATATAACTTTAGGTGTATATAATATTTATGTGCTATTAGTGTACTTTTAGTACCTTGGAATGCAAACGAGTGTATATCCGAACCATGCACGGCGTCTTCATGCATTGAGGTTACACAAGCCCGCATGTGCGGCTGAAATCTGACGTGTCCAGCCCAACCCCTCTTCAAGGACCACAGGCTCGCTTTTTCTCCATCCTGACTGCGCGAAAGCTCTGGAACACTTTGGATACAAGTTGTCCGTCTACTTCCCCAGGGCTGTTTTGGCCTCTGACTTTTGGATACGCCTATAGCTGCACCCCTGCTCTTGGATATGGATCCGGTTTCTGCTGTCGGCCTGGCATCGGCCATCCTGACGTTCGTTGAGTTCGCGGGGACCTTGGTCGCCGGTTCGGTCAACATCTATCGCTCAGCCGATGGGGCCCTCGATGAAAACAGGCAGCTCGACACGGCCATCGACGAACTCGATTCTCTGTCTGCTGTGCTTAACGGCCAGCTCGTTGGCAGGACCCCAGCGGAAAGGAGCATCGCCCGGATCGCCAAAAACTGCCACGAGGATTCCAAGAAGCTCGAAGATATCATCAAGCACATCGCCAACCCTAGAAACAAGGGACACGTGTGGAAAAGTGTCAAGGCGAGTTGGATGAGTATGAGGAGTCGGAAGGATGTAGCCGAGTTGAAGAACCGGTTGCAGGGGTATCGTTCAGAGGTCCTTCTCCAGGTCACATATCTCCTCCGGTACGCCTATACATTGTCTCTACTTGGTCGCTGTGCTAACCACAATTGCACAGAGAGGAGCAATCCAGCCTGAGTCTTGGGATCGCCAGGATCCGAGACGACTGTTCCCAGCTGAAGATTGGATTCAGAACCGACATTACTAGTACGCGAAGTGAGATTTTGGATGCCATCAGCGCTCTGAACAAACCAGACCATGGGGTAGACTTGAGTGGAACATCACTGGCAGATGTTTCGAAGATGCTGCTGGCAATACAGACCGAGGTTGAGGAGACCCGCCTCCATCACCGAATTCTTCGTCAACTTGTCTTCAAGGACATGAACTCGCGAGCCAATCAGATACACCAGGCTGCACATGATACATACAATTGGATGCTTGAAGACGGGCCTGCCGAGAAGTACGATGAACGCGCACATGCATGGCACACATTTGTCGATTGGCTGAGAACTGGAGACAATATCCTCTTCGTATCGGGAAACCCCGGATCAGGAAAGTCGACATTGATGAAATTCCTCGTGCAACATGAGCGAACGAAAGAAGAGTTGGCAGTCTGGGCGGGGACGAATAAGCTGATCCTTTGCGTGCACTACTTCTGGAACTCAGGTTCCGCAGTGCAACGGTCCCTTCCGAGTCTCTATCGCTCGCTCCTCTTCCAGTCACTCAGCCAGGAGCCCCAACTCATTGAGGAAGTGTTCCCCCTGCAGGTTAGGAAAATGAGGGCTTTTGACGGAGATGCAACAGTTGAAGCGATCCAAAATTTTGACGAAGACCAGATTGAAGAAGCTTTTCATTTACTTTTGGATCGGGCCTTCAACGTCGGATACCGGCTGTGCTTCTTTGTTGACGGTCTCGATGAATGCGAAGGCAGTCGCCTCGAGCATGAGAGATTGGCCGTAAAGTTGCAAAGTTGGGCAGTTTCGAGCACGATAAAGCTATGTGTCAGTTCTCGACCGTATTTGGAATTCATCGAGCCGCTGAAAAGATCAGAGAATCGAATGATCCAGCTGCATGACCTTAATGCGTCTGATATCAGAGCTTATTGTATGAAGCGATTTGAGGATGACAGTCACGCTCGGGAAAGGGCCGGGTTATGTGCAAGCTTCACTCACATGATCGTTCAACGATCGCAAGGAGTGTTTTTATGGGTTTATCTGGTCATCGATTTGCTGCTGATTGGATTTCGCCAGGCAGATCCTGACTATGTTCTCCAATCCCAACTCCAAGCGTTGCCAGCGGACCTAGACCTACTGTATACCAAGCTGAGAGAGCCGATCGAGGCCGACTGTATACAGAGAGAAAGATCGAATCGAATCCTTCTGCTTGCAGCACACAACCCCATGTCATGGAACTTGCCGGCGATAGCATTCTCCTGGCTAGAGGAGCAGGGCCGTGACCAAAGAGGCTTAATGGATCCCGACTTTCCACCATCAAGTGAGATGAGGCCATATTCCGACAAAGAGGAATCCAAGCGAATCGACACTGTCAAGAAGCAGATCAATGGGTTGGCCAGGGGACTTCTCGAAGTTAGTGAAGGCCAAAGCTGCTGGTGGGGACCTCCAAGAATGGAAGATCTCCCGATATTTGAAGTTCAATTCTGTCACCGAACGGCACGGGACTACCTACTTCAAAACGAAGACCGGAATTCTGACCTGCTGAATTCATTCCCAAACTTTCAGCAGTCGGACGTGTACACCAGGATCCGTCTCGCAGAAGTTATCTTTTGCAAGAAGTCGAGGCATGTGGGCGCATATCACGTTTTCCACGGCTTCGATCGCTCGTTCCGCAAAAACGTCGACCCAGATCTGGTCAGCAGGTTCGCGTTACCCCTCAGAAGCTGGCTGCCTCCTTTCTTTACCTTTATTTGTTCAAGCGCCAAGCCTATTGGCGAGCCAGTGGTTCGCCGACCGGAAGCGGCCTCGTTTATTGAATATGCAGCTGCCTGCGGTCTAAACCGTTTTGTGCTGCGTGAAGTTGGCGCGGATGCAGCAAAGCTGGATGGGACCTCTTCATGCGGCAATGTGCTGTTGGCGGCGGTGAAGTATAACCAATATGAACTGGCTTCAGAGTTGTTGAGCTTGACCAGAGGAAAGAACCAGCTATGCGAGGTATGTGATGCTCAAGGCAGCGTACAATCGCTAGTACCTGTCTGCGTAATTGCTATCGCAGTCGCCTTGGAACGCATCCTTGGAAGGATAAACAGCAGAAATTGCTCCCGAGCTCAATATATCTCGCACGCAGATCTCGACTTGACCAGAGAACTTCTAAGACTCAGTGTCGACATGGCAATATCGTTGCGGGTCACTGTGGTTGGCCTTCGCAATCCAGATGACATGGGTACCTTTAATCATTCAAAAGAGCTACGAGTTCAGTTGGTTGGAGCAGATCTCATAAAGCTTCTGGATAGCTTGAAGGATCTTGGACGGTTATTGAGGAATCCCGATCAGGACGACCCTCAGTCATTGTGGCCCCTTCTACACTGCAATATACTCAGCAGCATAAGTATTGGCAGACTCGGTCGAGTCTTACACAGTGAAGCAGGTGCAACAGACACCCTCCTAGTGTGGCCAGAAGAATCTCATGACTTTTTCCGCGGTGGGACATCAAGTGAACATGTTTTTGTGAGCAGGATAGAGTGGGCAATGCAAAGCCAGGAGTTTGTGGAACTCAAAGGATGGGTGAGGATTTATTGAAGTTTCTGAGAGGAAACCTACTCGGGATGGGCTGGAAGTGGGGTTATCAAACGAGGGCAGTGCGAGGTATTCCGCGAGGAAATACGGTGAATTTAAGATATCATCTTAAATATGTTCATCTACTGCGGCCGTTGAGCGTCGACGGGTCTTTGGAAAAATCATATTTGCCATTTCAAAATCCCCATCTTGCACACGTACTTGAGATCCATTCAACAGAATAGTCCTGGCTCTCACTGATAAGCCAAAGTAAATGGCACAGTCTCAATAGTGATATAATCCTCCGCGACATCCGGGTCCCCAAAGATCCGCAATGTCTTCACCACCAACTGATACTGACCAGGCGCAACAACAGTCCCATCAGCCAACAGACCCGTAAAAGGCGCAACGTAGTAGTACCGCGGGAGGTACGTAACAGGGTACCCATACACGCTGCCCGCGATGGTGGTTCCCAGGACCTCAGTCGTGGTCCCGTTGTATGCGGAGCTGAGCGGGACGACATCAACACGAACGATGCGCGCGCCCAGGTCGAGCTGGTATGTCGCGGCTGGGTAGGCGGTGTTGAAGTCGGGGTTCTCCGCCTCGGCGAGGGTGGGGTACGGCACGGTGAAGGTGGTGTTGGGGCTGACAAAGTCCAGCGCGGGGTCGCTGTAGGTGGTGAGGTACGTCCACGTCGGGTCGAGGTTGGTCGCGTTGTACATGCTGCCCGCGACGCCCAGGTACGGGATGGTCAGGTTGTCGCCGTTGGTGCCGTTGATGGCGATGTAGCCGCTGTACACAGGCAGCAGGTCGGCCTCGAGCCCCGCGGGGATGGTGGCGGACACCGTGATGTTGGCCGAGGAGCCGGCGGGGATCTCGATGGTGCTTTCTGAGAAGGCGAGGGAGGCGGCTGCGTCTGTGAGCGGGTTGGGGAAGGCCGCTGGCCAGGACGCGGGCTCTGCCAGAGTGTATGCCGTCAGGGCTGGGACGTTGCTAAGAGTGTAGGTCACGCTGGAGGAGCCTGTGTTCTCGATTGCAAACGCGTAGCTGTCGACGAAGTGCTCCGTGTCGTTGAAGGAGATGCTGCCGACGCTGAGCAGGGTCGTGCTGAAAGCTGCGTCGTAGGCCTGGATCAAACCGGGCCCCTGTTGGGCCACCGGTGCGAGTGCGCCATAGGTAGCTGTCCCGTCGTTCCACGAGGCGGCCTTGGCAGTGTTGGTTATAACATTCCCAAGGATCGTCGGGTCGAAGGTGCCGCGCACCTGACCGACGAGGGCGTAGATGGCGGCGACCTGGGGCGCAGCCATGGAAGTCCCCGAGAGAACAGCATATCCGCCAAGGGCAAGAGGGTATGTGGAGAGGACATTGCCGCCGACGCCAGCCACGTCAGGGTAGACATCAAGTTCGTAGGTTGGACCCCAGCTTGTGTAGGCGCTGGCATAGCCTCCCGTGAGTTTGTTCTGGACTGAAGTGTAGATGATGCCTGCAAAGTGGGGATCGATGATAGTTAAGACGACGTCCAAGCCAGCATTGAGTTCCGCAACAAACTCAGCTCCTTGCTCCGCAGAGACCATGCCAGCTCCAAGGATGCCGATGGCCCCGGTCATGTCTCCTGAAATGACTCTGTTTGAGGAACTGTTAGCTCGAGTTGTTCCCGGTCAAATGCTAGATATGTGGTGGTCACTTACACGTCTGAGTTGGCGTAGAAGAGGACATATTGTGCTCCAAAAGCAGCAACATTGTTCGCCTTGGATGCGAACGTGCAGGTGCCGCGGCGGATCAGCACAATGTAGCCGGACAGGTCAGGCGTATCGGCAGGCAGAGGCGAGCAAGCATCGTCGACGACCGTTGTGGTGTTGCTGACAGCCCACAGAGGCAGGGTCACATTGGGGAATGGAATCGAGCTAGCAACCCATCCGAAAGTATCGGAAGTGTTAGCCTCACTCGTGGTGTACGTGCCCTCACTCAGAAGCTGAGGAGATTGCGAGTTGTCAAAGGAGGCAACCGAGGTGACGCCTTTTCCGTCTGCCGCAGAACTTGCAAAGAATTGGCCATACTGGCCTGAGTTTCCAGCAGACAGTGTGCACGGCACGCCGGCGGCGACGATGCGCTCGGTGGCTACGGACCAAGGCTCCTCGCTCCAGCCCGAGGAGCCTCCGATCGAGGCGGTGATAATGTCGCTGCCAGCTTCATAGGCAAGATTGAATGCAGCGATCAGGACGTCGTCTGCACTGTCGCCGTCACACCCGAAGACTCTGAATGCTCCCAGAGTCACGCCGGGGGCCGAGCCAGTGAAGTTGTACTCATTTGGCTGAGCCGCAACGATACCTGTCACAATGGGGTGAGTGAGTTGCTTAAAAGGCATCATACCATGCAGTCGTGAGTAGGCTTACCAGCAACATGAGTGCCGTGTCCACCGCAGTCCATTGGATCATCATCAGGCACTGGCGTGTTGTAGCCAGTGTAGTCGTCGCCAACAAGATCTGTACCGTAAGACACTAGGTATCCTTCACCAAACCCGCCGCCAAGAGCAGGGTGTAGGTAGTCAATGCCAGAGTCGATGACGCCGATCTTGACACCTTCACCAGTGTATCCGGCGGCACGGAGCTGGTCGACCTGGGTCTGAACATGGGTTGAGAAAGTGTCCACCTCGGTGCCGTTGTCTTGGCGCTTCCGAAGAGCATTGGCGGCTTGCTCGGGCGTGATGCTGGTGCCAGTGATAATCGTCTTCTCGACGGGCACGTTGACGCGGCGCACAGGCCATATCGTCTTCACCGTCGCGAGGGAAACGATTTCCTTGACCGTCTCTTCTTCATCAACAAGATCCTCGAGCTTGAACGAGGCGCCCTTGAAGAGGCTGTAGCTCAAGTCCAGGCGCTCGGAGAACTTGATGTTCTTAGCACTGAGAGAATTATAGAAAGAGCGAACATCCTAATAGATCAAATCAGATACATGAGCTTGATGGGTGCAAGCGGTGTTTATCTCTTACTGGAGATCCTTCAAACTCGACCATGTAGGCACCAGGAATAGTGGCATTATTCTTGGGAGCCCGTACGCTGGCCGCAGACACGGTCGAGATAAGAGCTCCACCCAAGAAGGGGAGTATGGAAAAGAGTGGAAGCATGGTTGAACCGTGCGTGTCACAGGGACAAAAAGAGTTGAAGAAGAAGACGAGTACAGGAGACGTGCCTCTCTGGCAACCTGACAAGAGCTGGGGAAGACATTCTTGCCGTATCCCGACCACTGCTTCTTATATACACAACCAAGCAAAGCGCATGCACTCCTTAACTTCGCAGAGCTATCGATCTCGCTTCACCTCGTCTCCGGCATGTGGAGGCTGGGAGGTGAACATGCACCGCTCACCCGACCACGCCGCAGAGGGGCAACATCGGATGCACGATAGGCGGTCTTGGCTGCTTAATCTGGGTAAGACAGGTCCATGCAAGGTGCCATCTGGGAGGGCCAAAGCCGCAGATAGTGACTGCGAGCCTGGTGTAGGTCGCATTAGTATAGGCGCACTGGCGCAGTACAACACTCGTACGCGTCGTGGCACACTCCGCGTGCTGATATGAGTTTATGAGGTGCTGGCGACGAGGTCGTACAGCGAGTGGATAGCCCGTATCCCTGCTGCCAATCTCGTGAGCGCGGCCCCTGACAGCCAACAGGTAGGGTTGCATTGCTAGGATCGGGCGAGAGCCTGGGGGTTGCCGGGGTTCTCACGTGGAGAACCTTCACGACCTTCCGGTTCTGGTCGGGCACGGTGATGAGCAATGGGTCTGCCAAGGCAAGACGTGATAAGATAATCTACCGCTGCGCCTATTGCATGCAGAAGGATGACGGTTCGGACGAATCACACCTGAGCCAGCAGTGTGGGTATGAAACAAACCGATATGTCACCTTTTGGCCACTCTTCAAGTCAAGCCACAACCCGCAGGCACCCAGGCTCCCTAGACGCTATCAAATGACACATGCTCTGCAGGTTGTACGACAAGGCAGCCGCCAATACGCGGGTATCGGCTCATGCACAAGCAGAATTTGGTCTTCATTGATGAGTCTGCAAGTGGCCGCACGACGAAACTGGCTGCTAAGTCTCGCGCTTTATACTTAATGTTGATGTCAGTTTACGTCGCTTTTATAGAGTTGTTTACTCCGCAGTCGTGCTGGGATGATGTTGAAAGTGGGCAGGCTATCCTTGCAAGCGGTGATAGGCAGCGCCCTTCCCGCCGGCAACTGTTGAGCTAATCTGGTTTGGCTGCTTGCAGTGGATGTGAAGTGGGTACCCGTTGAGATCCTCCGGGGATGGGGTGGTTGCAGCTAATCCGAGTGGTGGCGACAAGGACACTGGTGTCGTGAATGCCAAAAATTCAGAGATGTAAAGGGCTTTCGTTCTTCATCCATATCTAACTGGTTTCTCTTCTATTCCGCATACGTCCGAAGGCATATATGGCGCCTTCATATAATGGTAAACGCTCAAAGGCCCATCATCCGAAAGAAATCACCGCAAGAAATAGAATGCATGCATATTATCCGTGTCTCTGGAGATCTCAGCAGGCACTTCGCCTATTCGGACGAGAACTTGAATTGAGGGCTGGCCGCATATTGCCGGCCAGCTGCTTTGCAGCCTTGGTGTGAATGGATGAATGCCACAGGGTGAGCTCAAATGAGCCTTGGCGAGGGTAGCTAAAACACAAAAACACCACCTTTTTTCTTGCTCACGAAGTCTAGCGGCAAATGAACCAGCAAGGCGCTGATCGAAAGACCAACCGAGATGCTGATGGCCACTTGGATGACCTGGGTAGTGACGTTCATCGCGATGCCCGTCGAGGCCGTCAGATCCTCAACGGCCGATTCGCCCACTTCCTCTGATGTGATCCAGTCCGCGCTTTTGATGCCTGCGAGAAGGCTGCCGCCGATGGCCACTGAGGTAAGTTAGCTTGATTGTGCCCTAAGACTCGATTTCGTATTGGCTATCACATGGCGAGATAATACTCGATCAAATGACCGCCGTTAGGATAACTACTTCACTTACGCCCACTGGGAACCTGCACACTGAATAACTGTTAGATCTGCTGTTCATCACTCTCTTGAAAAGTCTGGGGTTCTGCATGTAGTACAGAAAAATCCCGCAGACGCAAGACGGGCTGCCAGACAATTCCAGTGGAAATGATGGTTTGACTCACAATATCGCAGGTAGCATTACAGCCCCCACAACGCCATATCCAGTCCTTGCCTGGCTCTGTTGTGGGAATTCCGCATGACCTGGATTCCCTCCGCCCTCGACATCGCCTGCCCTGGAGCATCGCTTTCGTACACGACGAACCCACAACTTGATGTAGTGATCCCAGGCGTATAGCGCAAGGGATGGGTCAACGCCAAAGCGGGAATAGAGGTTTGCAATAAGACCTAGGAAAAATACGCATTCACACTGTTTAGCTAATGCTGTCATGGATGACCTTGCTGACAGTCACGATGTTCATTAAGGATGCGTGACTAAAAGGGACTCACCGATGGCCACGGCTCCAAGTGTGTTAGACACCGTTGACGCGCCTTTGAAGAAATTTCCAGCGTGCCAGTTGACGGCATAACCAGAGATGGAGATCAAGAGCATGGCAGGCATCTGCTTCCATTGTGCCTGGTTGATTATGGCAACACAGATGGTGAACAGGGAGACGAATAGTAGGTTCCATTCTTTTTGCAAGGGGGCAGGGCATGTGATTTCGCTTGTCGCATTCTTATCCATGGCGCCGTAACTAGCTCCACGTCCCGTCAGCAATGAGTTTGAAGCGGCATAAAGATATACATGGATCAAGCAATATAAGCCTATAGCGATACGAAGGACTCACAGGACGGCTCCGATCGTGATGCCATAGCCGAGGAAGAGCGTGTAAATGATAGCGTACATCATCCGTGTGGCGCCGGCAATGAGGTGGCGCGTCTGAAGCTCGAGACTCGCGCAAAGGAACATGTCTAGGTCGTCCATCAGCAATGCAGATGGTTTATCGTCACACAATTTACCTACACCCGGGGAGAATCAAAGCAATACCAGCCTGTGCCAGGGCCGAGAAGCAGAAGGTCTGCCCTCCCTGTATCGAGCCAAATGCCCTGGCCAAGAATGATATGACGATGGAAGCGACGATCTCGAAGACGTTGGAGAAGAGTCGATTCCGGGCAAAGTAGAGACGCATCAAGCCGAGCAGACATCCGAGGATGAAGGCCACGGGGAGATCGACCCAGCGGCCCAGGAAACCGAATGGGGCGACACAGGCGCACGCACAGCCGTCTGTGAGTTCACGTAGTCAACACCAAGCTCGAGCTCCCATTCGTGGGGCCGGGCTTACACATGAAGACGCAAATAGAGTCGCCATAACGGGCTTCCTGGCTCATGAGCTCTTGTAGGCGGCCGGTTCCTTCCTCAAATGGGATGGTGCCGTGCAGGACGTCCACGTATATGTCGTGCGCACAGCTCATCCGCCCAAGGTCCGTTCCTTGGGGGACTGTGACCATCGTCATTTTGGTGGTTTGAGTACCCTTGTCCTGCAATAACCGAGAACGAAGTAAGCGGCTTATCGCCTAGCGCCGGTGGATGTCTTGATGCAACGGGATACTTACGAGAAAGGATATGAGCATGCAATCTGGTGCGTACAGGAACTGTGCATTGATTCCTATGGCCTCCGCCGAGGTTGACATATATCTGTAAAAGTAAAGAATCAGTTCATACGCCGACACGCCGTCCAAGAGAGAAAGGACTACCTCCTGCTTGATACACAAGAAGCTCAAACCAGGACAATAGATCTCATGCACTACCCAGAAAGGTGATCATACAATGTCGAAGGAGACGCCACTTACTCTTCCAAGCGATGCGTGGGTGCACCATAGAGCATCAAAGCGCGACAGAGCCTGATCAGATAAATATGTCGGCTAATGTGGCTCCTGATAATCTCCGTAAGGTGCGTCTTTGTCTGTTCTTTTTCATTTGCCCACTGGTCATTGAGATCCTTCGACTTGCTCCCTGATTCTACCCGAAGCGGGAGCGGCCTCAGCTTGTCTCCATAACTATCCCCGGAGAGCGGACTGTGTGAGGACGATGCGCCTGCAGCCTCATATGGATCCTCGTCTTCCCATTCAAGATCCAGGTAAGACGGCTTTCGCTCTCGGAAAGATATTTTTCCGAAGGTCGAGGTGCGGAAGGGAACCGCTGGCCTTTGAATGTCGTGGATGGCATCGTTGACATGCAGCTTGCAGACGTCCATGATGATCCCCAGGAGACCCTCCTGGGCCAAGCTGTCACTGTCATCATGTCCTGGACTGCCCACCGGCGGGTCGTTGTGATGGGGTGGCAAAGACCCGACAGCTTGGGAATCGGAGGAGGTGGCTTGGGAGGATTGCGAGAACTTCCGCAGATGAGCATCTACGAGCTTTTTTGCGATTTTTAAAGCCTCGACTTTGGGCTTCGCCGCTGGTGTCGCCTCTGCGGGTTCCCTTCCTACCGGTGGGATCCATTCAGCCTTGGCCAAACGCTCAGGTGCTGTTATCTGGAAAGGAAATGGACCCACTGTCATCATCTTGTGTGTCATTCACCTGCGCCCCAAAGCATCCAGCAAAGTTGTCCTCCATGGCAGGAAATGACACTTCGGGAGCTGTTGCGGTCATCTTTCGCCGTGGGGTAATATTGTCAATACGTGAACGGCGAGGATCATCTATACAGATGCATCCATAGTATGACTGAAAAGACTTGAGGGACCTTCTGCCACATAATTTCGGGGAACAGTCTTTATTTACCAGGCCAGTGCTATGCCCCGGACGATACCCGAGACTCGTTCGTGGTAGTTCAAACTAAATATGGGCAGGCTGGATGCACGCACAGGCTGTAAACAGTGTTGAGAGCGGATCGAATGATCCGAAGCTTTTCCCCTAGGAGCCGCCGTCGCGATAACAACGTCATGGAGGTAATCCAGGGGACCAATGTCGATGAGAACGGAAATTCGCGCACCCTCAATCGGAAGGCGCGCACCTATTTGCTGACTAAGAAGTATAGAATACAAGACGACTTCTTCTCGAAGGGCTGGCTGGGGCGAAGGGGGCGAGCCCCGGAGCGCAAAGCATAGCGGAGGGCCGTGAGTAGGGCCGGTAGGCACGACCCAAGTTCCCAGAGGACCAACCCGCCCTGTTTGTGGTCCCTTAATTGTGAAGAAGCCTTATGTGTTGAAGTTGTGAAGACTTTAAGGTCCTGTGCTCTGATTGGTCGAATAGTAGGGAGGGTGCGTGCCTTCCGATTGAGGGTGCGCGAATTTCCGTTCTCATGTCGATTGCCCATCAATAAACATGTGATCCGCCCTCCTTCACAGAGAGGAGACATTGCATCATATCGTGTAGCATTGTTCGAACTATTAGTTGTGTCGGCCCGACCCGCACATTGCTTTGTTCAAGAATCATCATCTCGTACGTACCCACGCGACGTGGAACTCAATATTGGCACCCATTAGCATTGGGAATGATGGATCTTGACGATGCACATGAACGAGTTCGATCCATCTCCCTGGGGACAAGCTCTGGCCCTTTGCACAGATGGTCGATGTCGCCCTGGAAGCTGCAACACGGACACTAATTAATAGCAACTTAAGGCTCCATATAGTAGGACGCACCTATGGGAGGCCCAAGAGCTCATATTCCTCCATTGGGGATTCCCCTTTTGGTTTGGAGCAGTTTTAGTCCCACCCAACACTACAGCCCTTCCCAAAATTCAGCAACATCCCTAGTCATAAATCCAAGTCCACTTACTATATATTAGAGCTATAGGCTAAACACCTATAGGATTAACTAATAGGTCTATATACTTTACTTATCTTATTAGTCTAAATAGCCTTTATACTTTTTATAATATAGAATTATAGCTTTATTATTTCCTTTATATTATTTTTTAAATAACTTTAGTTTTAAATTAATAATTCTTTATAAATAATTTAAGTTTTTTTTATTATAAATTATAAAAATTATTTTAATTTAAAACTATTTAATTTTATAATTTAAAAAATTATAAAAATATTTATTTTAATTAAATTTTTATTTTTTTAATTAATTAATTATAATAATTTATAAAATTATTAACCTTATAAATAAAAACCTAAAGGACTTTAAATAAAAAATTAATACTTTTATAAATATTAAAAATAATAATAAAATAATAATAAATTTAAAAATATTAATAATAAGGATAATAAAGTTATTTTTAAAATATTTTAATATTTAATTTATATTAATAGGTTTAATTTAATATTAATTAATTTAAATAAATTTTATTTAACTTTAAAAGGTTTTATTAATCTATTTAAATTAATTTTATTTAAAAGTAAGTAAACTTTTATTTAATATAATTTTATAATTAATTAAATTTTAAAATAATATTAATATTAATATTAAAAATAATAAAACTAAAAGTTTATTAATTATATTAATATATTTATAATTAAATAATATATAGTTATTTTTTTTTAAATTAATTTTTTAAATTAATTTTTATTAATAATTTAATATTTAAAAGGATTTTATTAATAAAATTAAATAGCTTAAAGTAATTTATTTAATTTATATACTTTAAACTCTTTTAATAAAAGGTTAATAAATTTGTTTTATATTTAAATTAATTTTATAAATAATATTTAATAAGTTTTATTTTTAAATTTATAAATTTAAGTTTTTTTACTTAAATTATTAAAATGATATTATTATTTTAAAGAGTTAATATTAATTTATTTTATATTAAGGAATAAATAAAATATTTTATTTAATTTATAAAAGTTTATTTTTATTTATAAATATTAAAGGGTAATATATAAATTATCTTTACTTTTAATTATTTATAAGGTTAATTTAAATTAACTATTACTAAATATAATAAATTTATTATAAATTTAAAAGTAAAAATTAAAATTATAATATTATTAAAAATATATAATTATTTTAATATATTAACGTATAGAGAATTAAAATATAATTATTAATTTTTAATAATAGTTAAATAAAATTAATAAAATTAATAAAATTAATAAAATTAATAAAATTAATAAAATTAATAAAATTAATAAAATTAATAAAATTAATAAAATTAATAAAATTAATTAAATTAATTTTATAAAAATAAATTTATAAAAGAAAGTTTATATATTTTAATTTAAAAATATTAAGTTATATATATAAACTATTAACTTTATTAATATTTAAAACTTACCTTTATCTAATAAAATACTTTATTAAAGTATATTTTTATTTATTTAATATAATAATGAAATTAAAAATAAATTAAATTTTAAAATATAAAAGTATTAACTTTAAAATAAATTAAATATAAATATAAATTATTATTTTAATAAATATAATAAAGTAATAATAATTAAAAATTAAATAAATAGTATTATTATTAAGATTATAGAATTTATTTTAAAGCTTAATTATTTTAATTATATTTTATAATAAAAGCTTTCTTTATTTAATTAAAAATAAATATAATAACTTTAATAAAAGTTATAAATAAAAATTAATTTTAATATTTTAATTATAAAGTTTAATAATAAATTCTTTACTTTTATAATAACTTTATTTAACTAACTAATATATATTAACTTTTAAAAGTAAATAAAAATAAAATATATAAAAGTTTACTTTAATTCTTTATTTATATAATTTCCTTTTTTAAGTTTAAAATATAAATATTATATTTAAAAATTATTATATTTAAATATAAATAATTAATTAGAATTAATAATTTATTAATTAATTATATAAAATAAAGTTTTTAATAATAATATTAATAATAATAAATAAAATAATAAATAAAACTTTAACTATAATAATTTAAATAATAAAAAGAAATAAAATAGTAATTATAATAATAATAATTTTAAATATAATATTAAAGATATTAATAATATTAATAAAAATTAAATTAATAATAATAACCTTTTTATTTATAATTATATTAAATAGAATAACTTAATAAAAGATAAATTAATTAAACTTTTTATTAAAAGTATTTATTTTTATTATAAAGATATAAAATATATAAATATTAATTATTTTAAAACTTAAATTATTATTTTAATAATAATATTTATAATTATAATTATAAAATTAATTATTATAACTATATTATTTAAATTAAAGTACTTTATAATAAGCTTTTATTTAATTTAATTTAAAATTAATAACTTTAAAGTAAATAAACTTCTTTTAAAAATATATATATATTTTTAAATAAAGTTTATATTAATAAAGAAAATTGAATTTATTTATAAATATTTTATATAATGTTTTTATTTATATAATTAATAAATAATTATAAATAATACTTTATATAATAGTTAATAATAAAAATAATATAAATATAAAAGGATTTATAAATATAAAGTAAATAGAATAATCTTTATTAATATAAACTTTATATTAAAGTTAATTTAAATTTTAATATTAAATATATTTTAAAACTCTAATTATATTTAATTAATAGATTTAAAAGTAAATATTTTAAAAATTAATAATACTTTAATTATTAACTTAATTATTAATAAATATTATTATCCTAATTATTTATAATAATAATAAATATATATTATAAAATAATTATTAAATATTAATAAATATATAATTATAATATAATTTTTAATATTTAATGTAAAAGATAACTTTTAAAATAAAATATTTATTTTAATATTTTTACTTTTATTTTAAAAGAATTATTAAAGTTAATAATTAAAATTATATATAAGAGATTATAAAACTTAAAGTTACTATTTATAAATAAAGTACTCTATATTATTAAATAAATAGTACCTAATAAAGTTTTATTTAATTCTTTTAATAAACTTAAAAATAAAGAATACTTTATATAACTATTTTTTTAACTCTTTTAATATTTATATTTATACTATCCCTTAAAAATAAAAGCTTATTAATAATAATAATAAAACTATTAAAAAATTAAAATTATTTAAATAATTATAATATTAATAATATATATATATTATATAAAAGGATATTAATTAAATAAAGTATTATAAAATAAAAATTAATAAAGTTTAAATAGAAACTTTTTTACTTTAATTAATTATAAAAATTTACTTACTTTTATTATATCTCTTTATTAAATTAATTGATATATTTATAATAAATAAATTAATATAATTAAAAATATATTTTATAATAATAAAAGTTATATTAAATAGTTTTAATAAAAATATTAAAGTAATATTATTATTTATTATAAACTTTTAATAAGATAGATTTAAATTATTTAATTTTATATTAATTATATAATTTAAAGATTAAATTATTATTTAAAGTAAATTTTATATTTATAATTAAATATAAAATCTTTTATAAAATATTATTTAAAAGAGTTAAAATAATTAAAGTATATATTATTAAGAATTTATAAAAGGTTTATTAAATTTATAATTATACCTTAAATATTATTTATCTTTATAACTATTAAACTTAATAATAACCTTTAATTTTATATAGATTTTAAAAATTTAATATTATTATTAAAAGAATTATAATTTAATTCTATTAATAAATAAGATATTAAATTAATTTAATTAAGTTAATATTTTTATAAAGATTAATATTTATTAAACTTTTATAAAATATATTTTATAAAAGAAATTAATTATATAATAATCTTTTATATAAAATAAAGGTTATTTAAATATAAAGTTATATTATTTAATTTATTTAATAGTTTATTTATTTTTAATAATATATTAATAATATATTTTAAAAGTATTTTAAGTAATTTTATATATATATATTAATAATATTATTATTTACTTTAAAATAAAATAAATATATTTAATATATTATTATTATATTTAAATACCTATATAAAGTAAGTTTATAAATAAATTTAAAGAAATATAAGTTTTATATTTTAAGTATTAAACTTATAGATTATATTATAAAAGTTAATAATATTTTTATAAATTTTAAAAGATTAAAATTATTTATAATTAATAAATATTTATAATATTAAAAATATAAAATCTTTTAATTTTATAATTTTATTAAAAGTTTATCCTTATATATAGTAAAATTATTAAATCTTTAATATAGTTTATATATAAGAGTAAAGGGTTTTAATAAACTTTAAAATATTAAGTTTTTTTAACTATTTTAAAAGTATATAATTAATATTTTAATATTATTTTATTTTATATTTAATTTTATATATATTTAAAATAAATATATTTAATAATATTATAATTAATATTTTCTTTTAATAATATAATAATAATAAATAATATTTAATTAAATATTTTTAAAATAATATTAAATATATAAATAAATTATTTAATTTATAATAAAAGCTTTTAATTATAGTATATTTTTAAAGTTTTAAGAGTTAAAATTAACTAACCTTTAGTTTATTTTATTTAAATTATTATTAATTATTATACTTTAAAGTTTTATAATATAAAATAATTATTAAACTTTTAATAAATTAAATAAGTAGGTTTTAGTTTATTTTAATTTTAAACTATTATATTACTTAAATATTTAAAATATATTAATTAATATATTATTTTAATATTTTAATAAACTTAAAATTTTAGAAAAATAGTTAAATATCTATTAGATTATTTAAGTTTTTATAAAGTTAATAAAATATTAAATTAAAGGTATATAATATTTTTATTTTTAAATTAATAATTAATTAGATTTTATTTTATTTAATATTAAAAGTATATATTTAAATTTAGAGTTAATATTTATAAATATAAAGAACTTTATTAATAATAATATAGTTTATAATAACTTTAACTATTTATTAATAGTTATATTTTTATTTTTAAATAGTTTAAACTTAAATTATTAAATATTTTATTATATATTAATTATAATTATTTAATTTTAAAATATTATTATAATTTAATAAAATAAGGTATAAATAATTAAAAGTTTATTAATAATTAGTATATTATTTTTATAATAAATTAATAATTTTAAATTATAATATACTTTATATTAAAGTTATTAATAATATTTATTTTTATATTATAATTATATATTTAAAATAAAATAAAACTATTAAATTAATATAATATAAGTATTAATAATTTAATTTATAAATAAATATTATATAATTAATAAATAATTATTTATATTAATTCTTTAAATATCTTTATAATAAAATATTAAATTTATTTAAATTATTATTTATATTTTATTAGTTATAATAATATTTAATAATTAATTTTAAGAGTATATTAAAGAATAAAATTAATTTAAATAATCTATTAATAATAATAAACTATTTATTTAAAATTATATAATATATTTTTATATAAATATTTATATTATAATATAGGTAGTTTATTTTATTATAAAAATCTTTTATATATTTAATCTTTTAAATTTATTATTTTTAATTATAACCTTTAATTTATTTTATTTTTATTAATAAACTTTATTATATTATAAATATTTAATAGAAGTTATTTATTATAAGTTATTTTTAGTTTTAAAGTAAATTAAAACTTTTTTAGTAAATTAATTAATAGTTATATATATTTATAAATTATTATTAGAATAATTAGATTAAAGTAATATTAGTTTTAAACTTTATTTAAATTTATTTATTATATAATTTCTTTAATAGGTTTTTACCTTTTAAAATTTAAATAAAATTTATTTTTAATTTTTTTAATTAAAAATATTAAATATAATAATAAAATATTACTTTTATATAAAAATAATTATTATAAAATAAAATTTAATATATAATTTATATTTTATAAAGTTATATTAATAAAGTTTATATAGTAATATAATAAGCTTAAAAGTATATAATAAAATAAATAAATTAATATTATTATAAATTTAATTTTAATATTAATAATTATATTTTTATTATTAAAAATATAAATAATTAATTATTTATATAATAAATTTAAATATTTTTATTTAATAATTTTATTATATTATAAGTAATAATTCCTTTTATTTCTTTAAATTTAAAGTTTTTAATTTAATATAATTATAAAATATTTATATTTAATTAATTATAATTTAACTTATAAAATTTTTTTAAAGTAGCTTTTTTTAATTTAAAGGTAAAATTATTAATAAAGAAAAGAGTAAAAGGTAGATAAAATTTTAGTATTTAAAGTTTTATATAAAATATTATTTTATTAAATTTATTAGAAAATTAGAATTTTAATTTAAAATAATATTTAATTAATAACTTTAAATATATATTAATTATATTAAAGGTATACTATAATATTTACTTTAATAATATTAAAGTTTTATATTAATTATAAAAGTAATTATATATTTAATTATAAGAGGAGGAGGTTTTAAATTATAATAATAATAATAAACTAATATAATTTAATTAATAATAATAATATATTAAATAGAAGTATAAAATAGGTATATTTTTAATTAAAATATTTATAATAAATAAAGATATTATTTAATAGTATATAATATAAAAGGAAATAAATAATATTATTAATTATAATATACTTTATAATTAAAGTAATTATAACTTTAATATTAAAAGAATATTAAAAGTAATATTATAATAAAATAATAATAAAGTATAGATTACTTTATAAAATAAAAGGTTAATTATAGAGTATTTATTTAAAGTATTAATTATTTTAATTATTATATAATATAAAAACTATTATAATTTAAGGTTTTAAAGTTTTAATATAATAATAAGTTTTAAAAATTATTTTTATAAGGGTTTAGAAAGTATTATTTAAATAGTTATTAATAAAGTTATAAGTTTAACTTTAATTAATAATATAGTTAATTATTTTTTTAAAAGAGGGGGATTATTAAAGTTATAAGTTAAATATTTATAGGATTAATTAATAAGTTTATATATTTTATTTATTTTATTAGTTTAAATAATTTTTATATTTTTTATAATATAGAATTATAGCTTTATTATTTTTTTTATATTATTTTTTAAGTAACTTTAGTTTTAAATTAATAATTCTTTATAGATAATTTAAACCTTCTTTTATTATAGGTTATAAGGACCGTCTTATTATGTATATCACGATCGCCTACTTTCATTGGAAAACACGAAAAAAAGACATAAGTTCATCAACCCCATTTATTACATCCATAGATATTATATATATCTATCCCTAGAAGTAAAGAATTATAATATTATATAAGAATATTAAAAACTTAATTATATAGAAAACACTTTCTTTAAACTTTAACACTCTTATACTAATTATATTAGCTAAAAGTCTTAAAGTTTTAATAAGTATTACATTCTTTCTTTCTATTATCTACTTATCTATCTTATTAGCTAGTAGACTTTTCCAATAGTTTATAGCTTAGAAATAGCAATATCCAAGGTTATGATCGCTATTAGCAGTGCACACGGTGCTTAGGGCGTCGGTAACTTGGCTTAATATTGGCCTTATTGACAGGCCCGTCAATTCGGTTGCCAACATTTGGAAGATTTATGATGCTGTTCAAAGTCCCTTCTCTTCGAGATGATCCGTATTGAGCCACAAGAAAGCTTCAAATCAGAAAGCAATGCAATTTCAGTACACGGAATCTCGTCTACGGATTACAGTTATCAAGGCCACCATAACCCCTCTCCCCAAGCTTCATAACGACAGTAGTTCAAGTAGATCCGTGGACAAAAATTCATCGCGTTCTTCTCGATCATCATCATCTTCGCCCACCATTCGCATTATGAGGTCATCCAGAATCGTCTTCTGGTTCTGCCAATTGTCCAAGATCAAACCAACATGTTCTTCCACCTGCCTGTAGCGCTGGGCAAAGCAGGCTTTGACAAGGGCGAGCACGAGCATGGTATCAGCCACGGTTTCCAGTTCTGACGGTTCATATATGCTGCGAGTACTTGCTTTCAGACGCTCGACAAGCCACATCCGGGTTCCAGAGCTGAATCGATTATATACGCGCTTCCGAAGGTCCACTCCAAGCGTGTACGTCGCGTTGGATCCCGGGTGAGGATATGACTCATTGGCCTGATGGCCAGAGTCGGTGTGGTCCAGGTCATCCGATTCTTCCAAATGCATCTCCTGCGGCGAAGCGCTCAAGTTAAGTGGCTCCGACTCTGTATTGCAGGGGCAAGACTGGATGCTGCTGCGCTTGGGGCGTTCCTGAACAGGGGCTGCAGTTCCAACGCTGGTATGGCTGATAGGCGGCGGCAGTCGTGCAGTCGTGGACATTCCATGGAGAGGACAGTCGGACACGCTGTCTGTATTGCTGCCCCTGGGCGATTTGTTGCTCCGTCCATGTGATACGGAGGCTACTGTGGCCAGAGGGATGACGGCTTCAGGCTTTTCGTCCTTCATCTCCATGTTGTAGTCAATGCCATCGTCCTCACTAACTTCGCTCTCTGCATCTTCCATATCGAGGCCGCTGAGTTCTTGCTCCAACTCCTTCTCCAGCTCCGCCACGAAGTCGCCGTCAACATCCACTCCCAGGAACTCTTCCTCGCCCAGGAAGTCCTCCTTGCCCAGGTTATCCTCCTCGTCATATTCGGCGTCGTTGTCCTCATATGACTCAGGGATATAGTCGCGGACAAGCTCGGAGAAGCGCCGGAATGCTGACGGAAACGCCGGCCCGAAGTCCTGGCCGCGCGTGGGTGCTGATGGAGCCGGGTCTGGGTACTCGACTAGCAGGCCGCCGTCCTCTTCATCGTCCTCATTCGACTTCGCCGGGGAACCGTTTCGCTGCCGTTTCTTGGGCTTGCTTTCCTTGTCCGCCTGGGATTGTCGTGATACCTTGGCCTCTGCCTCGGGTGCCTCGGCGTCGGCGTTGCTGGAAACGCCGCAGACTTGCTCGATATCCCTATTGGAATGTGGCAACTTCAGGGCGCCATATTTTGCGAAAGGGAAATCCGTTGGCAGAACAAGGCGATACAAGTCATCCTCAAATAATACAGGTTCATCGGAATCGGGATCATCTTCAGTAAGTCGTATGGAGTCCGCTGCAATTTTGCTGGTCCAATGATTGCATAAAGAGTACATTTGTCCTAGTCGCTCGGCACTCTTAAGAAGGGACCCCAGCGACTGGCTGTCTGTGTAGGCACGGTGCGGCGTCTTTGACATCAGAGTGTTGTATGCGTCCCGTAGAATGGAGCTCACGCATAGCTTTTGGAGTGTACTGTCTGTAGTATTTGTTCTCTCCACACTGACTCTCTTGGTATCACAGATGTACCAACTGGATCTTGCCGTGATAGACACCGAGTCGAGAAATAAATCGGAGGAATTCCCGAGGTCGAGCAAGAAGAACACTGAACAACTCTGCCGACGTGAGATTTTTGGCATCAATTTCGGGCTCTGAATAAAGTGAAATTTGCTCGGTGAGAGGCTTGCTTGACGGGTCTGGATCCTCGTCAAATTCATTTCGCGGAAGTCGAAACTGCAGCGGTCCCACGGATGGTCCAGGTCGATATCAAACGACCACTGGCTACCTTTGTCACAAGTGAAAAGGTCGCAAGGTCGAAATTTCACAGATAGCACAGCATGCCCGAATCTATTGACAGTTGATAAGGAAGCCACTGTTCTCTCGGGCTCGTTTGCTGTCTCTGTGACCAACACGAAGTCCTTTTTGAGAGCCTTTCGACTTGCTGACAGACTGACGGTTGCTGAATTTGGCCGATCGGAAGCAGGTTGTTCCGTAGGTTGTTCGAGTGAAGCAAAGCTTCCTGCCTCTCTAGCTGCACTCATTACTCCAGCGTTGATACTGAGAAGTCTTTGGTGCGTGGGGCTAGATACTGTAAGCAAGCCTTGTTGAATTATCTCAACCTTGAGAGATATCCTTGTGTCCTCTGAAGACGATAACCAGGCCGAGTCCGATAAAGCTGGATACTTGATAATTAGGTCTCCTTTAGCATTGAATTGCACATGCTCCGCGAATTTGACCACAATCGTTACTTCGACGTCTGGTGGTATACGGCCAAGATTGGCTTCAAACACCCCAGGCTCCACCTCACTCAAAACAGCGGCAGGTGTCATGCTGTGGACCGCTTGAGTATAAATCTTTTTGGCTCGTTTGGATGGCCTGGATTTGTCCTCGATAGCATGGTGTTCTCCGATCTCGAGCTTGAAGGGTGTGACTGCAGCCTTGTCTGGGATTCTGAAAGAATAAGATGCCTCCGCAGCACTTGAATCATTCGTGCTCAAAAACCTTTGAACAAGTCTCGTATGAGAGACAAATTCCTTGACCTGAATGTCAATCATTATTGTTGACAGGTGCAGGATTCGTGCAGCACCGACACTAGCATGTCTTCCATCCAGGCCTGGACGCGAAGCTGCTTGGGCTCGTCCATTGAACGCGGAGATGTCAGCTGTCCGTAACGAAGATGTAAACAGTGCTGAGGATGCCAGTCGGTCCCAGAAGGTTGTCATGGCTTCGAATGTGGCTCATCGCTTGCCCCCAATACAACTGATGGGCGAACTAGTGTGAGGCACATGGGTCGGAGCTGTGGATGAGTTCATGCTTGTTGAGAGACCTTTTCAGTATCACGTGAAAAGGTCATAATGGACGTACGGGTACATGCTCGAATAAATGGAGGAGCCATTGCCCGGTCACAGCAGGAACAATAAAAAAGCGCTTACTGAGCACCACTAATGATTAGCGGTCTAGAAGAGACATGGTGATGGGGGCAGGGCATACTTCGCCCTTTCCGGTATAAGAAGTTTGCTACTTGTAGCTCAAGGATTGCTGATCACACTTGTTGAGTTTCACAGCATATTTTCAGCTGGTCTACCTAGGTATCAACGAATGGCAACGCTCCGTAAGCGACATAGGAGTGGGGTAGGAAATGGCGCCTAAGACACGGCACAGCATTACCTGCCCCATTCATTTTCATCTTTCAATCAATGTCAATATAAAAGACTTTGGGTAATATCAATTCCAAGAAGAACTCAGAGATCGCTTTAATCCAATTCATACGCTATATAATGCTTGAAAGCGAAACCCAACCCGTGATAGAACCACTCGACATAAACACCACGGGCAGCCTTTGTGTTGTTATAGTTCGAATGAGAAGAGGCATATCAGGCTTCGAGACTTCCCCGCCCAATAATTAGTCCGCCATATCGTTACCAAGTCCAATCTCCATCGGCGACGCAATCGCATTGTCGGAAATAGCCTTCCAGATCGCAAAGGCTTTTCTTCCGGGCTCTACGAATGCCGAGAACGAGTTTAAAGACCTACACAAGCTCCTTTGCTCTTTGACGAGTTCCCTTCGACTGGTAGGAGAAACATTCAACATTAAACCGGAGGCCGAGGACTCGGGGGACAAGGAGGACTCTTCCAATCATCATGAAACTACAGTGACGTTCATTACAGAGACGTTATCACATTGCAACGACCTCCTTGGCGGTTTCACGAGGTTCATCGAGACATACTCGACCCTCGAGCGAGCATCAGGACCCTCATCTCACTCATCATTTACATCAGGATCATATTGGTCAGGATATGCGAGGCGGACATGGATGAAGATACAATGGGCGGCGGAAAGTGACAATATCTCCGGGCTGAAAGCTTCGGTGGAAGCACAGATCCAGATGTTGAACCTGGCCATTTCCACGGCGAATGGGTTAGTAATTCTTTCACGTCTGAGGATACACAAGATTCTATGCATGGCCCTTTTAACATATGAGCATAGCAAGAGGCTTGAAGAAATGTTCGTATTCTTGAAAACGAATTTGACCAGCCAGGCAACTCCACATGACACTTCGGTGGCATCAATCACGGATCAGACGCACGCTCTGGGTCTCGGAGGCGAGTCACTCGGCTTTCAGCTGTTTCAGGAAAATTCTACCAGGAGTGGCGGGGAGCTTCTGGTGTGTCCAAAGGCAACATTCCAAAGCCTCTCACTTGCCAACACAGGAGGTGAATTCATAAGATCTGGGGGAGTATTTGAGTGTCTTTGTTCGAGGAATACCCACGCATGCCGGAGCTACACGTGTGAGTTTGAAAAGGCCCCATCGAACTGCCAGATCTGATGCCGGTCCAGTGCTACCCATTAGTACCCTAGTCAGAGTGATAGGTTCCGGACATCTGGTGTGGCAGATCTTCCTTCAGGGACCTTCGTCAAGTCGACCGGTTTCTTTATTGATCCGGCAGGTGGCCCCAAGCCGTAAGCACCCCCCCTCTTGCCCCAATCTTTAAGCGTAGAAGTTGAGCCCTTCATCTCGACGTGTGTCTTCTGTGGTGCGCACTCCTTGCTACCAGCCTCGAAAGATAATCGGGCTGGAGTATTTAGGGTACCAACAAGGAAAATGAGAGGAAAGGAATTGAACAAGACGATAACTAACTTTATACGTTTCTCATCAGAGCTTGCACAGTGTGAGAAATGGTCAGATCGACTTGCTCTGCTGCAAGCCACCTGGTCAAGGGAAATTGAAGGCAGAAACTCTCTAATCTCATCCCGCATGAATATTGTATCTGTGCTTCACATGAAATCGCAAGTTACCTCCCGAGCCTTTCTTTCCGTGGAGCCAATGAATCTAACGAGGAAATACTAGTGACTCAACCAAGTACGGCACGAGACTCCTTAGTTTGAAATTCATCACTCAGAACAAATGCGTGGCGCTCGGCAGGATGTCCTCTTTGCAGCTACTACAACACCGTAGTTTGAGCAAAACGTGGAGTCAGGACCTGGAGCAAAGTATGCAGAGATCCCAAGGATTACTACCGCAACGGTATTTCAATCTCGTGATGCATTCTGGACCTACTATGGAATCAGGCGTCGGGAAGAAATACACCATCCAAGGTCTGTTCACACATCCTTTTGTCTTAACGCGAAGCTGAGTTCAGACAGTGAAACAAAAAACCAAGTTATCCACGACGGACAAGCCTAGATTCATTACCATGCATGATGTTCTATGTACCGAAGAGAACCTGGCTGCGTCAGCCGCAGGCACGCCAATCGCATTTTCGGAAGTGGTTTTTGAATTTGCGAGCTCCTCGCGTAAGAGTCTATTCGAAATCCACTGCGACAAACTATAAGTATTTTACTGACTTGTATAAAGTTGTGACGAGTCTAGTATCGGACCTCAAACTTGCCCAAAAGCTCTTACAGGTTCAATATCTGACTGGCCCGCGATGGGGAGAGCACGTCATGGTACAACGGTTAGTGTTCAAGTTGTCTCCGCATGGTTAAGTGGCTAATACCTGGCTTAAATCATAAGAGATTTGCTAGATTCCTGTTTAATCGGGCATCTTGTATTGAGCAAGCCAAAGTTCAAATTGATCGTAGATTCAGAGTCTGGGAAATTCCGGGTTGTCCTGCTTAGAGCGGACCACACTGCGGCGGTGTGCTTTGACCGTCAGTCCCAGCTCCTCCACCTATCCGACGAATTTTGTTGTTGATTTCATAAATGCAGTGCCCTCGGAAGCCCTGCAGAACAATGTGGAACGGAATAAAAGTCTGTCCAACACCAGTCGGCCGGCGTGGTTTATGGACATTGATGAATCACGGATTCACATTGTACGTCAGGAGTGTGGCATAGACCCTCTATCTGTATTCGAAAAGCGTTACAAAGCTTCTCTAAGGCTTGAGTTTGACGACGAGGAACATTAATTTGGGGGCCACACCGGATGACTACCTAGGTAAGCAGGAAGCCAGTTTGGAATTAAGATCTAAAAGCATTTCCTCGCATTGGGCCAGCCAAGCTGTCGACTATTAGACTTCAAAAGCCTAGAGGTCCCGATAACGGAGACAAGCGGCTACTTCGTTCGGTGTCTGGTCAACAGTTCGGGTCATCTTGATGGCTTGGTAGTCCGTTGAACGGTATCGTGAACGCCGAACACCACTAACATGGACGAAGTTCGGGATTGACAACCACCAAATTGGTCACTATGTAAGACGAGGGTTAGGGGTGTTGTTCATGTTCAACGTATCAGCAGCCAGCCAATGACATAATAGCGCATGCGTGTTATCCGGACCCCTGCCAGCTTTTGTGGAGCTGTTGTGCTACCCGGATATCTCGTCCCTTTGTTGCTGACCTTAAACTTTCGACTCATTGGCTTTTTTTTTGTTGACAACGAGACACCGCCCATTCGTTTCTCGACGCCAGGCCTCAAGATGCGAAGTGCATCGCTGCGGCAGCTCAGGCTGCTGCAAGGCCCTTCTGGTGTTCCCTTCTCGAGGCAATTGAGCACATGGGTGTCTCCTCGGCCGTCCTCGTTGAGTGCCGTGGGCGCTGTGAGGACTTGCATGTGGCCATGCAGGCCGGGCCGAGCAGGCGATGTCGGACTGACAAGGGCCACCACACAGCCTCAATTGGGCTCAGGACGGCGCCAGCAATTGAGCACGACTTCGATTCGGATGGGAAAAGCAGCTGGTCGGGATGAAGAGACTGGCACTTACAGCGAGGCGGACCACGAACATGCTGTCATCTCGACGTTCGACTTGTTCTCCATCGGCATTGGCCCGTCCTCGTCGCATACCGTCGGCCCAATGCGGGCTGGCAACATTTTCGTGACGGACCTTCTCGAGGCAGGCCTCTTGCACAAAGTCCACAAGATTCGGATATCCATCTATGGCAGCCTGGCTCTCACCGGCGAGGGCCACATGACTCCATCGGGTATGTCTGCAGCCTCAATCACATGAGCCAGACACAGCTTACTGACAGCAAGGCAGCCTTGATCCTGGGCCTCGAGAGTGCCGATGTGGAAACAGTCGACACGGCCTATGTGCCTGCTCGGTTCGCCGAGATCAAGGCCACCAAGAAGCTGTTCCTAGGCCAAGGTCTCCCCTCGGGAAAGGGTAAAGAGATCGACTTCGACTATGATAGGGAATTTGTTTGGGAGTGGGGAAAGAAGCTGCCCATGCACAGCAACGGCATGCGTTTCATGGTTTTTGACGAGCAGGGTGACATGCTGGCTACCAACGATCTCTTCAGCGTCGGTGGTGGCTTCGTCGTCAACGGTGCTCTGTCGACTTCGGCATCTCAGAGGGCGGCGTCGATCGCCATGGATCAGGAGCCCGAGCCTCCGTTGACCGGACATCCCAAGGACTTGGGAGAAAACTTGTTCTACAAAGAGATCAGGCGATCCGATGCGGCTGGGGATCGAAGGAGTGGTATCGAGGTGAAGCCAAAAGATGGCGATGCGATGCTCCTTGAGGCGGGCCACGGCGAGAGCGGAGCAGTCGTGGTCTCTGCTGTTGGAGATGCACAACCCGTTGCTGAGCCGGAGGACGACACGAGGAGCACCGCACAACCACGATATCCGTTCCGAGATGCGACCAGTCTACTGGCCCTCTGCCACAAGCACAACCTCACCATTGCGCAGCTCGTATACGAAAACGAAAAGAGTCAGGGCTATACCGACGAGGAGATATACACCAAGGTCATGCGCATCTGGGAAGTCATGGACAACAGCATCCTCGAAGGCGTGCAGCAGTCCCAGGACACCACGCTCCCAGGATCCCTGAAGCTGCATCGGCGCGCACCGTCCCTGTACAAACGACTCACCCGGGGTCTGTACCCGGCGAGCGCACACAAGACCGTCACTGCCACCGAGACCCCCGAACCGAGCCAACTGACGGGCCCCGGGTCCACGAGCCTCTCGCCGGCCGCAACAACAACCCCATCGAAGGTTGCCAAGATCACCAAGCGCGGCCCACCCCGCGTCCACGGCTCCTTCAGCCACCCAGTCATGCCGTCGCCGCTGCGGCGGACAGAGTTCCCAGCGATGGACTACCTCGCCGTCTACGCGATAGCCGTGAACGAGACCAACGCCGCGGGCGGCCGCATCGTGACGGCCCCGACCAACGGCGCCGCGGGGATCATCCCGGCCGTGCTCAAGTACACGGTCGAGTTCATCAGCGACGACCCGGAGCGCGACATCATGACCTTCCTGCTGACCTCGGCGGCCATCGGCATGCTCTACAAGCGGGGCGCGACCATCTCCGCCGCCGAGGGCGGGTGCATGGCCGAGGTGGGCGTCGCCTGCTCCATGGCCGCGGGCGCCTTCGCCGCGTGCATGGGCGCCAGCCCCGAGACGATCGAGCAGGCCGCCGAGATCGGCATCGAGCACAACCTCGGGCTGACGTGCGACCCCATCGGCGGGCTGGTGCAGGCGCCCTGCATCGAGCGCAACGCCCTCGGCGCCATCAAGGCCATCTCCAGCGCCAACCTCGCCCTCAGCAGCAACGGGACCGCCAAGGTGCGGCTCGACGATGCCATCCGCGCCATGAGGGTGACTGCCCAGGGCATGCGGAACGAGTTCAAGGAGACTAGTCTTAGTGGTCTTGCTACGAGTGTGCCGTTCAACATCCCGGTCAGCGTCCCTGACTGTTGAGCTGCTGTGACGGGGCAGGATAGACATGTTATGTGTTGCCACACGTTCAGGTTCGAGTAACTAGATGCGAGGGCATGGGGATCAGGGTGTGTACGGGTATCTTTTACTCTGGCGTTCTCATACAGGATGACTTTAAAAGCATTTTGCCATCTATAGATAGGTCGAAAAGGCAGTCCTTACGGTTGGTTCTACGAACTCTCTCTCCAGCGTGTGTTCATCGTCAAAGAAAAGAGTCCAACACTACAGTAGTTTGAGGGTTGAGGTATCATTGTTATGTTGTTCTAGTCATCTTATGACAAGCAGATGGCGAATGCAGTATTTGGGACTACAGCCAGCAGCATAAAGGCTTGACGGAGTACAAAAGAGCGGCAACCCGTGGACATGCTAAGTGGTCAGCTTCATGGCATTGGGAAAAAAAGACAAAGCTCTACAGCATGGGTGAAGAGTACTGATATTGGACAAGGTTGGCGGTACAAGAAAATTAATCTAGCGTATCGACTGGATTGATAGAGCACACGTGCGAAGTGTATGATTGCTTAAAATAGGATCGCAACGTTGTCTTTTCCATGGCTAAGGAGGTCACTTTAGAGAGAAACCTCCAGCTAACTCCATCACGTCATGTGGATCAATGGTAGCCTTGACAGACCTGAGTCGCGCCAAGTTCGTCGTGCCATAGAGCTCCTCAGCCGTCGTATCTCCTATCGCGTAATTTGTATACGGGGTGAAGCTCTCTTTGAAAATCCCCGCCTGAACTGCGGCCTGTTTGATATTGGCAACGGATTGCTTGACGGCATTAATCCAGAACTCATCTTCAGTGCTCGAGCCCCAGGCGCAGTAAATGCTGATCTGGGGTTGCAAACAATCGTGGTCAGTCGTCTGTGTTCATTACAATCTTTAAATGGGCGTTCCTACCGGGAGTGGCGAATCCGCATGAGGAAACGCGCTGTCTGTGGCGTACCGGCCGTAGTCCAGGAACGGGTCGACGCCCCCGCTTACAAGAGATCCGCCATGCAGCAACTGCTGAGCCGTGAGGCTCTGCTTTGGGGTCAGATATACGGATACTGATATATTGAGGGAGAGGATGGTCCCACCTGAACTTCCTTTTTAACAACCTCGAGTAGTTCGACCGTAAAGGCGGACACAGAGACGGTATGCGAGGTACCACGACTGCTCTGCAGTAGCTGCGTCGCCTGCGCTCCCACGAAGGTCGAGAAAGGCTGCTTGATCGTCCCGCTGTTGACGGGTAGGATGCCGTCAAACATGGCGAAGCTGGCACCCGGGTCCGGGCCGTCGTAGAAGAAGAGCACGTATGGTATCAGACCTACCGCAGGTAATCCTTCCAGGGTCAGGATGACCTGGGCCTTTGGGTCTGTGACAGTGCGAGTGAATATCTCGGTGGCTTTTATGAGCGCATCTGCTTTGTCGGCGGTATAGATTCGTTGGCCGCCCTGTTCGCGTCAGTCTCCGCTCCAGTCTGGACAAGCTGGACGATCAGTGCCTACGTAGATCAGGGGCGGCTGTGGGTGTGTCTCGTAGACTATGGAGGTGACAATGCCGAATCTATTCAGTCCACCCTTGAGGGCGAAGAACAGATCCGTGTTGGTGCTCGCGGAAGCTGTAGTAATTGTCCCATTCTGCATAGAGTTAGATAGAGCACCGGTATCAGTTGCGCCGGGGACGCCTTGAGTACATATGGCCATACCGGTAGCACGAGATTGTAGGTCTTGACCGTATCACAGGTCAACCCAAATTGATTTGTTTTCCTGGTGATCGGTTATTAGCATTTGTCTGTTCAAATCTCCCGTTGAACTCGGCATACCAGGAATACCCTCCGCCCAAAGTCAATCCGCCGACGCCGGGTCCGGACAGTCTGCCACCAACGACGTTGACACCTTCTTTGGACAGCGCTTGGTATGCTTCAGCCCAAATCTGGAATTGCAAATGGCGAATATCAGCGTTGTCGAGCAAATGACCCAGGGGTGGATGTACAAACCAGACCCATCCCCAATTCGACACTTGACTTGTCTTCGGATAGTTTGACCTGCTTCATGCGTGCGAAGGAGATGTGCACACCCGGTGTGCTCGAATGACCGGGGTTGGAGGTATGTCCGCCACTCTTGAGCGCGAAAGGTGTCTGTGACTGCGCTATGATATCAATCTGTTGTGCAAGCCGTGAGTAACAAGACAGTATGATACAGGCAAGGGTATCTAGATGAATCTCGAATCGGCTTCTGTTTTGGCTGATACGTACCGCAATGGAGACATCCTCGGGTGTCCCGGGCTCAAAGACACAAGCTGGCTTTTGGCTGGACGATGCAAACCAGTGGTCAATATCGATGGCGAACCTTGCATCAACTTCATAGTAACGAGTCAGAAGATCATTCGAAGTGGTCATAGAGAGCAGTGTATGCCCTGGGATAATGTATCAAGACTACTCACGCGGGCTAATGATGATATCGCTCGAGCTGGAAATATTGCCTTTGATGTCGAGGCAGGTCTGATCCAACCCGAAACCGTTGGCCAAACCAACCAGGGCTGCTATAGCCAAAGACTGCTGAGTAATGAGTGTCATTTCGCGACCACGGGATGCATAGCAAAATTTCTAGCTCGATGTCACGAAAAAGTTGCCCGTCACTGTGTCTGATTAGAACTCTGATTGTATCTGGGGAACTTTGAGTTTTTATGTTCAATTTATGGCCGCAAATATTTGTGTGAGTGCTCCGGTAATAGTTGTGCATTGCTACTGAGAGCCGGGGTAGGTACTTAGGTACCTAGGTAGCCTAATGGCACCATTTCCTTTTAAGCACACTTATGTGGAATGACGGCAAGGTAGGCTGGACCCTCTTTACCGTTTCAAGAGCTGATGCAGCAATTTGCCGGGCATTCTCATACATTCGACCCAGCTGAGTAAATGGACTATTGGACGCTACTCATATGACCCTTGCGGCGCCAGAAGAACTACACTTTGCCAAGACTACCCTACTAGGACTACCAGCAATCATATAAGTAAATAGAGGCCCCTAATTAACTAACCTAGTTTCTAATATTTATATATAAGTAGTATTAGGAATATATATAAGTTAATATATAATAATTATTAGAAATATTAAATTTAAATTTAATTTAATTTAATTTAAATTATTTATTATTTATATTAATATTTATTTTATTAATTTATTTTAAAAAATAATTTAAAAAGAAAGGTTTTATTTAACTATTAATTATATAAATATATTATTTATTAATAATCGTATTATTTAATTATTATAATATTTAATAATATATTAAATAAATAAAAGATTATATATAAAGTAAATATATTTAATATAAATTATATATAGTTTTTTTTATTAAATAAAAAATAATAATATTTATTTTTATATAATAAATTAAAATTATATTTATTTCAATTAAATTATATATATAAAAGTATTTTTATAATTTAAAAATACTTTATAAAGTAGTAATATAACTATTATAATACTTTTTTTAACTTAATATAACTATTAGTACTTATAGTATAGGATGTAGATTTTTAAAATGTTAGTACTTTGGAGCTGACCTATTACAACGGTAATATAAACCGTCCTTGTTGGCTGGACTAACCTGTATAAGCCTTGGCAAAGTGCAGTTCTTCTGGCGCCGCAAGGGATGCAGACCGACACTTTCCAGGGGGGCCACAAGCTGCCGCTTACCGTAAGGTGGAACCGTAGCTGAGAAACAAACTTCCAAAGCCTGATCCTGAGCCCCAGTTTTGATCAGCTCAGGCATCGTGAATCAATATAGTCGCGATCTCTCGTTTTCGGGAACGGGTGAATCCGAGCGGGACTACTACAATGAGCAACCTCTTCACGAGGGCTAGGCCCACTAGAAACTGCAAAATTGCGGAGTTGCCTCAGCTGAGGTCCATCATACCTCTTTTTAGTGGATGCCGAATCTTGGTATGCTCGGCACAATTACGTAGTCTCTTGTAGACGGGTTGAAGACTATATGGTCCCCAGCTCCTAAGCGGACAGAGCCTAGGAAGTATTGGGTAAAGTTGTAAGCAGAGAGATTGGACCACGTTCTTCTCCAACGGTAACTCTGACTCGGTGTGGTATGGAGTCAGGCCCGATCAAGACTGCGGAATTGTGAATGACTCAGCTTGCTCATCATGTGTTGTGTTTACTGCATGAGCCTTCAAGGGGTCGGGAGACCACATGAGACATCTCCTAAAAGGGTTTATTGTAGGTACTTGTGTTCAACGAGAACAAAAATCCCCCGCCACCAAGGAGCTGGGCCCCATCACATATCATAACTTGTTAGATCCTCATGCTTCGTCTGATGTTTCCCGGCAGTCTTTCTGGCAGCCGGTGGCCCAACAACCGGCCGGTTGCACGCGGAACTATCCGCAGGTCGCACCAAGATCTCCCGACTCTGGCAGGGCGGTTGAGTACAGCACTAATGCAAGGCCCATTCGTGTTGACGAACCACGTGCAGTCTGACCTGGCAATAGTGGTTGCTGCGCTTCTCTCGGTACCAGGTAATTGCCCTGAAATCCCCAGTGCTGCGCAGGTGTACACGGAGGGCTGTGAAGCTGGCAATGAAGACTAGAACTCACCATGAGCCTTGGTAATAAGCACCCAAGGCCAAATGCGGCGCTTTTGGGATTACCCAGAAAAGTAGAAAGAAACGTTTATTAACCCTTTCGATCTGGTTGGGTGTGGGCCAAGGCGGCTATTTGCCGTCACTTCAGCCCGTCTGCAGGCGCAAGGATGCGGTGCGGTGGTGTCCTGCACGCCCGGTCAGGCAAGCCACATCCAGAAGGATGCTATACGCGAAGCTCTTGACTGGTGCTCACGCGAGATCTATTTAGTCGTTTCCCAAAGGGGTCTGCTCGGTCTTGACGGCTGCAAGCATGATGTCCGAGTACTCGCATGTGTAAATGCCCGTTGCACGGCAATTCAGGTTTTTGTTTTCGTTTTCGCCCGAAAAACAGGACCAGATGTCGCGGCAATTTGATACCACGTCCCATTTCTACACTGCGTGAGCATTGATCGTAAGAGTTTGACGCGAATTAATCATGACGTGGCCAGGTGCCCTCTGCGGCCAACTCGCCTTACTACATGAGGTGGTGCAACCCTCAGGGGCGGGCGGTCTAGACCTTATAGCCATGACATTACCCGGGCAGATGGCAGTGTTGAAAAATACATTCGGTATCTATCTCCTAAGTGGCCATTAATGAATCTCTAGGCATCAAGGCTGACAGAAAGCTGCCGAGATAACGGTTGTGGGATCGTTGGACGGAGCCTCAGGACTGGACAAATCGAGTCGTCAATCAACTGCCATCCGATCGGTTGCCCCCTTGGATTCTCCGATCAATTTCTTCGGCCAGGGTGCTTTCCGATGGCAGTGGCAGTCTTTCAATAAGACTACATTCGTTCTGTATTCCTTCCGTACGGGTCGTGTTTCGGGCCCTGTTGAATGTCGAAGCCATTTCACGATGTCACGTCCTTTCCCATTAGATCCATCAATCTGATCGGACCCGGGGAGCCACCAGGAGGTGGCGAATTGCCACAAACCCAGCGAAACGTCCCGTCGTCGTTGGTCGCATCTCGACCCACCCTGATCCCATGGTCAGTCTTTCGTCAAGCAGTGGATGTGGGATGTGATTAGGCCATATGTTCAGAGCAGGTGAGAAGCAGTCACAATGGTGTCCGTGGTTCGCACAAAAAAATGCACCAAAATAGTGGTGGATTTCGAAAGCAAGAAGAACAAAATACACACCAGATCGCCCATTTGATGAAGAACACCCATCCACCCAAGTCGCGGCAACGGTCATTGAGTAAGTCGTTGACGATGTCGTATTCGGCAACACTGAAGGGAACATCGAACTCGCCAAAATTGCAGATGTCTTTAGGATCAGTGAAACCGCCTGGTAGAATGCTCGTGCAAACACGGGCCTGGGCTGCGTGTCGAGGAGAGGTGTAACTCACAGATCTGGGTGCCTCGCCAAACATCACCAGCCTTGTGGACGATTTTCCACAGTTCCCCAGTCCCCGCTCGCAAGAGAGCTGCGCTTGACTTGCCCGCGTAGAGGCTGGTCACGAGATTGTCCACGTCGCTGTGCAAGATCTTCGTGTCTGTGGTCTTGTTGCACAAGATTAGGCCAGGTGGGAGGTCCCAAATGTCGCTGAGTGACGAGCCTGCCGGAGGATCAGCGATGATATGGGAAGCCTGCAGAGAAAAGGTTGCAGCTGCCCATTCCGTTTCATCGGGATCGACAGCTTGAAGGGCGCCAAGTCCAGTCTCTTTGGCGACTTGGGACGCCCCCGAAAAGAGGGCCATCGCCAGGACGAGGAAGAGCACGAGGAAAGGCATGGCGTGTTGGACGATGTCTTGATGGGGTGTCTGACGGATTCCAGGTGCTTCAGCTGCAATGAGCCAATTCGACTTGATGGTGAAGTGTGCAATGTTGTTTGTCGCAAATGCGGTGTTCAATTGGGCTATGAACAAGGAGCTGTGGAGGGCCGACTCGCAGCTGATGGACCCAGCTTAGCGCTAAATCACAAGCTCAAACAAAGGTAGGGGGCACGTTGCTGGTTTCTTGCAGAAAGTCGTTTGTACAGGGAAGGAAGAGCTTCCCGAACGAGCTACAAACGCCTGTCAGGACGTCCCTCCACTCCAAGCTGCACAAACCGACGCAGCCCTGTCTTCCAAATTAATCGACGGCAAGCAAGTCCCCCTCGACCTTGGAAATATTTCTAAAATTATAAAATCTGATTTTGAAATAGACAAACGGTCCCTGGACAGCCGAGTGGATGCAGTTTTAAGCTAACCCATCCATCATAAGAGTTTTCCTTTCGTGTTTTGGCAACACCGGAGAATGGACAGACCCTTTCTTGATGGTGTCATTTGGTGGATCAACCTTGAATGGAAGATGTAAGGTTCCAGAGCGCCGCATTACCGTCGACGATGTCGATGTGCAAGTGATTGTATGTTGACACAAGGGCGTCGAGCTACGATCATGGAGAGCTGCTGATCAACTTTTCCAAGACATTCCCAGAAAGATGCAACAACGACGAGCATTGGGTCACTTCGATCGACGTCATGGACACTCTGAACTGTCGCTGAATCCAGTCGACCAGCTCGATAGAGACAATGGAATCAAGGCCCAGAGACGGCAACCTAGCCCCTACAGAGAAGCCATCGACAGGCTGCATAAGGATCTCCGCCAGTGCCTCGCACAGGGCGTGCGCCAGGCTGTCGACGGTCGCAGGATCTCTCCACTTGGGGTTGTTTGGGTCGGAGGCGGCCAAGTCGGCGAGTTCTGAGACGCTGAAGCCGTTGTCTAGAGTCTCAGACTCCAAGTTTCCCCTGCCCGGCCAGCCCCTCGACTTGGTACTTTCGCCGGCCCCAAAGAGAGTATGAGCCAAGGCGAACCGTACATCCCGCTTCCAGTTGATCCTGTTGCCCGGGTCCTCGAGCGGGATCTCCGGCACGGCGCCCAGGAAGAACGAATGCAGCGGTCCGCGGTCGTGCGAGTGCCTCACCGCCACCGCCGCGGCGTCTAGGACATCGCGCTCCGTGAGGAACAGGTATCCGGCGCTGCGGAAGGCGGCGGAGTGGCGATCATTGTCAGTCAGGTAGCCCATGTCCCCCACGACTCCAACGTCGATCAGCGATGCGGGGAGCCCCAGCCCGTGGCGGTACTCGACCAGCGCGTCCAGGTACGTGTTGGATGCTGAGTAGTTGGCCTGTCCGAAGTATCCCGTGATACCGCCCCCTGAGCCGAATACAAGGAAGAAGTCCAGCTGCAGGGCCTCGGTTGCCTTGTGTATGTTCCAGGTTCCATGAACACGCGGCTTAATCGTCTTCTGCCATTCGTCAAAGGTCATTGTCTTGAGTCCATTGTCCTGCAGGAAATTTCAAGACCAGTCAGCATGGATTCCCTAATTTCAGTGTGTCCAAAGTAAACAATAAGAGAAGAGGGGACTTACAGAAAGTACGAGAGAGAGTTGTATGACTCCAGCAACAGGCTTCTTACCAGGCGCGAGTGCAAGAGCTCTCTCAACGTCGGCCATGATGCTCACGTCTCCCGACACGGCTTGCACCCGGCAGTTGGGGTAGCTCTCAAGCTCGCTCAGGAAAGGCTCATGTTCTGGAGAGGCTGCGGAGCGGGAGAGGAAAATAAAACTTTGAGCACCGTTTTCAGCCATCCAGGTAGCGACGGATCGGCCAATACCCCCTGTGCCTCCAACGAGCACATACGTCGCATCGCTCCGGAATAGGCTGGACGGCAAGGACAGCTTGTTGCGTTCCCCCGGGCTCTCACGCAAGCCCACGGGAGTATGATCCTCTTCGGACCGGGATGCAGATTCGCGACCCAGACGGAAGTCATCACGAGCCTGCGGATCGTGAAGATCGAACCACTGCACCCGTGGGATCTGGACAACTCCATCTGTGATGACGTAGTCGAAATCGGCATCGAGGATGCCACCACTTCTTCTTGATGGAAGACTTTGAGAAATCTTCCAGAGCGATTCGCCAAAAGAGTCTGATTTCCTCGATGGCTCGTCAACCTCCACGATGGTGACGTCCACGCCGCTCTCCATGCGGGCCGTCCTCACGACACCGTGACCCATGGCGGTCCGAGGATCCTTGCAGTGGGTTAGCGCTGTGGGCGTCACCCAGACGAGGGAGCCACGCAGGCCAGCCAGACGGGCCATGAAGGGTCGAAAGGTCTCCTCGTCCAGGTCATGGAACGTTGGGGAATGTAGATCGAGGAGACTGATGATGATAGTGTCTCCTGGGTCGGTAGTGTCCGGCATTCCAAAGACGGTTTTGGCCTTACAACCGTGTTTCTCAAAGACATGGCTCACTCGGCCAGCCGCAAGTATTCCGTGATCGTCGTTAGTGGTGAGCAGAGTTACTGTTTGGTTCAACGGGGCAGGTTCGGGGAGCTGAGCAAAGGTGAGGCCCGCATTCGTGCTTGAGTGCACGATGAAGCCAAGCTCTTCTAACCTCTGGCATGCGAGCTGTCTCATCCTATCAAGATCCTCGGAATCTAAATAAAAATCAGATTAGCAACTAGTGAAATCGGTATCTGGCACTCAAATCTGACGTACCGGTGGGATGGTAATGAACAATGATGCGACCCCACGGGCGGAGCATTGTGCCCAGTTCTTCGAGCTCTTCTTGCACCAACTCGTCATCGACAATCAACGACTGTGATCATAATACTTTTAGCTCGAGTCTTTGTAGAACAAGTGCCCGTGGTGGAAACTCAGACACTTACCGATAAGCTAGCGATAACCAGATCTGCTCCTTTGCCTACCAGAGACATATCCTCGGCGCCGACCACCACGCCACCGTCCAGACCTTCCGCGGCGAGATGAGCCTCAGTTGCGCCGATGGCCTCGGAATCGGTGCAGGCATACGTGTAGCTCTTGAAGTAACGCCGGCGGTGGTCAGGGCGGAGAGCACCGAGCACTGCCGAGCTGACGTCCAAGGTCCCGTCACCGACCTCGAGGATCTCGGCGTCAGGATATTTCCATCCGAAAAGATAAGCGGCACGCCGTATCTCTTCAATGTATCGATAGTGAGTGAACATAGTCTGGTCAGTATCTGAATCAAGGTCCAAGGTGGTGGCGCAGCTGATGGAATCTACCATGGTCAGATCCGTGTCGCAGGCAAAATATGACCCCAACAGCTTGTGCTCTCTGCCTGGCCGTTTTGGTACAGGCAGCTCAGAGATCGATAAGCCTTCCAGCACAGCGATGGGGCTCCCCTCCTCAGACAGCATTACAGCCTGGTAGCTTTTGTTCTTGATAACGTGGTCGCACTCCGACGCTGAATCTGTCGCCTCAGCGAAGACGCGCATCTGAAGCTCCTGGTCGGCAAAGACCGCGAGACGTTCAATTCTCGTCGGTAGATGGATCTTATCGAAGTCTCTCAACAGACCATTCGTAAGGGCGACAAGATTGACCTGTAATAACTGGTCCAGCAATGCTGGGTGCGCGGCATACGCGACGGTGTCTTCGTATGAGTCAAATACGGACGCGGCGGCCTCTTTGGCAGTCACACTGGCCGTCATGTTCTCTAGACCCCTGAAAATGCCATTCCAGTCGATACCTATCTTGCTGGCACCTCGATACCATGGATCCGAGTCAATGTGCCTAGCAAGGCCATTGCGGGCCTTGTTGTGGCCCGACGCAACCAATTTCTCCTGAGCGGTGCTGGTGTCGACCCCAGACCGAATATTGCCAGTACAGTGGGACACCCAATGGTTGCCGTCGCTCGACATAATCTTGAAGTTGTACCATGTGGCTCCGTATCCATCCTCGGTGGTGTCGTCTGGGATCAGGCGCGTGTAGAGCTCGACCCTCTTGTCTTTTGAGAGGACCAAACCCGCCGGGAACGACACATGACGAACTGTGTAGGGAAGCACACCGCCGGAAACCTGTCGCATGGCCTCGCCTACCATTGCTACATAAGCCGTAGCAGGGTACACTATCGAACCGTTCACGACATGATCAAACAGCCAACTGGCTTCTTTGAGGTCCAACATGTTCCTCCAGGCAGGCTCGATATCATTTCCCTCCAGGACCCGGGATCCCAGCAATGAGTGCCTGGGGTACTGCCTCTGCTTGAACCTGGCTGCGTTCCGAGGCTCGTACCAGTGGACGGCGTTATGGTGCCACGGATAGGTCGGCAGGTCAGGAATCACACGACCTTTGGGGATTATACCGCCGAGATCAACTTCCATATTGAGAGAGAAGAGACGGCCGGCGAGAATGAGCAACGAGTGATTGCTGCCTTGCTGTCTCTCAAGTGTCGTGACATATTCGCACGACGATCCCGGAAAGTCCCGCAGGATCTCTTTGACCGGGGTCCTGAGCGCAGGATGGGGCCCAATCTCAATGAAGGCGGTGTTGGAGTCTGAGGCGAGAATGTTTCGCACGGCAGTGTTGAACTTGACTGGGAGCAGAAAATTGTCGACCCAATATTCTAGGCCAAATTCGTCGGTGGTTATCTTTTGTCCCGTGACACTGGAAAAGTGCGGACATGAAGGAGATTTTGTATCCCTCACGTAAGGCCTCATCAGCTCTCGATAGATCCCGGTCAAGGGCTGGAGCCAGGCTGCGTTCAGTGCCGATAGAGTCAGCGTGAGATACTCGGGGAGAACAAGTGGCACGAGCCGGGCTGGCTGGCAGGGACTACTCACGAGAATGGAATGAGGTCTCCAGGTTTAGGATTTTGTACTTGACGTCCGGGTGTCGTCTGCCTATCTGATCGACGCAATGCTGGATGCAGATGGGATCTCCCGAGAGCGTGGTGCTGAGCTGGCTATTTTCGCACCCGATCACGACACCAGGGACAAGGAAAGGCTCCACAGCCTTTGGACCGAGAGAAACCGCAGCCATGGTACCCTTTGGGACGTTGTCTCCCTTGATGACGACGCCTCGGAAGTAGGCGATGGCCATTGCCGCCTCTGCTGTGATGCTTCCCGTGGCGTATGCAGCCGCAGCCTCGCCACCGCTGTGGGCTGTCACGGCATCTGGTCGCACGCCGAGGCTGAAGAGCAGGCCGGTGAGGGCGATCTGCACGGCTGTAGCGCATGGGTGGGAGTACCCGCGCTGTCCGACCTTGCTGGAAGCCTGATCCTCTTTCATCAGCTCCTCTTGTAGCGTCCAAGACGGAGGCTCTGGCAGTGACTGTAGAAACTTGTCCAGCTTCTGTATCGAGGCTCGGAACGCCTCGTTGGAGGTTATGAGGGACCTTCCCATGCCGGCCCAGTGCGCCCCCTGTCCAGTGTAGACAAACACAAGTTGGCGCTTGACCTTTGATGTTGACTTTGGGATCATGCCCATCTCAAACCCACCGTGGGCGTCCGTGACCACGTAGGACCGGTACGCCAGGTGCTCTCGGTGGAATGCCAAGGTGTATGCCAGATTGTCCGCTTGGGCCGGATGCTTTTCCAGATAGGCCTTGTGTAGCTGTACCTGTTTGTCAAGGGACTCTGTATGACTGGCCGAGAACAACAACAACCGGTTTGAGGGGTAGTCCGGGATGAAAACTCCAGAGTCCGTCTCGCTTTCAGGCGTCCTGCAGGATCGACGGCTCTCATATGAGTTGTACGAGTCAATAATTACGTGCGCGTTCGAGCCAGACACGCCAAAGCTGTTCACGCTGTAGTGGATCATTGTCAGCGCCAAGAACGTGGCCAAAGGTCTTTCCAAAAGTAACCGAGCACGTACCTCACTCTCTCATGTCGATCCAGTGGCCAGGATTCAGGTTCAGTGGGAACACGTAGGTGGGCTGACCCCCATGGTACTAAGAAACCTCATGTGAGCACGGCCCAAGGTGAATGGAAAATGGGCGAATTCTTACTTCGTGGACTCGGATCCTCCAAGTATATGTTCGGAGGTATCAGCTTGTGTTCGAGCGCCAACACTGCCTTTATGACACTTGTAAGGCCGGCCGCGCCTTCAGAATGACCAACATTGGGTTTCACCTGATGGTTGTCAGAGACAGATATCAATACAAGAGGAATGGGTGGGCATCGGATACGTACAGCTCCCATCAGCACGCCTCCCTGGGGCCCCCAAATTCGTGCAACGGCACTTGCTTCCAAGGGGTCTCCTGTTGGGGTACCAGTACCATGGCACTCAAAAAATGCTGTCTTGGAGACATCGCTGATCCCGGCGTTCTTATAGACTTGCCGAATCAACTTTTCTTGTATGATATCGCTTGGAGTCATGATCCCCTGAGACCTGCCGTCATTATTCGTTCCGCTTCCGCGAATGATTGCACGGATTGGATTCCCGTCTCGAAGAGCATGGCTAAGTTTCTTGATATACACTGCGTTCACGGCCTCCCCTCTAGATTGTTGTTGTTAGTGGTAGGAGCTCTAGCGAACAGCAGGAATTACGAAAAATTGAATCGGGCCAAGCGCAAGCTTACCTTCCATACCCATCCGCTAACGAGTCAAATGTTTTGCATTTCCCACTTGGAGAAAGGACGCCCGTCTCAGTAAATACAATGCTGGTCATAACTGAACTCATGATGTTGCAACCGAGCGCCATGGCAGAAGTGCAGGAGTTGTTCTTGACAGCCTCGGCGGCGAGATGCAGCGCCACCATAGAGGAAGAACAGCCTGTCTTGATAAGGAGAGACGGTCCGGTCCACCCATACTCGTAAGATATCCGATTAGGCTGGAAGAAGTCGAGATATCCCGAGCCACGATAGATCCCCGAAGCGTGTGGGTCCATGGACTGATCGTCTTGCCAGTCCGAAGAGAACGTGCCAACGTAACAGCCAACATCCTCTCCGCGTGTCCTCGACTCACCGGCGCTGTCGAGACATTCTTTAGTGATTTCGAGCAGTTGTCTCTGCATTGGGTCCATGCGATCCGACTCTAGCTTGCCACAGGTGAAGAACGAAGTGTCGAATGTGTTGAGCTGGACTTGGCTGTCGAACATGTAACAGTCGCGGTTCTGAATGGTGCCCCATTGGGGTTCGGCGCTCCACGAACCATCTATGTTCCACCTTGATTTAGGTATGGGGATTAGTCCGCTCTTTTTGTTGATCATTAGGTCCCAGAAGTCGTCCGTGTTCATGACACCACCAGGCAATCGGACAGCCATGCCCACTATCGCAACGGGGTCATCTTCCACCGTCTCTGGCAAGCCCTTGGTGTTGACTATGAGTAATTTCGTCAGCTGGAGTTAGATTTAATGGTGTCGCCTCTGGACCACGTACTTTCTATTCCCATTGTGTCCATGTTCCCAGAAGTCAAAGTCATCTTCAGGCTTAGAATGTCTATCAACGAAGTAGATAGGAGTTAACACAGATTTAGTTAAAGCGAGACGTTTGTCTGCACCGTAATCTTCCATTGTCGACCATTAGAGCCACATAGTTAAACAGTTGGTATTTGCGAGTAGGTTCACGTACAAACGTCTGTGCTTCCGCTTAGCTTTATGCGGACCGGACAAGAGCCGTTCGGCCGGAAAAGAGACAAGCCTTTTGGGCTGCTTCGAAAACTCTATCCGCGGCAAGCTGAACCAAGCCCCGTCGCAAACATATCTGTCAGGTTACCGATGATTTCAATCCACTGGCTACATGTCAATTAAACACAAAATTCTGTTCTCTTTCGCTTTTCTAATCACAAAACTTTCGACATATTGGCGTTCTTACTCTGTGAGGTCCTCATACATACTGCCGACTTGAACGAGATGAAAGCCATACACATCAAGTGTCGGTCTCAGGCTGTCATCTTGGAAAGGCCCGAGCCCACGGTACCAGATGGTCACATATTGGTGAAACCAGTTGCGGTCGCTATTCAGCCGTCCGACTGGAAACATGTCGACTTCATCTTTGTGGGAGATCCGACAGGGGTCCGCCTGGGCTTCGAGTACGCCGGAAAGGTCGTCGATATTGGTGCAAACACGACCTGTGACTTCAAAATAGGTGACCGAGTTTTTGGACTCTGCCATGCGACGTAGGTCCGAGTTCGAATTGCTGTGTCCATTGAGGTACGATGTTGAAGGGTGTGGAAGCTGATTTGAAACGGCTGTTCCTAGAAACACGGTGAGAAAAGACGACGGTACCTTTGCAGAATACGCGGTTGTGCGGCCAGAATTTCAAATGAAGATACCGACTCATTTGAGCTATGAAGAAGCGTCAGCAATTTCTTCGGGCCTCATTCCTGTGGTACGCCAGTGATATTGGGCTCCCAACTTTGCTTCCGAGCTAACGGATACCAACCCCTTATTAGTGCCAAGGACTCTACCAAGACTTACGACTGCCCTTACCAACGTGTCCGACGCGCCGAAAGATCCATTTACTAATTTACGGCGGGAGCACAACTTCCGGCATGATGGGCATTCAATTTGCTAAGATGTCCGACTGCACTGTCATAGCCACATGTTCACCCAAGAACTTTGCTTTGCTCGCCTCTTTGGGTGCCGATTACTGCGTGGATTATAATTCAGCGACCTGCGTCGACGATATCAAACATGGGCTAGGCGGTGCACCTCTCAAACACGTTTGGGACTGCATAGCGACCACCAAATCAGCACGTATCTGTGCAGAGGCTATGTCTCCTCGAGGCGGACACTATAGCAGTCTCCTTCTCCTGTCAAGTTCCATCCTGAGGCGGGTGAATCCAAGAATCAGGTGCACAACGACAATAGGTTATACTATTTTTGGCGAGGAGTTTCATAAGGAGACTGTCATCAAGAGGCGGGAGGAAGACTTTGTATTCTGGTTGGGGTTCTGGAGAATGAGCGAGACCTTGCTTCGACAAAAAATGTTCAAACCGCCGCCCATCTTTGTAAACGTGGGAGGCAAGGGCTTTGAGGGCGTCTTATATGGCATTCAGCATCTGAAACAGGGCAAAGTAAGCGCTGGGAAATTGGTTTACAATTCACTGGGCACCTCTTCAACGGGACCCCCTGAACCAGCGAAGTCATCGAAACAAGGGCTTCGATATGCCGAGGATGACGACGACAGCCAAAGAGACGGTGGAGGCCATGGCGGCGGGCGGAAGAATGGCACACGATCACTCTTCAGTGACGTAAAAGTGGCCGAAGCCTTCAATAACACCAAGAAGCTCACCGACGACATTGTTGCGCAGAATCAATTCTCCGGCTACTTTGCAAATGCACACCCGGACCAGGAAAAGCTCTGCGTGGCCCTGATCGCACAGGGGCTCCGGAAGCTCAATTGCGACTTACAAGCCGCGGGCGATGGTCAGGCCATTGAGCGCATAACAGCGGTCTCGGGCGCCCAATACCAATTGGACTTTTGTTATCGACTGCTCATTGAAAATGGGCTGGTCCGCACGGAGGGGGGTCGCCTGGTGCGAACGGGGTTGCGTCTGCCGAACCAAGAGCCGCATGTCATTCTGAGAGAGCTGATTGATCGATATCCGGCTGTCTCAAGCGTCAGCCGTCTGATCCACCACACCGGGGAAAATCTCGCTGATATTTGGACTGGTCGAACCGACGGCGTCCGGGTAGTGTTCGGAACCTCGGCGGGCAAGCGGCTCCTTGAGGAGGTGTACGGAACCGACAAGACGAGCCTAGCATTCCACGGACTTCTCAAAGACTTTTTTTCACGCCTTCTGAGCCATGTGTCACCTGAATCAGCCCCGTTCCTTCGCATATTCGAGGTTGGGGCCGGAACCGGCGGCACGACGCGATGGCTGGCGCCCTTGCTAAGAGAATTTGAAACTCGACGTTCGGCCAACGTCGAGTATACCTTTACGGACCTGGGCCCAGGCTTAGTCTCCCAGGCGACTCGATGTTTTCAGAGATTCCCCTTCATGCGGTTTCAGGTGTATGACATGGAGACCGCGGCCCCGGAAGAATTGGTTGCAACACAGGACATTGTGGTGGCCGTGAATGCCGTGCACGCAACGTCGAACATAATACGGTCCCTCGGCAATTTGAAAACACTCTTACGACCTGGGGGAATCGCCCTTGTTCTTGAGGTCCAGGAGCATGTGTGCTGGGCAGATTTTATCTTCGGGCTTTTTGAAGGCTGGTGGAAGTTTAACGATGGGCGGACGCATGCAACAGCAAGCCCAGAAGTGTGGCGAGACGCTTTTGAGAAAGCAGGATTCAACAGTATTGACTGGACCGATGGAACAACAAGAGACTCCAGGTTCCAAAGACTGTACATTGGAAAGACCGAGATGGCGGCGAAAGGCACTTGAAGTCGTGCTATGCCCGACTTGCAACGATGGCGCATCTTTTACACGCAGGTCTGTTCTCGCCTGACCGGCAGATCTGTAGTACCTAGGTAGTTTAGTCTTCTGAACTGCGGATGTCTTTGACAGTCGGACTCTTAGAGGGTATTTATACATCTTGATGTTCGTCTAGAATAATTCATACATGAATTGCCTGATAATTATGAAATAGCTAACTACCCAAGACGATCAGGTATTATCGATCTATGACTCTCGGTTATTACTCGATTTGCACGAGCAGGCATGAGTAACATGGGAGTAGGATAAGGGCCCTTGGAGAAGACTTGCAATGGTCTGACGGTGCTCTAGGAAGGGAGGTGTGGCGGGGGCCCAGGGTGCGGACTCAATGGCTGTAGCTACCTACTTAAGTAGGTTCGTGGCTCGCCGAACCGCATCCGCCAAACTCCCGGACAATGACTACACTTTACCTTAGATGAGACACCTAAGTCCAGGGGTCTGGGGGGGCTTCTTGCCCGGTCGGTCCGCCACTCTGGTGCGCCAAGCCTCCCAAGGTTCCGGCCCTTCATTTTCGATCGGGAGACCAAGATATAATCATCTACGCCAGACCGGCGGAAAATTGAGATTGCTTGTGCCTTGATAGCGTGACAATCATTGAACGTTGTCAAATGGTTTCATGAACTCCATTGCATCTCTGGATGCTTTTCAGAATTCAAACGCCTGCTGGAATACCAACACCATTACTCTTAGTCTCCCAAAATGGTCTTACTCGAGAATACCAATTATCCCCTCAGGGGTCTGCCCTACATTCTATATGCACCTGCGCCCCCGGAGGGCCATATGCAACCTGCAATTCAAATATGCACATACCTGGTGGACCAAGGCTTTGATGTGACGCTCATGGGCAGCCCCAGATGGAAACAAGCCGTGGAGAGTTCCGGAATGAACTTTGCGTCTCTTGTTGGCGTCGTCGAGGACACGACCTCAAACAAAGTGCACAATATGCCGACCGATATCATGACGATGCCTTTGGCGCCTCTCCTCGGAGCAGACTTCGCCCTGCGTTTTGCTAGATTAATGGTGAAGTCATGGTAAATCTCTCATCACATCAGACCACGCTCTAATTCATCGAATGCCGGATGTGTTATGTCGTCATTCTGACACGGAATGTCAATAGGGACGTACTCAGATTCGCATTAATCGGCATGGCCAATCGACTCGGGTTGAAAACACTCCGGAGTCGCGGGATTGTTATTCTCTCGGATACTGCCTTTCCGGGGGTTCTTCCGCTGAAGCTGGGAGCATATATGCCACCTGGGTTCCAAGAAATCCAGATTAAGACACTGGGAATCGGTGTAGTGCCCCGCTTCTGGGCGACACCGTACCACCCCCCATGGGGACTTGGTCTACCATATGATGCTAGTGACATGGGCGTAGCTCGCACTTTACGAGCTCATGATGAGCAAAAGGCTCTGCATCGACAGAAAGGGGGGGAGGACAAGGTGCGTATGATGCTTGATATTTACGACTGCAACATCAGTATCGAATCGCTGTTTCACGGATATCAAACATTTTGCTCCGGTGATGGCGACGCAGTTATTTCGCATACTTTCCTCGACGCAATAACTGTCTGCAATGACACAACGCTGCAAATGAGCACAGAAAGTCTTGATTTCCCGATGCCACCGGGTGCCAAAAAGGAATATGTTCCTTCGCACCTGAAACACGCGGGCTTCTTACCCCGAAAGAGCATACCGTCTGACCTCAGGTACCCATCGTGGTTCCATGAACTGACAATGCCGGAACGACAAAGTCTGTCCTGCTCACCCAAGGTTGTTCTTGTGGCACAAGGGACCCAGACAAACAATTACGATGAAGTTGTGATCCCTACTATTCAGGCTCTCACTGGCGAGACGGCTATATTGGTGGTCGCTATCTTGTGTCATCGTGGAGCGCATCTCGATCTCTCCTCGTTCAAAGACGGAGTCCTCCCCCCGAATGTTCGTGTGCTCGACTATTTCCCATATGATGCTATACTTCCCTATGTTGAAGTCTTCGTCTCAAGCAGCGGGTTTGGTGGTCTCAGTCATGCTATAGCCAATGGCGTGCCCATGGTTCAATGCGGCTGGATCGTCGATAAACCCGACATCGGGAGGCGAGTCGAATGCTCTGGCCTGGGCTTGTACATTGGGAGAGATGATTACCCGGCCAAACCGGAAGCCATCAGGTGTGCCGTCAAAACAATACTCAACAGTCAGGGGATATATAAGCGACGAGCTGAGAATCTGTGCAGGGAGTCAAAGATGCTATATCGGCCCCTGGAATGCATCAGGGAAGAAATAATGGCACTTCACGGAGATTCAATGATGGTTGGTGGTGGTTTAAAATGATCCGCATTTGTTTTTTCTTCTCCTTTCATCTTTAGACGGGTTGTACTTCAGGGCTCTGTGCTAGGTTGATTCAATATGTGCCTGAAATGGGCAGACAAATGCTTATTTGGCAATGTGTGAATGTTGCCATTACAACAATGATGAGCTATTTCCTTCGGTTGATTGTGAAATATTGATTCTGATGGAATAAGATAGATGAGAAAGTTCTCCATCTTCAGATGGAGTTCTCCGTTATTTCATGTTGAACTATTTCTAAGATACACGCGGCCTGGGGCTCCACCAGTGGGTTTACCGATCATCACCAGCTGCATATACATCCTATGGCCCTCAATGTGGTCTCTTTTTACCTTCTTTTCTCGGATGCCCCTGCCGTAGTCATTCAGCTCGCTCACCTCATCGACTAAACTGTTTGGTGTTGGGTATTGTGGATCGGGCATTTCGCCCGGATATTCAGGAACGAAGTCAAATTGGCGCGCTGTCAGGGCGATCACCACTCGCATCTGAGTTATTCACGACAATTCATTAGTGAAATATTGCTTTGGTGAAGGATTCATTCAAAGCAGAGGGGAGGTATTACCTGCATCATGGCCAGCTCAAGACCGATGCAGGCCCTAGGGCCTCGGCCAAAAGCACGGAAAGCGAGCTTCCCGGCAGGGGATGTTAGCAGCTCAGACTCTGGGAAAGGTGTCTCGGCTCGCAGCCACCTTTCGGGAATGAACTGCAGAGGTTCGGGGTAGAAACGCGTGTTCCGATGTATCATGTGTGCGCATGGCCAGACTGCACAATGCGGCCACATTGGGAACCTTTCGCCCGTTCTTGGGTCCGTCAGCGTTTCAGTCTGCTGTCCTCCAGCTCGCAGACCACTGGCTGGCGGGAACAGGCGCAGCGTTTCTTTGATGACAGCTGACGTGTATGGCAGGTTCCCGATGATGAAGTGGTCCGCCTTGATTGCCGCAGCCGTACCCTCGGGCGAGTCAGGGAAGACGGCATCAAGCTCTTGTTTGAGCTTAGCTTGCACGCGTGGGTACCGATGCAACAGGTAAAAAATCCAACAGAGAGTGGCCCCCGTCGCATCGTAACCTGCAAAGATAATGGCCTTCACTGAGTCCACGACGTCGACTCGCAGTGAATCCGGCATCTCTGCGGGATCTGTTATGAGGATATTTCTCTCCTTCTCAAATGTATTGAGGGTCAATTGGATGATGGATCTTGTGCCGTCCTTTCCATAGAATTTCCGTGAGGTAGGTGGTTGGTTAAAACAACTGTCTTTCTCAGCACGCCGTCGGGCAAGATAGGCATCGATTTCATGATTGATGGATGCGTCCAGCCTCCCCTTATTGATCGCCAATTTCAGCCGACGAAGCGGTCTGAAATCTTCCCACAGGAAAAAAGCATTCGGCATCATCTCAATTCTTTCGAGAAACAGCCTCGTCATCGGATGCATTGTCGTCTGACAGGCGATGTCGGTGCCAAAGATGACTCCACATATCATCTCGACAGTGGCCCTAAGCGTAGTGTCGTTTAGTCTGAATATGTCGTTGCTTTTGGCTTTCTCGCTCAAGATGTCACAAAAAGTGAGACACGAGTCAACCACCGAATCTGTGAGCGGTATCAGGTGTTGTGGCTGGAAAGCAGGACTGAACAGATTTCTAAGTGCTCGCCATTCAGCACCGTGCGCAGTGATGATGTTCTGATTTCCGAGGATTCGCTTCATAATATTTTTCACTGTGCCGTCTTTAGTCTGTGTTAATGTCGTGACTGCAGGCTGGGCGGCTACTTCAGGATCAGCAATACAAAGGAGCAACGGGCCCAGAGGTCGCCTGTTTTTGAGACGTTGCTGTTAACGAAAAGACAACGAGGTGAATCAATTCGGATTGTTTCTTCACACACTTACCAATCCACGTAGAAGACGGACGGTAGGCAATACTTGATTCGAATGTATTCTGCATATATCTGGCCATGACACCCTGTCGGGAAAAGTCTCCTCAACTCCAGTGCTATGTAGAGGTGACCAAAGAGCTTATTCGGCATAGGTGGTTGGGGCTGGATCAAAAGTTGTCAGCGCTCAAGTGGAACTTGAAATTGGCCAAATTGAGCAAAGACTCTCAACTAGATAGAGATGGGGCAGAGTAATTTACGAGGCCATCAATTTCCCTCCTTTTTCTAATCAGATTCACCAGAAACCACGCACTCAGGCATACAAAAATGCATGACGAAAACAGTACTCCGTACAACATTTTCAACTTTTTGATAAAGTAGTTTGAATATAGAGCGGATTTCCTGGTTGTGGACTCTTTTCAGGGCTGATCCACTGTGACCTCATGGATTGCTTGCAAACCAAGGGACTCTCTAGTTGGCACTGACAATTCAAGACACACAAGCTGGGGTTTGTGGTGTCTGGCTGGACCGGCCAAGGAACCGGACAACGGACCGAGGAAAGGTTTGGTCACTGGCTAAATCTTGGCAACCGTGATAATTCGTCAAAGGTCGGTTCGATGCAACAGCCGATGCATTAGGTTCCGAAGCGAACCTTGAGAAGCAAACCCCCATGGCAAGGTTGAGCTGAACCCCTGATCTGATTGAACACAACCCCCGGGTTCATCGCCTTCGTAGTAGTAGCCAGCCTATAGCGTTGTTTACTTAGAAGCTTATATTTAGAGAAGGTGACGTCCTATGCCTAACAGTGTCTTATATATATATATACTATTAATAGCTAAACTTTACATTCTTTTTTAGTTTAATAATATTTTATACTAACTTTTATAAATTTAAGTTTTATTTATATTTATTTATATTTATAACTTAATTAATAAATAATAATTTTAGAAGTATTAAATAAAATATTAACTTATAACCTCTATTATAATTATTAATTAGTAAAGTAGTATAAAAGAAGATATAAACTTATATAATGTAATATTAGGAACCTTTAAGTTAAGCTATTAATAGTGTCGTGATAAGATATTATTAGATGTAAGGAGCTCGATTCTTTTTAGATATTACTTATAAAGATACTCACTTATCTTAGGCCTTAGCGCGCGGGTAATCCGTTACCTACACCCCTATTGTTACCCCTAATTACTCTATAGGGGTAGGGGGGGGGGAGGGGAGTAGGGCTAATAGGTTAGAGTTAAAGCTATTAAGGTTATATTTAAAAAGATAAAAATAGTAAGAAAATAGATAACTATTTAATAAAATCTATTATTAAGGAATATAAATATCTACCTTTTCTCTATAATTTTTTTAAAATTTCTACTCTCTCTCTCTCTCTCTTCTTTCTCTTTATTACTTTTAGAAATTATTTATATTATTAGTTTAAAGTTATTAGAAATTAAGCCTTATTAAATTATATTAATTAATATTAAATTAATTAAATAATTAAAAATTAAAATTAATTATTATTAATTATAAATTATAAATTTTAAAATACTTTTTAAAAAATTATTAAAAGGTTTAATATTAAATAATAACTTAAAAAATATTATAATTAGAAATAAAATATTATTAAATAAAAATTTTAAATAAAAATTAAAGAAAAAGTTAAATTTAATTAATTAAATAATATTAATAATTTAATTAATAATTAAATCTTTATATTCTTTATTTTTATTTAAAAATATTAAACTTTAATTTAATAATTTTTAAATATAAATAATAATTTAATTATTTTTATTATAATATTAAGTTTTAATAAATTTTTAAAAGTTTTAAATATTAAAATAAAGATTTAATTTTAAATTTTAAAAATAAATATTAATATATTTATTATAATTTATTTATAAATTATAAATATTTTTTTATAAAATTATAAATAAAAATAAATAATTTTTATTTAAAATAATAGGATAAATTTAAATTTAATTTATTAAATATTATTAATTTAAAAGCTATAAGTTTATATTAAAAGAAATTAAAAGAATAAAACTTTATTAATAAAAATATAAAAGGTTTTTTATATTATTTATTTATTATAAAGAAAATAAAAATTAAACTCTTAATAAAATTTTTATTTTATTTAAAGTTAAATATATTTATTAATATATAATCTATTTTAATAAGTTTATTAATTAAAAGTTAGAAAAATAATTAATATTAAATAATATAAACTTTATTAAAAAGGAAATATTTTATTTATTATTATTTTATTTTAAAAATTATTATATATTTTAAAACTAATTAATATTAATAAATATTAATTTTTTATTTATTATTATTTTAAAAGATTATTATTTATTTTTAAAGTTTAAATTAATATTAATTAATATTAACTTTTATATTTTAATTATTTATTAAAATTATTTAATTTAATATTTTTAATATTAATTATTTTTAATTCTTTTTATTAAAGTAAATAAAGCTTAAAGTTAACTTAAATAATAATAATAAAGTTTTTAATCCTTTTTATTAAATTAAAGTAATTAAATTTTAAAATTATTTTATTATTTAAATTAAAATATATTAATAATTAATTAATTTTATTATAAACTTTATAATATTTAAAAATATAATATTTTATAAGTTATAATTAATAACTTTAATTAATTATTATATTTAATTTAAAATAATAATTTTAAAAAACTTTAAAAGTTAATTAACTTAAATATAATAATTAATATAATAATATTAAAATATTTAATTTATTATTTTATTAAAATTTATATAAATAATATTAATATTAAATATTATAAATATAAATTTTTAAATTTAAATTATTTATATAATATAATAGCTAAATAGAAGCTATAGGGAAGTATTTTAAAAGTACCTTAATACCTAACTATACCCCTTTTTAGGGTTTATTAAAAGGTAAGTAAAGTCTACTTACCTCTTTTTAGAAAAAGGTAAGAATTAATCTTATATTAAATTTAAACTTAATAGACCTTTAAACCTCCCTTAATTTATACTATTATATTTAATATTATAACTTATTATAATTTTAATTCTTCTTTTTATACTATTTATAATATTATTAAAAATAAGTAACTAGAGAGGGAGGTTTTAGGTAAGTTTAAATAATAGTAAGAGGAGTTTAAATACCCCTTTAATAAGTAATACCCTTATTTAAAAATAAAAGTAAAATTAAATCCTTTAATAAAGGATAAACACCTTTAAAGTAGTTAAAATTATTTTAAAAATTAAACTAAAAGATTTAAAGCTAGTTAATATTACTCTATTATTTATAATTTATACTTTATAGTAATATAATAGTTAAATAATAGACTTTAAAAAGTTTATATTTTTAATTATAATTTCTTTATAATAATAAAATAAAAATAATTTATATATTTAACTATATTAATAAAGAATATTAAAATTATTAAAATATTTATATAAAATCTAAAAGAAAGAAGATAAGTTTATATTTAACTATTATAAGTAGAATAAGTTTAAAACTTTAGTAATAACTTTAAAAAGACTTTTAAGGTATTTTTAAAGTTATTTAAAATTTAATTAATTTTATCTACTAATAAAAAAATTAAAACCTTTAATTCTTTTTATTAATACCTTAAAACCTTAAAATTAAAATAAAAGGTTAGGAGTAATAATTTTAAAATTAAGTTTTTCTTTTAAATTATAAAGTTAAATCTCTTTAAAAATTAAACTAAATATACTTTAAATTTATTAAATATTAGAGATAAAATAGTTAAAGTTATTTAAGTAATTTAGGTTAATATATTTAAATAAATTAAAAGAAAAAGTAAAAAACTAAGAATAAAATATAAAGAAAATAATAAAATTTTAATAAAAAGAATAAAAGAAGCCCTTAAAGTAATATTATAATTTTTAAAGGAACTTAAAGTTTATTATATATAAAAGGTTAAAGTTAAAAATTTTAAAATAAAAGTTTATATATTTAATTTAATTAAAATATTTAAAAAGTAACTTTAAAACTATTTTAAAACTTAATCCTTTTAATAATAATAAAAAGTTAATTATTTATTATTATTATAATAGTATTTACTATTATATTTTAAACTACTTAATATTAATAAAAGCTATAATATTTATAAATTAAATTTAAAGTTATAATAATTATTAATTAAAAGGTTATAAAGTTAAAATAAAGGAAGCTAAAAATTATTTTAATTATTTATTAAAATAAAGTTTAAAATAAAAAATTAAATTAATAATTAAAATTAAAAAAAGGAAATAGAAAGATTTATAATACTTTTATAATTTTAAAAAGTAATTATAATATAGAGTTAAAAGTATATTAAGATTAACTTTAATACTTAAATTTAAATAAATTTAATTAATATTTCTTTATAAAAAATTTAATTTAAAGAAATTAAGAAAATCCTTAATATTTATTAAGGATTAATTATATTTTAATATCTATTTATAAAATTTTTTAGGTTTCTTTTTTTAATTAAAAATTATTTTAAAAACTAAAAAAACTTAAAATATTCTTATTATTAATTAAAAATATTTTAAATTTATTTTATTATTAAAACTTTAAATTTATAATATTTTAAATAAAGTTAAAAGTTATTTAAAATTAATAACTTTAATAAAATAATTTATATATTATTTAATAAATTATAAAATTCTTTATAAAGAATTAAAAATAAAATATTTATTATTATATTATTCTTTAATTAATAATTCTTTTAGTTTAAATAATAAAAAAGAGTAATAAAAGTTAAGAGGAATAAATAAAGGAGAAAAATTACTCCTTAATTCCTTTTAGTTATATTTATAATTAAGGGGTTTAAAAGAGTTTTTTATAAAAGTTAGAATAAAAGAGCTCCCCTTTTAAAAAAAGGTAGATTATATAATTAAATTAAAAAAAAGGATATTATTATTTTTTTTACCTTTTTATTTATTATTATTAAAGGAGTTAAAAATTTTAAAAAAGTAATTAAAAAAAAGTTTAAAAATTAAATAAATTACTTTTAATAAAAGTTTAATAGGGCTTTAATTTTATTTACCCTTAAAAAGAATAATACTTTTAATTTTATATTAATTATTAAACTTTTAATAAAATAATAATTAAAAATTATTACTTTTACTACTTATTTTAAAATTTT